AACTCATAAGGTTGATGCAAGTGTTAATGTTAGGTATCATTGACATCCCTTAAAATTAAAAAATAAAAAATTTTGAAAGCTCAATTTTTTTAGACACTCGTAATTATCTTTGGATACTCTCAAAATTTTTAATTCTTGTTAAATGATTATTTAATTATATATATTAAGAAAAATGTCTTTGATAGTACTAACACTTGTCATTTTTTTAAGATATGAGAACCACTAAACTAATAGTGTTTAATTATAATAAAATAATACAATATTATTTTAAAATTTTGTGTATAATTTTTTTATATATTATAAGCGGATACTGAAAAAAAAAAAAAAATCCACCGTTGACTCTAAATTTGATTTTATTCATTAATTATCAATACACTCGTAAATCATTTATACGTGTAATATTCACTCATGAATTGTGAAAACTGTATTTTTAAATAATGACTAAAATTAATAATAAAAAAAAAGTAACAAGGAATCCGACTCCGAAACTCCTCATCCACACATTGTTGGAGCCCGAAATCTTTTTGCAGCAATTTTTTTGGGCCTATCAATGCAGCCTCTCTCAATGAGGGAATTCGGTAACAGTCAATACTATTGCAAGGACAACTATAAGGCCTAAGGAACGTCTCCAATCCCATCCACCCTTGATTTTTCGTTCCATAGTTCACTAGATTTGATACTAGAATCCTAATTGTTATTGCCATCTGAAAGCCCGCGTTGAGCGCTCATGATCCTTGGCTGGGGCCATTTGTGATAGAGACTGCCATGAATAAACAGAGTCATGCTTGACTTTTTCGAGAAGTAGAGTGTAGACATGATGATACTAAAGCAAGAAGCACACAATCGATTCATGATAGTACCAATGAAAAAACCTAAAGACCTCCAAATAGCATACATTTTTTGGAACAAAATTTTTCGTCATTACAAAAGTGAAGAAGGAAGCTACTTGAGCAGCTAGGGAAGAGATAAACAATGTCAGGATCTTGAGCTGGCTATCGAATTTGCACTAATCACTTCTAACGCCACAATTTCACATCAAAATATTTTGATAATTTGTTATAATATATAAGTTGAGACTTATTTTTAAACTTATGAGATACCTTTTGTAGATCAAAATCATGAAATTTTTAGGTTAAAGCGAATAATTTCTCATAAATTAAGTGCAGATCTTCATAAATAGTATCAGAATAATCACCAATCAGATAAAAAATTAAGTGCTGCACCGTAAGAGCCACCTCTAAAATCCTGTTGGAGATAAGTGCTACATGATAAAAGTCATCTCTAAAATCTTAACGTTTGCATGTGATCTGTATATGCTTTATGTTGGGCTTAACAGGTACATCAAGTTTTAACAGAAGAATTTGTAATGTCCTAATCCCACATCAAGATGCTTTAAAGATATGCTATGATATAAAAGCTGAGACTTAATTCTAAACTTGTGAGGTACCTTTTGTAAGATAACATCATGAGACTTTTTGGTTAAACTGGATAATATCTCGCAGGTTATGTACAGATTTTCACAAATATGTGATATTGTGATCTGTGTGTACTTTATGTTAGGCTTGTCAAACATTTCTATGTACTTTATATTGGGCTTGACGGAGACATCAAACTTTAACAAAGAAAAATTTGTAATGTCCTAATCTCACATCAGGATGTTTTGAGGATTTATTATGACATATAAGTTGATACTTAATTTCAAACTTATAAAGCACCTTTTGTAGGACAAAATTGTATGACTTTTGAGTCAAAGCGTATAATACCTTGTAAGTTAGGTGTAGGTCTCCAAATGGTATTATAGCCAGGTTGTGATCATGTTATATATGTGTAGTAGTATTATAGTCAGGTTGTGATCATGTTATTTATGTGTGCTTTATGTTGGGCTTGACGATGACGTCTAATTTTATTGGAAAAATTTTATAATATCCCAATCTCACATCGAAATATTTTAAGTATCTGTTATGATATATATAAGTTGAGATTTAATTTCAAACTTATGAGATCTTTTTTGTAAGATAAAACTACGAGACTTTATCTCCAAGTTACTCAAGACCAGATTTTACATTTCTTTCTCAAACTGACGGGAAGAACAACTTCTGAAATTCTTCCTTTGTGGTCACCCCTCCTGCAAAAATTGCAATCATAAGAACGTTATTAGATCATCATCATCATCCTATAGCATCTGAGCAGCTCTAGAATCTTGGTAGTTATGCTAAATAAGAAAGAGCTTTATTTTTACCTGAAATTCGAATGTCATAACCAAAGATGAGACTTCACCATACAACTCACTATAACAAAGAAAGTGAGTTCATTATCGTAATGCCTCGTTCCAGTACCATCAATATAAGCACCCGCATCCATCTTTGACAGAACCAATATGAAGCTTTATACCTTTCCTAGAAAAATCGAACTAATAATTATACAGTGAATTTTGTCAAACATTTTAAACTACATAAATAGACTATAGTAATAGTATCATATTACTGTCATACATATGTTTCCATATATAGTTTCTAGTTCTATAAACTTCTATTATTTTTTACTATATCACTCTTAGCTTCAATGGAATGTCAACTTAGATTAATTATGTAGTACGGAAGCTTATGATTCTCATCCAGTTCTATATTCCTTCTTCTAGAGAAACTGAACTTTCACTGTCATGGCGCCTACCTCTTAAGTTCATCCAAGAGCCAACCAGAAATATAATCATATAGTGGCATAACATTATTAGCCTGGTTGATTAGTAAGAATATTATTGGCTATTCACTTTACTCTTTCAAATCTTTGGATTCTTTAGCTCTTAGCAACTCTTGCTTCGAGAGGCAGGTCGAACTTCAAAATTTTACTCTCAAGCAAATGGATAACTGATAAAAGTCAGAAAATAAATATCCTAAAGTGAAAAGAGACGAATAGTAAGGGATCTATGGATATATGATCATGAATGCTTATGGTTGAACTATACGACCACTGTAGGCTCAAGCCACGTGAAACGTTTTACTTTCAGATGGGGCATTGTCATGGACAAGTTTGTTTTCTTTAAGAGATGGATCGTACCAAGATGCTCTTTGATCTGAAAATTGAAAAGAAGCAGAACTTATTCTTTAATCTTTATCAGAATCTGTTATGGTATCAAAAAGGGAGGTGTGATCAAGTAACACAACCAAATGTAAAGGACTGGGGGTGATGCATCTGTGAGACTGAGACTATATAAGCAAGTCTCCTGTGTCCTAATTTTTTCAGACTCAGAGTCAGGAGGCAATTAGTGATAGGTATATGCAAAATATATCTAACAAGGCAACTCGCATTCACTCTCCCTCAAGGGCTTCAGCAGCCTGTCGTATGTTCAAGCTTAATTCGCCTGCAATGACGACTTTGTGGTGGATGAAGTCCTTGTTGGAGAGTCCATGATACCTGTCTTGCACTCTTTATGGGAGGATCAGTTATAAATTACCAACAGCAAAAACGTCTCAATTCAGACAGAGCTACATGGTCTTTCTTTTTTTAAATGAAAATGTTAAATTTCATCCATTTTAGAATCTCTATATAGCCAACTTTTTTGCCATTTTTGCAGAGAACTACTAAAAAAATACTTACTATAATTTTCTATTTCTACGCTGTTGATATATTTTTTCTGATATTTGAGGCTGTAAAGGTTAATAATCATTGAAATTAAAAGTCTACAATTCTACCAACAAAGCACAACAGATGACTATACACAGTGGATATATATATATATATATATATATTTTCATCCAAAAACCAATTTCTTGGACAAAGGCTCATCCATCCAAATACAAAAGAAACCTTTGTTATCGCCATAATTAACAATACCACGTTTCACAGGAAAAAACGGTATGATTGAATAAAAAAACAGTAGATAATGAAAGCGGCCAACGGCCAAGGCCTGAGCAGATAAATAGACATAGTTCATCCTATTTTGTAACGAAGTCATCAAGATTTCTTCAGCTTTTACAGGCATGCTAAAGAGGCATTCAACTCAGGCCAGGGAAGAAATTATGAAGGTCGTGTCACCACCTTTGTTGATCACTTGTATAATTGCTGCAATGGGAGGTATCCTCTTCTATTTTTTGAATAGATATAATTATATCATTGATTTTTTTTTTTTTTAATTTGGTCAAAAAAATTCAAAAGTTCAAATATTTTATAAACGTATAATATATATTTATTCTCTCAAGAAATATTTTTCTTTTGTCAACTTTTGATCATTTTATAAGTAAATTAAAAATGAAATAATAAAATTATATTTATTTAAAAATAAATGATAAATTTGATCAATAAAATCATCTTAAGTAAAATGATAAATTTATATTTTATTTCGAAAAATAATTTTAGATCAATTATTGTTTAGTTTTGATTACGTTACTATGAAAGTTTTTATTTATTTATTATTCATTATTTATTCTATTATAATCATGTGACACTTGTTCTATAATATAGTGGGACTTGTGAAAGGGTAACACAAATAAATAAAAAGAAATTTTTAAATATACTGATCATGAAATTTTTTAATTTTATAATTGAGGTTTAAGTTGATGATAAATATTTTTTATTGCATATTTAAAATGATAAAAAAAAATTAATTTAAAAAAAAAATAAACATTTGTCATTATCTTAATCATGTTTATAAAATTAAAAATTTTTATTGTCAACATATCAAATAATTTTTCATAAATAAAAGCAAAGAGAAATTAATATTTTTGGGTTACAAGACAAATTAACATTAAATTATAAGAATAATTTGTATAATTTATTGAAGGAATTGGAATTTTTAATTTTAATAATTAAAAAAAAATTATATTGACTTACAGGACAAAGCTACAAATATGTTGGAAACGTAAAAATGTATATATATATATATATATATAATTCTATAACCATATGAAAATTTGATTTAATCTCCGTTTATCAAATTATTAAGTTTAAACCAAGAAGGAAAAAGAGATTTAAAATATTTTTACTTAAACTAACAATCAATTTTTTTATGATCTCTTTAAAGATTTTGTACTTCAAACAAAAGAATTTGGGCGGAGCCGGGCTCCGACCCTAGTAACTATAAAACGCTACATTGGTTTCTGTATTCTGGTGTGAGTTGGAGGCAAACTTGTAAAAGCCACGGGAGACGGGCGATTTTGCCACCTTAATCTTAGCTAGACTTTCATACTCCTCCAAACATTGTAGAATCCTGATAAGCTAAAATTCCCTCTTAGATCCTTTCTTTGTTTCGTTTCTCATGGCTTTGTCGAGAATCATAAAATCCCATCAAATTCTCTTCAAATCTACCAAACCAATTAGACCAAATTGTTTGTCACTAGTCTTCTGTAAAAACCTGTTTTTTTCCTCAAATCAACAACAACCCATTTGCACCAAACTTCAAAACGACAATTTTCTCTCACCAGATCAGATTAACATCTCAAATGCCTTCATTTCAATCCTAATCAAGCAACCTTTTTCTCCAGATAACCCAGAGCTCAAAAACCTCGTACCACTACTCACCAATAAAGTTGTCGAAGCCGTACTAACATCCATCAAGAACTGGAGAGTAGCTCATCTGTTTTTCATGTGGGTTTCAAGTCAACATGGTTATAAGCATAATATTTATACTTACAATGCCATGGCCTCAATTCTATCACGTGCTCGACAAAATGCCCTAATAAAGACTTTGGCTTTGGATGTCCTGAATTCCCATTGTTCTATGAATCCTGGGGCTTTGGGTTTTTTTATTAGGTGTTTGGGGAGTGTTGGGTTGGTTGATGAAGCTAATAACTTGTTTGATCAGGTTAAAAGAGTCGGTCTGTGCATACCAAATAGTTATAGCTATAATTGTTTGTTAGAAGCTTTGGCCAAATCTTGTTTGATTGATTTGGTTGAGGTCAGATTGACAGAGATGAGAGGTTTGGGGTTGGAATTTGATAAGTACACGCTGACGCCAGTTTTGCAGGTTTATTGCAATGCTGGGCAGTCTGATAAAGCTTTGAGTGTGTTCGATGAGATGTTTGAAAGGGGTTGGGTTGATGAACATGTTTTTTCCATCTTGGTTGTTGCCTTTAGTAAGTGGGGTGAAGTTGATAAGGTAATTGAATTGATCGATAGAATGGAAGAGCGCAATAAGAGGTTGAATGAGAAGACATTTTTTGTTTTAATTCATGGATTTGTGAGGGAATGTAGAATGGATAAAGCTCTTTGCTTGTTTGATAAAATGCGAAAATTGAAGTTTTGTCCTAGTATTTCACTTTTTGATGTGATGATTGGAGGGCTCTGTATGAATAATGAGCTTGAGAAAGCATTGTCTTTATATTCAGAAATGAAAGAGTTGGGAATTAATCCTGATTTTGGCATACTGACAAAGCTAATATGTTCTTTCTCTAAAGAAGGAGAGTTGGAACGATTGCTTGAAGAATGCTGGGAAGATATGAATTCACAACCTACGAACCTGCTTTACAATTCTGTCTTGGAAGGCCTTGTTCGCAATGGCTCAATAGATATAGCTTACAATCTTCTTCGAGCAGTAATGGGGAACAACAGCAATGGTGATAGTATTATTGCTAAGTACTTTATGGACAAAAAAGAAATAATTACCCTTAATACTAATTCATTTCCTATTGTTATTAATGGCTTGCTTGATGCTGGTAAGATGGATATGGCACTAACTCTCTTCGGAGAAATGATTCAATTTGGTTGTAATCAAACTTTGTTAGTTTATAACAATTTGATTGATGCACTGTGCAAGTTAAATAGACTGGAAGAGAGTTATGAGCTTTTGAGACAGATGAAGGAAGTGGGGCTTGAACCAACCCAGTTTACACACAATTGCATATTTGGGTGTCTTTGTCGGAGAGAGGATGTTGATGGAGCAGTTGATTTGGTGAGAAAAATGCGGTTTTATGGCCATGAACCATGGATAAAATATTCTACCTTGCTCGTGAAAAACTTGTGTCAACATGGGAAGGCAGAGGAAGCTTGTAAATTTCTCACTGAAATGGTACAAGAAGGTTTTCTCCCTGATATAATTACCTATTCTGCTGCAATGAGTGGTTTGATCAAAATTAAATCAGTGGATAAGGGTTTGGAGCTATTCCAAGATATTTGTGCTCGTGGGTATTTTCCTGATGTAATTTCTTATAACATACTGATAAAAGCGCTATGTAAGGTGCAAAGAGTTGCAGAAGCTGAGCATCTCCTGAATGAGATGATGCTGAAGGGACTCGTTCCCTCAACAGTAACATATAATTTTTTGATAGATGGCTGGTGCAAAAATGGTGAGATTGACCAAGCTATGCTTTGCCTTTCCAAGATGTTTGGAAAAGAGAGGGAGGCAAATGTCATTACATATGCAACTCTAGTTGATGGATTATGCAATTTTGGAAGACCTGATGACGCTCTAAAGCTATGGAGTGAAATGAAGAGAAAAGGTTGTGCTCCGAACAGAATTGCTTATCATGCTCTCATAAATGGACTTTGCAAGTGTGGTAGGTCCTCTGCAGCTCTAGTTCTTTTCAATGAGATGAAAGAGAAGAAAATGAGACCTGACAGCTATGTCTATATAGCACTAATAAGTGCTTTTCTATCAGACACAAATTTACCCTCTGTTTTTGACATGATAAAAGAGATGGTTGATGTAGGAAATTTACCAGATCCACTAGATAAGAACTATCTTATCATAAGAGATGCAATTTGTAAATTGTCAGAACATGCCAGAACATCCTCTGGCATAAAAGATCTTATAGAAGAGGGCAGGATTCCAGATGTCAGTCTCTCAGAAGGAGATGAAGGTATACATAAGCCCTCTATTTGATCCAATGTCAGGTAAGATCACAGTTAAAATTAAAAGAGAATTTGTTTAATCGTGGGAGCAATGATTGTTTTCTGAGTCGCATCATCTATATCCGGTGTTATGTTATCAGATCCAGCATAATGAAATGAGGTAAATTCCTTCCATTCTTTGTAAGCCATTGTAAATTAGAACTTAATCGATAATACTTCAATCTTGATACTGGTTGATGGGACCCGACTAACAATGTTTTGGAGTTAGTCTAAAAGGTAGACATGACATGCTGCCATGCCTATACATGTAATTTGCAGGTTTTTAGGGCCCTACAAAATGACAATAGTAAGTGCCCTTGGTTCAATATGCAAAGAATAGGAAGGTCCAATCTGCAACTCCAAGAACTAAAAGTGTGGAAGGAAACATAACTGTCAAATGGCAGTTTGGACACATTCCCAAAATACAGAGACTTTAACCCCTTATTAATAACCTTTTGTCATTAATATTTTGATAGCCGTCAATAGAAGAAACAGGACCCTCCTCCATGTATCCATCCTTTTTAAAGTACCCCTTCCCCATTTAAGCCCTTTATCCCCTGCACACCTGAGAGAAAGCAAGGTGGATATCTTTTATGAACCATGCCAACAGATTTGGATAGGCAATATGGCTATACAGCCAGGCCTTCAAGCCTGGTGAATTCCATCTTCATGTCCACAGTCAACATGGCAGCAAAGATGCTTGTCTCGGTGGCTTCAAGCATAAAAGCTGAGAACACACAAAAGTGGAAGCCAAAAGATCATTTGAGGTTCATGGTCATGCTAATGACTTGGCTGATGGTGTGGGTTCTTAGGTTTTTGATGGATCATTTCCCCTGCTCTCTGAGTTCTTCTCTGGACTATCTGCTTGGTGCCTTGTCGTCTGTTAGATCATTCCAGCTAGCTCCATACTCATCATCATTAGCAGAAACATTGTCATCTTCTAGTTTATCATTGAATTTGATACTTCACGACGGGGTTGATGGACCATCTGTTAAAGCCCTGGAAAGAGCACTAACTCATGTAAGTCTACAACTTCAATCCACCACCTGGAACCTTAAATTTTTCAAAGAGATCTTTTAGAACTTATCCCTTTTTTTAGGCCATTAATATTTTTCTCCTCCAAATGTTTTTTTTTTTTTTTAAAGTTTTACCGTCTATGATAGGTTTGAAGACCCATAATGTTATGTCACCAATGAACCACAAGGTCCTCTTTTGAACAAAAAACATTTAAGTCCTTATTGACTGGTTGGAAGATCTTTGCAGTGTTCAGAGTTTTTTTTTTTTTTTTTTCATTACTGTTTTCTTCCCTTTTTATCAGTACAAAAGTGATTTACCAATGGTTTTCCCCCCTTATTATCAATATTCAAGTTTTAAACAATTAGGAATGTATAATTATACAAATTACAGTAAGGGTGCGTTTGGGAGGGAGCAAACGGCACCTGCCGAGCAGACATTTCAGCATTTCAAGCATGCAACGTATAAGGAACAAAAGAAGGTGACAATATCACAATACTTGTAAAATATAGGAGTATCAAAAAGCAAGAAGAAACGAAATAGAAAATGAGAGGAAAGGTGACATACAGAAAGGTTCAAGTCCAATAAAATGGATGCGATGCAACGTATCCGTCTTTTAAAACAACAGAGAAACATGTGGATGTGGTCTTGGCATGCGGAATTTTACAAGCACCGCACCATCTGTATCATGAGCAGAGCTGCTTCTTCGCACAGAGCAGTGAGCACCCGGGAAGGGACTGGTCTCTAGACAAAACCCAAATGATTATCAGGCAGCCTCTTTCAGCTCCCTCCTCCCCTTTGTCATTTTCTGATTAGAAAAAGGTTCTCTGCTTCATTTTCTCAATAATAATTGACATTTTCCCTGTTAATCCTGAGAAAATTGGGGCAGATTTCAGTGCCAGCTTACTGACCCGCCCACGACAATTATTCTGTTTCAGAAATCCAAGTTGCTTCCCTCTCTGCAATCTATTGATGAAAAACACTGGCACCATTGCCTTGTAAAACTGTAGGTTGGCTTAAATTGTAAAGAGAGTGCTTTTCTATTTATTGCATAGATTCGAACAAGTTAAAAAGTTGTGAAAAATTTTTTTTTTTTTAATTTAAGTCCGATATAAATAAATTTGTTTGTATGGATGAAGCCTAAAATTCCCCTGCTGTTAAATAAAAAAATTGTACTAATGTAACACATCCTCGATCACCCTAGAGACTAGTAGCCTGCCAGCATGCCAAAGTTGCAAAAGCTTTCTTGGGTGTGCCACAGTGGGTACAGCCCTTTTATTTCTTCATCCTTTCAAGTGTGAGATTGTAATATTAAATTATTAATTTGTACTTATTAGTTATTATTAAAATGGTGATTCTCTGCTCCAGATTTACAAATTAATAAAGGAAAATTGAAAATGTTCTGTTTAATTAGCAGATTTTGGCCCTACTCAACGAGTTACCGGCTTCACCAAGAAAATACCAATTTACAATGGCGATGGCTGACAAGATCATGGAAGATAACGCAAAGGGACGACCACGCGAAGCTTCTCCATGTTAATTGAATGGCTCTAGCTTCATCTTTTACACGTACATGCACCCTGCTGCACCGCTCGATCCCTCCAACTCCAAAGCACGCCATCAGGAGAGGACGGTGACTCGCGGCATATGCACGCCATCAAGGCTATCCCTTTCGGCTCCTGCATAGCATCATACATGAAGGGCATAAGCCTATGATTGAATGCAACATTTTCTTGGTTTCACAGTGCCACAGGGCGTTTGCAGAGGAGGGAATCGGGAATAGCTAGATCATGTGATGGACAGGATTAGTACGGTGTGGTGATGGCTGAGAAGTTAGCACAAGAGTTAGTGTGGATAGCTAACAAGCTTAGGAGTTATGGGGATGTTAATGAGGCTTTGGTGCGGTGGAGTTTTGCTTCCGGTTTGGCTTTTCTATCCCTCACAGATAGTCCCAGCGTTCAGGGCTGCATTGTTAAGATCTCTGGTCATGTCCCTCTTTTAGGCTCCAATTAAGCACATTATACCCTCCAAGCCATATAGGCTAAAGTCTAAACTATAGAAATTAAAATATTTCTGGTACCAAATCGTTCACCGAAGGGTTTTTCCCCCTACAGACATTTTATTTTGGGAGCTGACTCGAAAAGATTTAGAGATTTCAAGGCAAGTGAAATTCCGCTTGCTGGAGGGTTGGATTCCATTGTTTTGCCATGCAAGCAATTGTCTTGCCTATCCTGTCTTAACGAGTGTTCAGAAGGCAGACATAGAGAATGCAATGGATGAAGAAATCTCCAGGTTTCCTGCAATGGATCAAGAAGTTATCCTCACCAATTGGCTTCAGGACTACGCTGTATCCATCTCTGATTGGCCAAATCTCCGAATATATTATGATCGCTGGTAACAATCTACTCGAGATCTAGTTACATAGATACAGAGCATGGCACGATGTTCTGTAACTTACAGTTGAATAGTACTCGTGTTCCAAGTACTCTCAGTTAACCTGCAATGGATTACCTTTTTCTTTTTGTTCAACAACCGTGGAATATTGCCATTTAGATGTGATTAATTCAAGACACAAGGTACAGCAGCTCAACTCCCAAAGTTCTATGTTGTTCCGACACTTCATTTACCTTTGGAGGAACATGGATACAAAGATCCAACCCTCTAAATATATGGAAAAACCTAAAAAAAAAATTGAGTATACCCGAGTCCGAGTAACATATCTCAAGTTAATCCACAAAATGTTGGTTGGGAAACCAAAAGAAAATTTACACAATGACAAAATCATTCATGTTACCTTAAAGGACGTCTTACAAAAATTCTGATCCTTGCCATTTATTTTATCAACTGCCTTCAAATTGCCTTAAGCGTGGATTCAGTTTCACAGCTTCTTCGGATCAGCTTTTGCATTTCTCTCGAACTGCTAAGCATGTGACATCGAAGGTGCAGCAACGTGTATGTGTCACAGGTCAAGACTTAAGCTCCGAACCCGCGCGGCTCCAAGATCCGGATATTCACCCTTCCGACATCCCAGATCAACCTACTTGCCACGGTTCACACCCTTGTGAGGTATTTTTCGCTCTGGCCCCCTCTGGCCTCACGGCGTCACGAGGTTGGCCATTCTCCCGCACCTCACGGCGTCACGAGGTTGGCCATTCTCCCGCACCCAACCTCGTGACGCCTTCGTCACGGAGGTTGGCCACCCTGCCTGCCTCCCTCGAGGTGCTTGGCGTGGATCGAACGGTTTAAAGCTGGCTCTGATACCACTTATCACAGGTCAAGACTTAAGCTTCGAACTCGTGCAGTTCCGGGACCCGGGCATTCACCTTTCCGGCGTCCCAGATCAGCCTACTTATCACGGTTCACACCCTTGTGAGGTATTGTCCACTCTGACCCCTTCTGGCCTCACGGTTTTGTCTACAAAAGTCGCCTCAAAAGGAAGAGGTGGTGTGAACCCTTTTATACCTCAGGGACCCTCCTATTATGTTCGATGTGGGATTCAGAACTTCCCCTTAGGTCCTTGACATATGATTCTTCCTACTTGTACGATTTCTGTAAAAATCACAAAATTGCTAAACTATAAATTCCCAGTTGGGGAGCTGTAAAATCAAAAAATAGAGCAAGGCAATCATTTTTTTAATGATCAACTTGGAATTCATGCAGGGAGAGGAATGAACGTCTTTGTGGCCGAGGAAGAGAAACCCACTCATGATCTCATCCTTCTGTTTTGATTTCTTCCTTCAATCATGATGAAACCAATTGAATTTGACAATGAAAGAGTACGACTGTTCACTCAATAAAGGCCCATATTGGAGTTAAGAGTTTTAAACTTAAGCCTTATCGGAGCCCAAAGTTTATTTCAGTACTTTATTTATTTATTTCAAGTTTTTCAATCAAAGAAATAAATAAAGAAAGACTCCACCCACCCCCTCCTTCCTTCCTCTCTCCAATCATTCGCCTCTCTCTCTTCCTTCTTTTATATTTGTTTAGATTCTTGGATTGTTAGCGGATTCGATCGAATTCGAACCCACCCTCGATCTCTCTCTTCTTTATATTTTCAGTAAACCACCTTTTTTTTTTCTCTTTTCTGATCTTATAGTTTTTATTCAAGGAACAGCGAAACGAAATTTAGGGAAGACGGCAAAGAATGTCGACGGAACAGAAAGAACAAGAACCTAACCCGAAGGGTAACGATAGGGATAATTCAAACGGTGAAAGTGAACATGAAGAAAAACAACAACAAGAAGAAGAAGAACAGGCTCCATGTCAGTCGTCGACAAGAACTCCTTTCACTAATCTCAGTCAGGTCGATGCTGACCTGGCTCTTGCTCGAACCCTCCAAGAACAGGTAAAATTTTAAAATTTTTTTATTATTTTTGGTTTATTACTTTAAAATTTATTAATTTTTGTGGGATTATTTGTAAAATTACTTTTTTTTTTTACCATGTGTTGTAGGAAAGGGCATATATGATGCTTATGATGAACAATGATGGGAGTGATTATGGAAGTTGGGAGGCTGGAAGCTATTTACATGATGATGATGATTTCGGGGATCCCCATGATCATGATGATACTGATGGCGATGATGATGATGATGATGGGGAGGAGGAGGAGGAGGAGGATCAGGGGGAATATGATGGCACTGATGCTGATAATGATGTGGATGCCTTTGATGTGCATGCTCATACTGAGAATGGGGAGGAGGATAACAACCCTGGTGTTGAATACGACCCAGCTGTTTTTTCCAGTGATGAGGCGTATGCTAGAGCGCTTCAGGATGCCGAAGAAAGAGAAATGGCTGCTAGATTGTTCGCCTTAGCTGGGATTGATGATAGTGAGTGTTTATTACTATGAGATTCTTGTTAATACTTTCAAATTTACGTCAATGTTAAGAGTGTTTACTAAAGTTTTACTAATTTGCAGGAGGAATTGTTACCTTAGAGGATCATGGCGGTAACTCTCAGGTATGGATTCTTTTACATATGAGTTCTCAACCCATATGTGTGTGTGTGTGTGTGTGTGTGTGAATCTCTAGGTTCCTTGATGGAAAAAATTTTCGATCAGATAAATAGTTTGCTAACATAGGGTATGTTATTGATATCTCAATTCAGTGCCCTATATGTCGACTTCTTTGCTTAGATACCTCTTTGGCTGACTTTCTTATATTGGAATGGTGATTTAAAGTTGTCATCAGTACGTTATTGCATTTGAAAACTGATTTAAAATGGATGGTTTGTGTTTATCTGGACTTTGGTCTCCATATAAGTGTATTATGGTTAAGAATTTTTGCTTGTTGGTAACGTTTGCTATGGTGAGCAGGTTAACCTGTATTACTATTTGTCGTCCTACCTATATGAAGGGTTTGTTTTACTTGGTGCATATGCCTTATATCTATCAGAGGAATAAGTTAGTTGTTTGCCTCTTTGAATCTGGTCATCTTTTTTTTATTTTTCCTGTTTGTCTAATTTTATTTTTTCCTTCACTATTAAACAAGAAACATGAACTGATGTATGTGACATATATAATTTTACATGCTTGCACATGTGCTTGTAAATACTTAGAGGGTCAACTATTCTTACTTTGCTTTCTTTCCTACATGCCTGAAAGATTGAAAACTGGAATAGTATATCAGGTAGCATGTCTGGTTTTCACTTCCTTGATCACAAAGATTTTGAATTGGAAAATTTTGGATTTTTTGTATTGTTATGTGTGCTTGTGCGTTAAAACTTTATATATTGAACAAGACTTTTTACCGGAATGGCACTAAAGCTAAAACCTTAGCAAGTTATTTCCAATCTAATGCCTGGGATGCTACATTTGGGTTTTACTCCTCTTTCCTTCATTAAATCACAATGGCCATTAAGTTATCTGATTTCTATTAGCTTTTAAGTTTTTAGGTAAAATGCACATAATAATGTTAGCACTTGATTCCATCTTGGTGGTCATCTCATATGATCAACTAGAAAAAGTGTGAATCATCCATTTGGTTGTTACTTTTAAATTGTTATAAGCAGGGTTCCACACTTGACAATCCCCTCTCTTTTCTCTATCTCTGTGGTTATGTCTGTCCCTTCATATTCTTGGTTGATAATATGATGTCTGGTTCTGTTTTAGGGTTCTACATGTAATGGTTGTTCTTTTACATTTAGAATTGCTTTTATTGGGATTGATCTGGTGATATATTGGAATAAAGAATCTGTGTTGATTATTTACGACGGTCGACCTTTTTGTGTATTAACAGTGCTGAGAATATTTGTTGTGCATAGCTTGAAAGTGAGGATAATGTTGTGATTGGTTCACAATTTGTAGTTGTCATATGTTGTAGTCCTCAATAATTTTTTTTGAAACCCACTGTTGTATTATATATTTTTCTATGCCCATAGCCATTGTCAGATATCAAGTCCATTGGAGAATAGAAGCTAGTTCTGTTCTACAGTGCTCTTAATGAGATTTGACTATGAATTTTTATGAAATAGAAAATCCATGTACGATTACCTTGACATTTGGCATGCAGGATAGAACATGATTTCTCTCTCTCTCTCTCTCTCTCTCTCTCTCTCTCTCTCTCTCTCTTTAAGCAGTGCTGGAACATATTATTTCACTTTTTTTCAAGTCTTAGTCTGTTGTTGACATGCGTTTGCAGGATACATGGGAGGAAGTTGATCCTGATGAGCTTTCATATGAGGTAAGCTGCCTTGTGGATTTTAGTTCTTTGACATTTTCCTTCGACATTCTTACTAAGCTTGATTCTATCATTTAGGAACTCCTTGCACTCAGTGAAGTAGTTGGAACTGAGAGCAGAGGGCTTTCAGCTGATTCACTTGCCTCCTTGCCTTCAGTAACATACAAGGCAGGAAGCAGTCAGAGTGGCAGCAATGATTCGTAAGTTGAATGCCATAGTTTTTTATGCCTGAACTTTTTTAAGTTGATGGTTGTGTTTGTATCCTTGTTTCCAGGTGTGTCATATGCCGTGTAGACTATGAGGATGGGGACTCCTTGACAGTGCTTTCTTGCAAGCATTCATATCATCGTGAGTGCATAAATAATTGGTTGAAAATAAACAAGGTATGCTTATTTACATTCTGACATTTTACAATGCAATGGGTACCAAATAATGTATTCCTGTGTTACTGCAGGTCTGTCCTGTTTGCAGTGCTGAGGTCTCTACCTCGGGGCAGAGCTAGTATTTTTGGACAATCCTCTTCCTCAAGCCTTAAGCCACCTGCTTGTTTTAATACGCAGAATGTACCATCTCTTTATGGGGGAAAATACTTTTATCAACAAATCTTCCTCTCTATCCATTCTGTGCTGTAACCCCTTTGGAATCTGTTTACTGTCTCTCTTATGGCCACGAGCCGTGCTTTTTAGACAAGTGACCATCTTACTCACCAATCTCTGTTTATTTTTCTCTTAATATACCAAATGCCTAGCCATTGAAGATCTTCAATTTTAATACAAAGAAACTGAAATTGCATCTGCATCTGCGTCTGTATATTTTCGGTGAAGGAATCATATATACATACATACATATGTATATATATATTTCACAACATGCATAGACACCTTATAAGATTTGTCACATAGAAGTTTATGTGGATAATTTTTTTAAATGATTCATAGGATAGTTTTTAAAAAAGAAAAATAAATTTTTAATTATAAATTAGATAATTTTAAATTTATTCAAATATTCAAATTATTCAAATTATAATTAAAAATCAAATCAATTTAAAAGTGTATTTGTTAAAATTAAAAATATTAAATATGAATTTTATCTACTTAATAAATAATTTTAGTTATTTATCAAATAGCATTATTGAAGAAATTATTTAATTATCAAAATTTTTCAAATATGGTTAAAAATTACAAAGATTAACTTTATTTAAATCTTTCAATAATCTTGTTTTTCTCTTAATTTGAATAGATAAAAAATTATATCTTTGAAAATTTTATTAAGATATTGAAAGTTCTAACAATTTTTTAGGCAAAATATTAAAATTTTAAATAACTTTTTTATTAAATGTTTAAATAAAAAGACCATCAAAGGGATTACATCCATCTCAACTCTAATTATCAAATTTATATTTTAAATATATGTAAAAAAATTTGATTTCATCTTTATTACTTATTATATCATTTTCAATTTAAAAATTAATTTAAAATTTATTGATTTAATCCCAATTGTCACTAAAGAATTGTTCTACAAATTTAAAATTATAAATGTAATGTGTTCTATCAATTTTTTTTTTCAATTTGTAATTTTTTTTCAAGATATATTTTTACTATTGCAATTTATTTTTTTGTCTATAACTTTTTTAAATATATTTTTTTTTGTTATTGTAATTTCTTTCTTATGAAATTTTTTTTTAATTTATTTTTTATTTTTTCACATATCTATTAATATTTTTCATATTTTGTACAGCAATTTAATCAAGATTATAAAAGTGAAAGTATGTTAATATTTTTTTATTATTTAATTCATCATTTAAAATATATATTTTTATTTTTTTAGAATGACATAATTTATTTTTATTTAATATAATCTCACATGTGTAGAAATATTATTGTAAATAAAAAATCTAAAAATATATATAATTTTTTTATTATTTTTAAAAAGTTGATTTTTTAATGACAAAGTAGTATGTATGAATTTCATATATATTATAAATTTTAAAGATTTGTGTACCAATCACAATCTAATTATCACATAAAAAAGGAGCAGCAATGAAAATCTTTGGAACATAATGCTTGTTATTTCTAATGGAAACATGCAAGTATATTATAGTCCATTTTGGTCAAGGAATGAATCAATCAAATGCTGTTTCTTTCATTTTTGCGCCAATATGAAAGTGAGATTGCATTGGTCTTTCGCCTAAGGGGTACTTCAGCTGCTGGTCAAAGACTTGGAGTCTTGGACTTGATGCTTGGATCTGTTGGATTCTCCATTCGATAGTGGCTCATGAACTATTAGGAAAAAAAAAAACTAAAGGCAAAAAGTAATGACAATCAACAGGATTTGACCGATCTCAAGTTTTAAAAAAAAAAATGAAAAGAAAATCTTGTCCTAATCCGATTTTACCTTCATTTAAAAAAAAAATACATATTTTTACTAGATGAAGACCGATCAAAACTCATCTGATATGGATTTTTTTTCATTGTAAAAAAGATTACACCTTATTCTAACAAAATAAGAAAATTGTTTCGATTTTGTAAAATAAAGATTATTATTTTTCATAAGACCCAAGTGGGTCTTGTTTTTGTTTGGGCTTCATTCAAAACTGTCCAACAACATTAGCCCAAGAATGTAGGAAATCTGAATCTGAAGACAACTAAAATGCTTTTGAGTTTCAAGTTGGCGTTCCTGTAAATGTGAAATGTTCCAAGCTCTTATTACCGTCCTTAATAAATGCAAATCATTCTCTGAACTAAAGCAAATTCATGCTCTGTTAATAACTTTTGGCCTCTGTCATGATGACCCAATGTTATCAAAACTTCTCTTTTTCTCTGCTCTCTCCGATACAGGCAACATCGATTACGCATACCGGGTTTTTTCCAGGCTACCCACCCCAACAGTCTTTAATTGGAACACGATTATCCGAGGTTACTCCAACAGTAAAAATCCAAACAAATCATTTTCAGTTTTTATTAAAATGTTGAGAGCCGGAGTCTTCCCTGATTATTTAACATACCCTTTTCTGGCCAAGGCATCTGCACGCCTTTTAAAGCCAGAACTTGGTGGTGCAATTCATGGCCACGCGTTAAAAAATGGGTTGGAGTTAGATAAGTTTATAAACAACTCTTTGATACATATGTATGCATCTTGTCGTGACATAGTTTACGCTCGTCGAGTGTTTGATGGAATGCCCATGAAGAATATTGTTTCGTGGAATGCTATGTTAGATGGTTATGCTAAGTGTGGGGATATGGCTTTGGCGCGTCAAGTTTTCGATTTGATGCCTCAAAGGGACGTTGTTTCGTGGAGCAGTTTGATTGATGGGTATGTTAAGAGTGGGGATTATAAGGAGGCGTTGGCAGTTTTCGAGGAAATGCGGGTCTTGGGTCCCAAGGCTAATGAGGTAACTATGGTGAGTGTGTTGTGCGCTTGTGCGCATCTGGGTGCTCTTGATCAAGGGAGGTTAATGCATTGTTATGTGATGGACAACGGGTTACCAATGACTTTGGTTTTACGTACTTCTCTTGTTGATATGTATGCTAAATGTGGGGCAATAGAGGAAGCTCTGGATGTCTTTCGTTGGGTTTCTAATGGTAGGAGTGATGTGTTGTTGTGGAATGCTATGATTGGAGGGTTTGCTACTTATGGATTGGTTAAAGAATCGCTTCAATTGTTTACTGAAATGCAAATAGTTGGGATTGTCCCGGATGAGATCACGTACTTGTGCTTGTTGAGTGCTTGTGCTCATGGTGGATTAGTGAAGGAAGCTTGGTACTTCTTTGAGTGTCTTGGTAAATATGGCTTGTCTCCTAAGAGTGAGCATTACGCTTGCATGGTGGATGTCATGGCTCGAGCAGGGCAGGTAGCAGAGGCATACCAATTTCTATGTGAAATGCCCATGGAGCCAACAGCATCATTGCTGGGTGCTCTGCTAAATGGGTGCTTAATACATGGAAAATCTGATCTTGCAGAAATAGTAGGAAGGAAGCTAATTGAGTTAGAACCAGATCATGGTGGTAGATATATTGCCTTGTCAAATGTTTATGCTACTGCCAAGCGATGGAATGAAGCAAGAACAATGAGAGAGGCCATGGAGAGAAGAGGAGTGAAGAAGTCTGCTGGATTTAGTTGTGTGGAGATATGAGGAGCTCTTTACAGTTTTATAGCTCACGATGAAACACACCCAAATTCGGAACAAATTTATAAAATGCTAAAATTTATTGTAAGCCAAATGAAACGTGATGTTAATAAGGATAATCAATAAAATATCTTTTTATGAAATGAAATGTAGTTGAGTGCATGTTATCTTTTCAATAAATTTCCCCAAAGAATGTTTATCTTGAGTTGAATGTGTTCTCTCTTTCACTCAGAAGGTCCACTGCGAATAGTATTTATTCAACTTTTAATAATTCATACTTCTGTCAGTACTCAATAGCGTAGCACATGAAAAAAGACCAAAAAAAAAAAAAATCAGAAACACACCGAAAGGGGTATTAATCTTGAGTTGAATGTTTTAACTTCCGAAACATGAAAGCAAAGCACACTCCCTAAACCAAATATATCAGAAATATGTTTCTAATAGATTTGTAAACATCAGACTTCATCCCAACAATGCTGACTCTTTCCAAGTATACATCCTCTTTTCATCCAGGAAACTCTTCTCAGAAAACCTGCTCAGTTCTCATTCTGCAGAATTGTAATCAAAAGACTGTCAAAAAGATGTCTTGATAATGGATACAAGTTGCAAACAACTGAAAAGAGACATGGATTGGATGACTGATAAAGCATTTGGATAACTGATTGTCACTTGATACATTTTCTTTACTACTCCTAATAAGGAAGTTAGGATCCATTCAGATGCATTCTCTTTCAAACATTTTGTTTAGGGAAATAATGTAGTTACAGTTTACTGAGCAATTGCCTGTTTGTCTACCACTTTAAACTAGTCCACACTGTTTTTAAGGTTTCAACAGGCCAACTGATTTTGTTGTAATAAACTCTAAACTTGTAAATTCAGAACACTATGAAAAAACCAGGATTGAGACTACTAGATGCTTGATGTAACAAACATGATGACAAAATGGTGATGAATATACCATATCTGCAATGCTAGACATTTGAATCTTGAAGGTTGGGCTGAGCAAGCTGGAGCTGATAGGAGTGGAACTGTTGAGGAATGGTTGCAAGCTGAAGCACACTACTAGGTTCTCCATAGAAGGGGAATTGATCCAGAACTTGCTGATGCTCCACTGGCTTAGCTTCTAATCCTCCCTGTTGATACTCTATTGCTGCTCGGTGTTCCTGAATCTGAATGGTCACCAGGAAACCAATCCATATAGCAATGTTTTATCTCCCAAAGCTCCTGTTCAATAATTCTTTCCCTAATATAAGTTGACTTGAATTATTTACTTACCCAGCGGTACATGTTGCTGTTTTCTTCCTCTAGTATTCGCTCCTACACATCCAAAGTATATTGAATTAGCATCTGATTGTATGTGAGTGCATACGGCATATGCTTGTGCGTGTGAGGAAAATTTTAGAAAGTGTTATTGCGTCACCTTTCTACGTAGATTATCGAGCTGTTGCTGCAAGAGCTCATTCTGCCAGTATTCCAAGCCAAACGAATGAAAAACAGCAATGGCAAATAATGTAGTTAAAGAAGAAAAAAAACCAAGGAGTCGGTTCTTAAGAAATCTTAATAAGTTGAACTTTGTTCAACTTTGAACACAAATTGATTATGGATCGGACATTCCTTTAGTTAATAAATTAATATCATTGCGAAAGGTTGATTTTGGATGTGTAGGAGGCGAGAAGAGTGGGAAATTAAGATTGATTAGTAGATAATGGAAGATGATGAACAGTACCTTTCGGTCCCGGACCTTGTTGACAGAGCGTTCAAGTTCTTGTTCAAGTTGATCAAGCTCTTCTAAAGGTATAGAGCTCATGTCCTCACCAGTGTAGCGTCTCATGCTTAGTTGAAGACGACGGGTTTCTTTCCTCAAGACTGCCAATTCATTGTACAAATGCTCCTATATATATGTTGTAGAAAATGGTAAGACAAGAAAATTTTCCAAATACCTTCTTCTATGAAACAAATTAAATTCTTTTTTATAATGGCCTAAACAATAATAGTAATGAATCTTACCCGGTTGTCATGCTCAGGAATGCGAGTCCCAGTGACCTTCTGATACCTTTCTATGATTTGCTCCATCCTGTGACAATATATATATATATATATATATATATATATGTAGCAAAGGTAGGAATTAGAATCTTTAAATTAAAAAAAAAAAAACTTATTAAATCTTTATGTGACATTGCAATTTTTAGACATTAATAAATTAGCATACAAATTAACTTTTGCACATTCCATATGCACCACTGAACTGAATTTCTGCCTCTCTATATGAAGAGTCTTGTATATCAATTTGAAGCATGATAACTGCCCTATATATCTAAAACCTCTTTCTTGCCTTGTTAGACTTGGATGGCCTTAGGTATTTTTTTTATTTAATATCATTAAGATTTGAATTTTGATCAATAAAATTAAGAGTTCAATATTTTCCTAATAAACTGATTTGTGGCATTGTTATCTTTTTAATTATAATTTGTTTCCTGAATTTGCTTGTAAAAAGGCTCTACCTCATGGAATATTTGGCATCCACTATTGTTGATCCTGCATGTCTAGATGCAAAATCATTTAGCATCTAAGGCAGAACTTTTAGAAACTTTGATCAGATGCTTTTTAATTCTAAATAAAATGGTTTTAGAAAATGTTCATGAGAAAAAGTTCATTCACATCTTTTTAGAGAAGGATATGAATGAAACAAAAAAATTAAGTCGGCCAAGATTAAAAAATGTTTTAGGCAGCATTTAAATTCTATAGTACTATATATATCATATAGCCAGAGTTATTTTTATTAATTGAGGATATATAAATCTCAGATTATTTCTTTTTCTAAAATAAAAAAAAAAATGGTTTTCGAAAAAATATTAATAAAAGGAGAGAAAAATGAATTTGAATGATATTTTGAGCAGGAAATTGAAACCCGCATGATTATAACAAAGATTTAAGACTGTAATAAGTCAATTATGGACGGTAGGTGATTATCATGTAGAGATCAGCAGATCATGAAACTGAAACTTAACCATCAGAAAAGTTGACTTAGGCCTGAAGAGAAGCCTTGAAAGAAACCCTAGCTAGTTTTTTTCAGAACCATGGCAGATGAAGAAGCACACCAGAACCACCCAATCTTGCTCAAATCAAATTCTCATGCATGTTTTGGCCAAGGTAGAGAGATTCAGGTCTCATGCCAAGTCATCGGATCATGGGAAAAAAAAGGTTAGCTTTGTTCTAAGCAATATGGATATATTGATCGTGCAAACGTATCCAACAGATGAAATGAAATGAAAAAAAAGCAAGTTGATGAATAAAAAAAGGGTAGAGAGAGACCTATAGGGCTCACTGCAGTACTGGCACATCTTGCCAGTGCTAGAGAAGATGATGAGCCCGATCTGAGCATCACAAAGCACAGAAAGCTCGTGGGTCTTCTTCAAAAGCCCAGCTCGCCGCTTTGAAAAGGTGACCTGTCGAGTTGTCTGGTTCTCAATCCTCTTGATCGGTATCTTTCCACGTCCCATTATTACCCCAACACCTTAATCTCTTGTCTATATATCTCTAGTTGGGGAAAGACACTCTTTTATCACTTCTAAAAACCACAAAAAAGGTGCACAAGCATTTAGGTCACAAATTATAATAATGGAAACTAAAAGCTTCTGCAACCTAAAATAAGAACTTTGTTTATCGTTTGTAGTTCATAAAAACAGGAAGGGAAGAGAGAAGGAAAAAAAAAAAAAAAAAGGAAAGAGAAAGTTCGATGACTATGAGTTTACCTATTCCCTGCTCGCAAAACTGCTGCTCTTTTGGTGAAGCGTGTAGGAACAAGGAATTTATTCTATAAGCATGCTGCTTTGCGTTTTCTAAAAACCCCCCATCTCATTTGGCAAAACTACAAAATTGCACCTTCCTCATTCTCATTTCCCACTCACAACAAAGATAGAAAGAGATCAAAGTCTAACTGCTAAGGTGTAAAAAAATTAATTATAAATTAATTTTGTTATATCTATATTTTGTTCATTTAATTAATTAATTAATTTTAAAATTTTATTCATAATCATTTTATTAAATAAATGAATAAAAATTGAATTTATTTATGAACTATTACTTGAACATTTTGAATATAAACGAATTTATTATGTATATAATATATTCATTTAATTAATAAATTATAAAATATTACTAGTGATCATTTATTAAGTTTAATAAATAAATTAAAAATTAGACATATTCACAGACCATTGGCAGACCGTCTTTGTAACCTGTTCTCCCCAAAAGTTTTTAAAATCCTTTAATATATATTATATCATCATATAATTAGTTCATTTATATTATTGGCTAAAATAATTAAATTAATTCTCATTTTATAATTATTATTTGTTAATTTTTAATTTAATTTTATGCTTTTAATTTAAGATGAACTAAAATTACATTATTATTTATCTATTTATCGTATTCAAATTTAATATTCACAAATTTTTAAAAGTAATAGATTTATCATAAATTTAAAATCAAACACATTCAAATTTAAAAAAAAAAAAATCTAACCTCTTAGCTTTAAACCGAATACCAAAAGTGTTTTTTTTTTTAGCTAACTACACTTATTTCCTCGTATCATTGTTACTGTTTTATTTTTTTATTTGATATAACTTCAAATGAACTATGTTAATTACTCGAATTTTTCATTTTTCTTGAAGTATTTATATATGAATATATATATATATATGTGTATGTGTATGTGTGTGTTTGATAAATATGAGTATGAAATTCAAACAATCCAAATATATGTAAAAATCTTAAATAAATGAGTACATCCCTATTGAATATATTCTCATATTTAATATTTATTCTTAAATTCGATTAACATAACAAATAAAAAATATATATTATATAATTTTAATTGATCATTTCAAAATTAGATGTCAAGATTCAGCATTGTGATGGACTATTTACACTGCTAATCTTATTTCACTCAGATTTTAATTTCCTCGTAATTCTTTTTTGTGTAAGACAAATCCCTTGCTTGCAGCACTCAAATTCTTCTGTGTTCCAGGCGAGGGAGGGGTTCATTAGTCTCAATGGATCACCACACCAATTTAACAATGATTTCATGAGCTAGGAGCAGTGGCATTATCAGTAATTTAATTGCAATAAGTATTCCTGTATTGTCCTATGCGGAAACACAGACAAAAGGGTGTTGTGACTCTTAACCACTCTTCTGATCTCATCTGCCAAGCAACCTGAAATTAATCAAATTTAGAAAGTTTTTTACAATGGGTAGAAAACTATGGCAATCAGAAATGGGAATTAAAGAGGGGGTGGGGGGTCCGCCAAAATCGTAAAGGCCCCTAATGGGAAACGACAAACTGTAACAATCCCATGAGAAAGACTTGGTATGCATAGTTCATGGTATGGTCATTGAGCATCACAGCAACTTGAAGAAAATTAGAGATAAAGTGGAAGTGAATTCTTTTGCGCTTAAACCTTCAGATGAAAGGGTAATTAAATCCCCTTTTTTCTCGCATCACCTAAATCTCCTTTTTTTTTTTTTGGTGTAAATGGATCCTTTGAAAGCACTAATCAAACCCCCTTTTTTGTCTGGTCTATCCTTTCTTGACTGCAAAAAATGGTAATGCGGCAAGTATTCACCACACGCAATCTGATCATCAGGATCAAAAGATTCAAAAGTCATTGTGTTGAAACACCAAACTTTGATGAAATGAACAAGGAAAAAAATCATCATTTTTGCTTTCTCATTACATTGAAGATGTCTTAGAGTAATGTAGAATAAGGCCTTTTCTCATTTTAATTCTACAAAATGTTGATCTAGCACGGACTAGATATATAGAAGCTAAGAAAGCAGTTTCAGTTGAACCCAGTTTTATTGATAGCCACAGTCATCTAATAAATTTTGGACTTCAAATATCAACACCTATAACCTCTTTTCCTATTCTCAAAGAGCGGCTTCCTTCCTTTAAAAAAAATGTTTCAATTCAACTATATATTATCATCAGCATTAAAAAAAAAAAAAAAAGTTCTTTAACAGCCTTTACAAATTCCATCAGTACTTCCAGTGCTTTTTAATATCAAATCCTGAGAATGCATAGACATGTATTACCATATTGATACAAGAAGAAGTGATATTCCAAAGAGCAATATGTAGTAAATGCTGTTTCATTGTATATCTGCAGTTAACTCCATCCATCATTTTATCAAGTAGAGCAGTGATATTAATTTCTTATAGTTAGAAAATTGGAACTGCTTGGTTTTCAATTATCTTTTTCGGATTCTTGTTGAACCGATGAGGGTTTTTGTTGTTTAATCAGCATTTGTCTTAGTCTATTTTTAGTAACAAGCCCTAGACAGGCAATACATACAAGGTTTTCTAAATGAGGATGCTAAGGCTAGCCATTGGTCCCCCCATAGTTTGTCTGCCATTTCATTGCAAGTCAGCATCATAATATCCCACTTAGCTCACGATAAACTGCAGTTACCAGCCATATTCAGTGAAACAATCTCTCTCTCTCTCTCATCTTTTAGAATAGGTTGAAATCATAGTCTCCTCAGCAAGTTGAATACTACAATTATTTAATTATTTTTAGCACTATTGAAAGTGGGGTCTTTCTTTTTTATATGTAAATTTGAAATAAAATGTGGGAGACCATTTCAGTGAAGGTCACCCGTTGTAGAAACTGAAGAAAAAACGAAATGAGAACATGGGGCTTACCAAAAATGGGACGCCTCGCAGAAGAGGCTTTAGGTCCCTTCAGCCCTCATTTAAAGCTCAGATTCACATGGCCCTTGCCAGGCATCTAAATTTTGCATGATGTTTCATCATGATTAGTATTAAATAAAGCAAAATGGTAGCCCAGAGAGATGGCATCATGCACAAACACTGGTTAAAATTTATCCTTTGGGCCTAACTATGTGAGACTAATTACCATCTCTCCTTGGATTAGTTTGACCAAATTTACTTCTTTTAACATTAATATGTATGTATATGCACCCAAAAAAGCATTTTGATAATCTATATATATTTTTCATAATACTGTCATTCAAAAAAAAATTTTTTACATGCATGCTACGCTAATTCTTCATTCATATTACCGTCAATGAAGGTCTAGGAATTTCCTGAGAATTGCAGGTCAAGAAAAAATGTCCATAAGCTTTTATTTTTGGAAAAAATGACACTTTGTTCAATTTCATATGCCATAACTCCCAAAAACAAAACAACTATCAATATGAGAAGCAAGTTAGTTGCCTTCGCTAAAATTCACATTGGTGAAGTAAAACCATTACTCCCTTCAATCTTTCATTGCCATTTTAAAAATGAAACACAATATAACTACGTGGTGGAAACATTACAATATCTACAAAAATCAGGTTGTGCTTTGCCTGAATCGTTTATCAATAGCACTTGAAACAAAAATACACAACCTACACATATCACCAGGCTCCGGCTGACAGAATAAAAGGCAAGCAGGATTTAGGGGTATATAATTACAGAAACAGACTACAGTTGCTATGTTCTACACCTTACCAGATGCTACAGATAAACCTTCAGCTAATATACAGAAACAAAACTCCAAAAAGTTTGCCCGATTTGGAAGGGTAACCTTCAGCTAAGATGCAAGCACTGTTGCAACTCATTTAACTTTATTAGCAAGCTGAATCCTGAATCAAGCAATTTAACAACTATAAGAGTTAATTTACTAGATAACCAGCATGCAAAACTTAAAAGGCATATAGAGCGGTATCATAAACCAATTTTATCAGTTTCATGTTCATGCAAAAAATAATCAGATGTAAGGTGACTACCGTAAAGAAAACAGAGATATCCACATGGATCCTTATATGATTAGATTCACTAAACTGATAGATGCAGAAACAAGGGTGTATAGAAAATATGGTTGAAGGGTTTCCAGCAGATATATACTCAAAGCTAGAAAATTTAATCAAACCAGTTTTCCCAACATAAGATGCAGTTAAATACAAGATCATCAAACAGGTATTTAAAGGTACCATCACATGATACAATTGCAAGATTGCTTTAGTTCTTTTTTCACATTAAAAATGCATTAAAGGACCAACATTTCACATTTACTTCCCTAACTCTATAGCAAAGCAGAATCATAAAGAAGCAAATTCAGGATCATATCTTATCATATTTCAAGGAAAGAAAGAAGTTACTGGAGTTATATAAGAAAGTTTTAAAGCAAAATAATAACAATAATAATAATAATAATAACATAGTATTAATATTCAGAATCAAACAACAGTCGCAAGCATCTGAAGTGCCTCACATTGCATTTTCATCCAAGTTATTCACAGCTTCACACACTGCATGTACAATCATTTTCTTCACCTGTTACAAATGGCAGTTATAAAGAATCAACATTCAAAAGATCAATAAACTAAAGTGTTTGTAAATACCTCAAGAAAAAAAGAAAAGCTCAAAGTATGAAACTTTTGGACGACATATACTAAACCCCTAACTACTTGTTTAACAGTGCATCAACCTCAATCAAACTCAAATAACCACATTGGATAAAATGAAATGAACAAAGGCCAATCTAAGCAACAACTATAAAAAAATATTGCAAATGGGTAAAAAAATCGGATAGAAGCCAATTCATGGACTATAATTCACATGGCAAAGAGAGCCAAAACAGATATGGACTTATTAAAGTGCCAAAGAAGGAGGAAGTAGAGTCAAACGTACAAAAAATGTTTTATCACCATGATTAGCTGAAAAAGCAAATGCAATAGAGATCAGGAAATGTCACAATGATCAGGTGTAGGTAATGGAGTCTTGCAATTCTGTGTATGTGGTGCTGCAGTGATTAGGTTCTGCCAGTATCCATTGATCATTGGAACAGGCAACTAATGTTTGCATGGGTTTAAGTAACAATGATCCATCGTAATGTTAATTATGGATATATGCAAAACTGGAGGATCTATATCAACTAGATAACTGAAAGTCTCCAAAGTGCAAGATACCAGTAAAGCTATCCACTGGCCCTCTCACTATAGGGGCTAAAAGAAATGCAGAGAAATCATAGCATCAACATTATAATGCTCAAGAACTATGCACATACCTCCAATTTATCCTCTTTTGCCCTATGATCATGATGAAGTACACGAAATTCTTCAGCCAAGCGAACACACTCACCAACATTTTCAGGTGAAACAAAATCAAGAGCAACCTTTATGCAAGACTGTCATACATAAAGACATAGGTAAGAGTGTCACACAGATAAGCCTTTGCATATTGAATCATCAGCACAAGTAATCAACTCTATGCATAGTTGCTAAAGGAAGGAAGCTTACAGCATTATTTGTTTTTACTGGACATAGCCATTATGACTGGAAAGCAAAGTTCTAAAATCTCTTGGTGAGCAATTAAGGTTTTCAGGTTTCAAAACAGAATGTATGACCAAACACACAAGAATCCATCAAGGATATTAGACAAGACACCAAGAAAACAAAAACACTTCAGAGTTTCGCAAATGTCGCAATATTGCTTCCCTACTGATATGTCAAACCACTCACAAGCATCTCAAATCTAGATACAATTCAAATTAATTAGAGAGCATGATTCATAAATCTTTTTCTAATCGCTATGTTCACTATGTTAATGATTACAAGTATTTGCACAACGGATTGCTACTTGAGACATTTGCTCAAATTTGGATACAACATTACATAAGTTACCACTTAGGTAACAAGATAGTTTAAATTTGCAAAATTTAGGCAATTTTAAGATGATAATTTGAATTAGAACCTATTTCCCTCTTAAACTGAAAAAGCATATACTAGATGAGAGGCATGCCAATAAAAACATTAAAGACACAATTAAAGTTGGCAATCCTTTTTCCTTAAATGTCCCAATGAAATTTACATGCCAGATGCTGACATCTTTACAATATATATTTCACAATATTCAAAAGATTTGGTACACAATTAAAATATGACATTAATGTCTTTCAAAAACAAATATGACAGTAATGTTGAAAACACTAGAGATTCATAACCTTTTTCAAACAAAAGCATAACAAAAAATTGCAACAAGTGATTTGTGTTACCTTAATGTTCCTGACTTGATGAGGACAACCTGCAGGTATAAAAACAGCCTCCCCAAGTTTCTGAACAAAAGTCCATGGCTCAATTCCTGCAAGACAGCATTTCATTTAACCATAATCAAAGACTGGCTTTTTGTATGAGATGTCCAATAATATTTACTTTACATTTTAACATACCATATTCCTTCTTAAGCTTTGCTTTATGATCCATAGTCAGAAAAAAGGACTGATCATGTATAGGGTGAAAAACCTATATCATCAAGAAACAATAATAGTACAGTATAAATGACTCATCAAAGACATGAAGGTAAGAATCAATTGCCTAAAACAATTAATGTATTAAAATCTATAGCATATAAATATGCTAATAACAAATAGCCTAATTCAAAAAACCTCTCTGCGAATTCCTGTCAGATTATATTCTTTACCCAGCTCAATTGGACAGTACATATGATGTGGAAGCAGTCACCAATCTGTCTAAGTATTAAGTGTTGTTACTTTAGATTCTACTGCTTTTCTTGTACATTTGTGCGCACACGCACACTAAATAACAATCCCATTTCTTTCATTGTGCCTAAGGAACCATTATAGGCACATCTTAAATAGCAATTGATATCCATTTTTTGCTACAGCTCTGAGATTAGTTCATTTTTAAAAATAATGAAAAGGGAAACAAGGGTTCATAATCATTTATGAAGATCCAATCAACAGAAAGTATTGCAGCTCCATTACTAAGAATATTATAATTCAATTAAAAAAAAAAGGAAACATAAAGTGTCAGGCCCAATACATAATTTAGAAAAGTTACCTGTGACACTGGGCAACAATGTATATATCTAAACTCCCTAAAATGCTTTTTAAGGTAATCCTGCAGCTTTGGAACATCTTGCCTCCGGAAAATGTCCCAGATAGCACCTCCCTCAACAGCCTCCAGCTCTTCAATCTTATCCCCAGAAGTTTCAAAAGATCTGCCATTCTCCCTGCATTCTTGATCCACTTTTGCCTTCCCACTCTCTTCCATTTCAAATTCCCTCACTAAGTTATTGCTATTCAGGCTAGAATAACCATCTTGACCTTGTTCAACAATAACTTCACCTTCTTGATAACCACATCTATCACTAGACCGCTTATTACAGGTAGAGTTGTCAAAAGACCCATCACCAGGCTTTTTCCTGTCAACCTTTGAACTTATTCCAAAAAGTTCCTGCCGGTCTTGCACATGGTGCTTATGTTTTAACACAGAAATGCTAGCAAGCTGTTCAGGTGTAAGCTGCACCTCAGCTGTGTGTGTTAAAACATTCACCTAGACAGAAATTTAAAAACAAATAAACATACTTTAGGAACTATCTAATGACAAAAACTACAAAAGTTTTAGTTTGATATTTCAAAGCACAGGGGAAAAGGCAAACAGAGCCACAGCCACAACTGACTTCTATCTGCTTGCATGGCAACTTAAGCTCATTTTTCCACATCTCATGAACAGATGTTTAAAGAGAACCTGACGTCCTGAATTAATGAAAAAACAATAACTTAAAGCATACAATATTTGAACCCAAATACTTTTTTTTTTTAATTATTAGGGGAAGTGGGGATTTGAACTTGAGAGATCCATTGTCAAGACTCGAGATGTGGACCAACTAGGATGTGCCACTGCCCAACCAACAACCATAGATATATCGGTATGTTCAGACATACCAGTTGAGTATGTTAGCCAAAAAAATAGTTTAGGAGTCCATACCCATACAAATTAATTAATCTGATCCCTGAGTTATAACTTATAACATCTAAAAGTCTACCTACTAGCTTTTGCAGTCAATTTTGTCAATGCAGTGCCCTTACAACCCATACACCCACTTCCCAAGGAAAAGACCACCACCCAAAATATGAAAAAGGAAAAAGCAAAAATAAGGAGTTAATGTAAACATAAAATTTGAATAAAAACAAAATCATTGTTAGAAGAAGTTATGCTGGCTCTAATTATGTCTTTGAAAGGCATAGAAAGAACAGTAATTGTTTAAGAATCAAGCATCAAAGATGAATAAGTAAAGACAAGATCCAATCAACTGTAAAACTGAAAGAATAAGCTATCATTCAAAGCTGCAAGTTTTCCTTTTTGAAAACCTGTTGAGATTATACCTCGAACCAACAAAATAAACCAATGTGATAATGGCCTTTGATCCAAATGATGTCAAAGTTACTGGTTACTAGAACCGAAAGACACCTATGTACTATAAGATAGCATTAGAAAAGCAGTTATATGATCTATTTTATCCGTTCAACATTATGATAATGACCATAAACACCTATGTACCAATTTAAATGTCATTGGCACATGATTATCAGATATATCAATAACTCATTAAAAAAAAAAGTAGGCACAGAAAGAAAGTTCTTTCTAGCTACCCAACCTAATAAACATTTTTTATTCCACCTGAATAAATAATCAACTATTTATTAGCACTAAAGTTGTTATTAAAAAATAAAGGAAAAACTGTGAGCATATACCGCATCAGACATATCACAATGAAGCCTGGTTACAGAGTCTCCACGCCCAAGCTCTTGAGCAACTCCATATGCAATATATGACTTTGGCCCCATATCTGGCTTTAGAGAATTCTTTGGCAATTTGGTAGCAATATTAAGAAGCCCACTTTGAGGATGGGTATATTCTTTAAAAGGCAAACAACAAAGAAACTCGGCATGATGACGTGGAAGGAGCTTCTCAAATTCATTAGATGGAGGCCAATCTTTCAGCTTCAGTATCAGAGGCCATGATTCTTCATCAAAACGACCATCTGTATACCCTTTAAAGAATTGGTGTATATTGACCACAACCTACAATTCATCAACAGAGCTGATTTTAGGACCAAGATAATCCGGCCAAAAAGCAATTGTGAAAGGACAAGCATATTTATTTATACAAGCCAAAATTCTTGGAAGATGAGATAGTAAAATGGCAATGATATTATAAAAGCAACAAAGTATAAATATGGACACATTATCCCATTCTCTTTGCTTCAAGTTAAAAAGACATTGAGATGTGAACATGTCTGCACTCTACAGGATACTAAATTACAAACAATTGGAAGTCATAAAGAAAATAATTATTTTTCAAACATGACAGCTGTAGTCAAAACGTGTTGTAATAAGAAAGTCCTTTGCAGTAAGATCAACGATTAATTTGATTTCTGCAGTAATCAGTTTGATTAACACATATCGGTACAGTAAAAAGTGCATAATCAAGTTTAGCATCATATGCTAATACTAAGAACTAGTACAGTCAATAACAAAACTGACCTCAGAGCAATCTAAGCAATGAAGTGCCTTAACTTCCAACTGTTGTTCATGTTTGGTATTAGTAATCTGACGAAAAGCACGCCACATAACCATTGGCTCCCAGCTCAAACCAGATGTATTCTCAAGTACATCGCTGACAATAACAGGCTCACCATTAGCCCAGTGCCTTTGGAAATGTTTGAAATCTCCACTCTGAATATCTTTAGCTTTTGGACAATATAAATAGTTGTCAGTGGTATCTCCTCGAGAAGCTGCTTTCCTTAACTTATTACTACCAATGTCAACTTCTCCAATTGAATTGTAACAAGTGCACTGTTGGTTAGAAAATTCAAAAACATGCTCAAGATTGAGATCTTTGGATATTTTCTCAGCCTTTTCTGTTAACTCAACAAGAGCATGTTTTGTAAAAATACCCCTTACCTCCAAAAGGCCATTACCACACCCACCCAAATCCTTTGGGGGGCAAGGAATGCTACCATTTTCATTTACCTTCCACCCAGAAGTTGCAGCATTATTTTCTTTAGAGTTAGTTTCCCCAGGGGTATCCTCCAAAGTATTCCCCATTTCTGAAGACAAAGAGCACTGAATTTTTCCATGCAAGTAATCAAAACCCCTATCAGCATATTCTATAATCACGTCCTTTTGTCCACCCTTCAAATGTCCAGCACGTAATTCACAGCAACACGTAAGGCACAGATCATAGTTGCAATTAGGACAGCTTCTATGAAAGTCCACAATTGAAGTTCTGCAGTTGTTACTGCAAAAACATGTATTGGCATAAGGAACTTGATTAAAATGAGTTCCAACAACGAACAAAATATCCCCATTTAATTTCACCATCACAACAATAACAATAAGAACCTACCAATATACACGCACATCATTAGGACAAACTGCCTGCGTAAACTGTATTTGTTCAGGGAGCACCCCTAACTCATCCAAAAACCAAGTGTTAAAAATAAATTATTAGAAAAAAAAATTCATTAAATAGCAACATTCTAACATGCCACATACATATTAAGATAACAAGAAATTTATAGTCCTGATCACTGGTTCAGTTTCCTGCTATTGATAGGGCTCAAGAAATAACATTTTGGTGAAATGATGGTAGGGTAAATAATTCTTAATAAACAAACCAGTACACTGCCACCAAATTAAGGCGAAAATTAATATTGTAATGAAAAAGCTTTCACATGATGCCCTAATTTACTAAAGACAGAAGAGTAGGTTTAATAGGTCCTGCTGCCATGAAGATGCCTCAGTTGCAGATCCCTTAAAATCTAGTACAGTCAAATGAACTTCTCATACCAAAAGGAAGCCAAATCAAAAAAATCTGTCATCCTAACAACAAATTATGCCAGCATGGTATCTGGAATTTTCATTTTCAAGCTTTTTTCCTATAAAGAAAAGGATAGTAAGCTCCAAACAAAACAAAGAGCCATATTTCGTATCTACATCAACAAGAGAAAGGGAATTTCAACATTATTTTTAAGATCCTTCTCTTAATGGAATTTAACGATTATTTTTAAAATGAATTTCAACATTAAATTATTAGACCGTAAGCATGACCCCACATTAGACCCCAGTTAGCTTGCACAGAGAATGTCACTAAGTTTGCAACAAAACATGTTCGCATGGAGGTATACATACCTTGAATTTTTGCCTCAATGGCCACCTCATTCATTTGTTCTTGACTAAATTGTTTAATGTATGGAAGAAGTGTCTGAAGCAAGTATCTAGAGTGCTGAATTTTTTCATCATCACTGAACTCCAAATTTAGTGTCTTTCCCAATTTCTACAACTCATCAAGTATACAACATCATAAATCAAGTATAATATTATACATGCATCAAATGGAGCAGTAAGGCCATGAATTTAAGAGCTAACTTTAACAAGGCCAGTCATGCGCAAGCATGACTTGCAATTGCAATTATCTCGACAAAATGGGCAGGCATCAGCAATTGCATCCTCTGACATCTTGGGATACCTAGTCCCAGAAAAACAAATACATAATCATTAGAAGAAAAACAAAATATTCACTTATGATTAAGATAACAACAATCAGAGAGAAAAAGCAGCAAAGTTCATGGGTAATTAGTAAATGCATGCAATACAAAACAGAAGCAATGCACATACATTTTGCCAGAAACCAACCTTGGTTAAAGAAATTCAGAACATCTAGTAGTTTCTAAGGAAAGAGTAGACAGAGTTAATGCTCCAATAAGAGTACCAATTTGTTAAGCAGGGGATGCAATATCGTTTCCGCTTGCAAAGCTTGCATCTCACAACCCTGCCTTTATCATTCCTCTGGCACTGATGGCACATCAGTGATTCTTCTGCAATCCACTGTTGAAGGCAAAAAAGAAACACATCAACACTTCAATCAATCATGTAACCCAAATTAAAAAGACATTGTAAAAATAACGCAACAATTAAAAAGCATAATTTTTACCTTAGCATCCTTATTTTTCTTTGAATATGGCAAGGGCTCTTCTTCTTTCTTGGTAACTCTTGAGGACCTAAACGAATATTTTGACTTAGCGTTGGTTCCCAAAGACTCCTCTTGTTTTTCCGAACTTTTCCCATTTCCTACAACTTCTTTATCCATCTTCTTTGCCCCTTTTCGACCCCTCTTCTTTCCATTATCTACACCTAAATTACCGCCTTGCTTTTCTTTACCTTCCTCCTTTACATCTTTCCTTTCAGTGCCTTCACTTTCGGAAACTTGTTTTCTTGGCCTACCCCTTCTTCCTCGCTTCTTTGCAGGTATCCCAATATCTCCATTCTCAATATAATCATCTTCTTGACCTTCAGATTTAACAACTTTCCTCTTCTGCCTACCCTTTCGCCTACGCTTCTTTGACACGTACCCTTCATCTTCATATTCTACAACATCAGCATAATTAACCTTCTTAGAAACTGCTCTCAGTCTGCTCTTCAAAACGTCCCCCCTATTTCCTTGGCCATTACCAGCAGCACCCAAATCAACTTCCTCTGTCATACTAGCTCCATCTTCTACATTTGCTATCCCCGGATTCCCAACAAAAGTCCCATTTTCCTCCTCCAATTTCTCTCCACCATCTTCCTCTTTCTCAACCGCAAAATCTGAACTTTTTCCCTCGACATTTCCCTCTTCCACAATCTCCTTTTTGACCCTTTTCGAAGAATTTGTCTCTTGCTTCTTTCTACCTCTTTTATTAGGCTTCTTTAAAGCAACCCCTTCCAAATCCCCACTTTTCTTCTCCTTCCCTTCAATTCCTTCCTCTTTTCCTTCCACTCCCCGTGCTTTCTCTCCAACCATATAACCATTGTCCTCCTCTTGTCCCTCCCCGTTTCTCCCTTCAAATTGATCCTCCAAAGAACCGCAATTTTCTCTACTTCCCATAACTTCACCGTCGCTTTGTGACACTCCTTGGTAGATTCCAGGCGCTGTCTCCGGCTTCAGCCACTTCCGTGGATTAGTCTTTAAAATTATAAAACAAGATTAAGCCTAGGATTTTTTCTTTGTTTTTGTTTGACTAGGAGTTTAAAAACGAGTTTCAGTACAAGTAGAAGATTATTTTACTAATAAAAGGAGAATGGCGCCATCGGGCAATAATAAAAGGTTCAAAATATGGAATGATGGTATTCCGGTTTGATATTGAAACTGTGGGTTAAAACTTAAAAACATGAAAAATCAAAATTTGGGAGGGAAATAAAACTTGTATGATGTGAAATGAAGTGATGCTAGTAAGTTAGGATGTTGTCTGGTCTTCGCGCAGTGTTCGAAAAATGGGAAACCAATCAATAAGCTGGAAATTTGGAAGTGAGTTTTGGACTTAAAAGTTGGGTTTGGGCGAATATTTCTGGTTTTACGGTAGCAACTGTTGGAGTTGGGGGTCCAGACAAGACAGACCTTGAAAAAGGTTGGGGTGGACTTGGACTTGGAAGTGAATGTCCGTCTGTAAAAACATCTATGGAACAAGAGTCGGAGAATCAGGATGCTTGTCCAAATGTCCCGCCCAAGTTGTTTCCTACTTATTATGGATCCCAATCCTTTTTTTTCTTGTTTCTTTTTTTGGGAGACTTGAGGAGTAAGTATTTTCCCCTAAAACATGTTGGACGTTAGGCTTACATCTCTGCGTTAATTCATCCTTTAGCTTTATATCCCATAGGTGATAGACCCAACTATACCCATAACTCCTAAAAGTAGTATCTGATTTAGATGAGACAGCTTAATGGCATTAAGAAACCTTTTTCAATCATCAAAATTGCCTTAAGTCTCATAATTTAACTCTTATCTTGTAACATTTAATATTTATTGAGAAAACAACACATAAGTAATATCTACACATAAAATAATAAGCTCAAATAAATAATAAAAACACATAAATATATTTTATTTCGATCTAATTCAAAATAACCTACTACTTCAAATCCTATTCTTTTGATATAATTACCAAAACCAAAACTTAGCTATTCTCTTGATATCTATTTGGAATTACTAAAATAAAACCAAAACAATTTATTTATAGAGATAAAATTTCTTATACATTTACTAAACTTTCAGTATATGATATAAAATAAACTCAAACTTTTATAATTTCACTTAACTTTCGATATGGGATTATGAGATTCAAAGTAAATTCTAACAAATCCTTTTAAATCTTCAAATACTTTAACAATATCTGCAAAGTTGATACGCTTGCTTTTTTTCTTTTCTTTAGTCACAGGAATATCAAGAACTGAACCTCCATCAAGTATGTATAAATGATTTTTAACTTTATTTCATTGTAGAATCACATTACCATTTTTGTACACTTGCAACCAATTATTACTACTATAATATATGTACCCTTAAGAAGCTCATTCACTTAAAGCAATCAAATTATAGTTATAGCTTTGTACATATCTTACATGATGAAGCATCTTAACAACACCATTGTGAGATCTAAGGCGAACACTCTTAATGCCTTGAATCTATACTTTTTCATTGTTGGCAACTATAATATTCTCATATTTCTTATTCTCTTTCCACTCTCTACAGAGCAACTCCTATTATTACAAACATAGACTATAGCAACTGAATCTAAAATCCAATTTTTATCACTTTTTAAAGTTTGAATCTCATCCACACAAGTTATCAAAATGACATCATCATCATCAAACACAACAGTGGCAGTACCATTGTTTTCTTTATCTGATTTCTTATCATTATTAACCATTTTGAAAGCAATCATATTCCTTCTAAACTTATTGCAGCACATTTGAATACGTCACTTTTCACCACAATAATAATATTCTATGTCACTATAATATCTATCTCTTGACTTGGATCAACCTCTTAATCCATCCATCATTTTTTAAATCCTTCACCAACCAAAACACTTTACAATTAGTGTACTCCTTTCAAGTAATGAGTTATGTATTCCCATAAACATTTTGTTTTCACACAACAAGACAATCATTTAATTTAACTTTAAAGTAGCCTCAACCACCAACAAAGTCTAAACTAAAGGTCTATAGGATTTTGCCAAAAATGACAGCAAATTAAAACATCATTTTCATCTTCTAACTCATCAATAAAAATTATCAAAAATCAAGAAACCAATCTATTAAACTCATTCAGGTGATTATGAAGATTTGTACCTTCTTTCATATTTAAAAATAATCTGTTAGTCAACGACTTCGATGCATAAATACCCTTAGGCGAATCCCACAAAAAATTTAAAGTACTCTCAGTCAACACATTATACTTAACCTTTGAGGATATTGTCAATCTAATAGTACCAACAGCTTTCTTCTGAATTCTATTCCAATTACTATCAGACATTTCCTTAGACTTACTACTCTTTAATGCCTAATCAAACCCTTATTATAATAATAGATCTTAAATCGTACTTTGACATAACATAAAATTACTCTTTTCATCAAATAACAGACTTTCAAACTTGGACATAATCATACTAATCATACTAGATGTACTTTATTCAGATATCTTAAAGTACTTACTTCACGATATTTTGGGCATGCTTATTCTTTGATGGACTCTCAAACTTGAGCATAGTCATACTAAACATACCTTATTCAAACTTCTTAAAATATTTGTTTCACAATCTCTTAGACATGCTTTTCATTTTCCCAAACCTCCCTTTGATATTATTTGTTAAGAATCATCATAACTTTGATACTATTCAACACACACAGTACCCACAAAAAAAATAATAAGCTCAAATCAAGAATAATTCAAAATAGTTTACTCCCAACTTAATTCACAAATAAATAAAATCTTTATAACTACGAGACTTTTGAAATGAAAAAAATCACAAAATTTTTTATTCAAAACTTAATCTAAAACTTGATTATATCTTTTTAATAATCTACTCATTTAATTATTCTATCCAAAAACCCGTTTACACTATTTTAATAACCTATTCATTTAACTATTTTATTGATATCTAACAATCTGAAATTATCAAACTAAAATAAAAATATCTTATTTATAAAAATAAAACTCTTATACCTTTATTAAATACCTTTATTAAACTCACTCCTAATGTGAAATATAAGACAAACTCAAATTCTTATAATTTCACTTAATTTTTGATATAAAATTATGAGATTTCAAACAAATCCCAACAAATTATCTAAAATTTAGAATTTAATACTTAAAATCCTTCATTTTATTCTCAAAATTAAAATATCCTTTGTATCAAAATAATTTGCATTTGAGAGTATCTTGCTCATCATATCTATAATTTCTAACAAGAAATTTTGAATTCAAATAAAATAAATACACATATTTTTCATTAAAATACATATTCAAGTAATTTATATTTAAAAAAAAAAAATTATAGTAACCAACAAATTATGTTGAATTTTTTTTTATTAATATAGTTGTATCAACGCAACTACCAAAATGTAGCTCTTTTTTATGCCAAATCTGGTTTCCGCAACAACGGCACAATTAAAACGAGGGTAAAAAGATTTTCCCTCATTTCAATGTAAAATAATTTTGGACAAAACAATGAAAATATCAAAGAAGTCAACCTGAAACTAGTTCAGGAAATCGTTTTCATCTTTCTTTTTTTTTTTTTTTTTTGTTTTCTAGAAAAAACACTAATTCACGAGACCTCTTTGCTTGAAGACATCAAGCATTGCCACACCAATCTTTGCAGGTGATTCAACAACTGTCACTCCAGCTTCCCTTAGAGTCTTGATTTTGTCCTGAGCCGTGCCCTTGCCTCCGGATATAATTGCTGCTTGTACAAAAATAGAATAGAGGCAAAAACAAAAAATAACAAGTAAATGAATAGAACATTTTAGGGCAAGAATAGCTATATTATTTCAAGAAAAATTCCCACTTGAAGAAGAGTATTATTAACACAATGAAACCATCAAACATGGAAAAAACACCATACACACTGGCCTCAATAAACTCATTGCTATGACCTTGTCCCACTATCATACCCAATTTCGATACATACACACATTAAGAACAAAGATAATAATTTACCTGTCATCTAAATTGTGAAAAAGTGATGTGTTTGAGTATTGTAGACTGAACATTTTCCTTTTCGCAGTACAGAGGGTCTTAGAGTTACCATATTTTAGCTTATGCAAGAGTGCATCAAAGAGATATAAAATACTTGCAACTGCAATCATAAACCTAATAAACAAAACATGAAAAAAATGTATTACCTCCAGCATGACCCATACGCCGTCCCGGAGGAGCAGTAAGTCCAGCAATGAAGGCAACAATAGGCTTTTCAGTCCCACTTTCCTGTTTCATTCATTAAACAAAACCAGATGTTAAATTAAAAACTTAGAAAGATATTCTCCAGCAATTTTTAGTTTTATGCAAGTGCAGTAGAAATGAGATGAAGAAGGTTCAATATTACTAATTACTATATATTGCTCTATCAGCAAGCATATAAATTGTAAATATGCCTATTGTATCTATGGAAGTAAAAAAAGGCAGCCTGGTAAAAAACCAATTAAGCTAGTATTCACAGAAGCACAAACATATAACATATAGGACCGAAAGGATAAAGGGTCAAAATTATATATTCACCATATAGGCATATATGAGCACAAACAAATTCATTTGTGGATCCACAGATCACAAAATTATAGGTTCATCACTGACCCAAATTATGTGCGAGAGATCCAATCAAATACATAAAAAGGATGCAGGCCTCAACAAAAAAATTTAAGATGCAGTCCAGGTATAATATAGCCATAAGTTACAGTCAGGAAATAGGTATAATTTTACAAATTAAACATACTCCAGATTCCCACCATATTGCAACCTTAAGCTTATACTTGCATTATAAAAGGGCTGTTGCTCTAGATATTTGTAGTTTCCTTATTCTCTTCCAACCAGATATTTCTTTGTTCATGTTCCTTTATCCAAAGGTAATTTACTTTTGGTCAAGGGGGTAGATGATTTCTTTAAGAGAAACAGACCACAGAAACATGAATCCTAAACCCTATCATTATCAAGATGTTATCAGCTATCCAAAATAGAACTATTGCCGAGACAATTACGAGCTAAAATATAATTCAGTGAATATCATATAAAATGTTGAAGATTTCAGGTTCTCTTATGCTTCAATTTTATCCCACTTGTGGCAGAGGAGAGAATCAAATTTTTTTAGTTGCAAAGGTGCAAAGAACTATAAACCGTAAACAAGCTCTTACAAAGTAAAATTGATCTTACTATCAATCAAGAGAGAATATGCATGCAAGTCTATTATTTTTTCCCCACATATGTACTACAAGCAGCAACTAGTGAGTACGAATCATCACTCTCTGGGTGTCCTTAGTTTCTTCATGCTAAAGTGTTAACATTACCTTTATTAGTGCAGCAGCATCTTCTTCTGCGGTGCCCCCTATCTCACCAATTAGAATGATACCTGAATACAATTGAAATAATTAGATGGTATGCATTGCAATTCACCATAGACAAGAGACAGCCGCATAGTAACAAAGACCTTTTAGTTTAATAACTGCAGTAGGATTAATGATTGTACGAGAGAAACTCCCTCTTATGATCTAAATCAGGAAAATATTACCTTCTGTCTGAGGATCAGCAAGGAATTTTGTCACACAATCAATGAAGTTGGTTCCATTAAAAGGATCCCCACCAATTCCGACAGAGGTTGATTGCCCCAGACCAACTGCAGTTGTTTGGAAAACCTACAAGATAAAATGACAAATATTTTTACAAATATAATTACTAAAAAGGAGTACAGCATCCCATCAGCATATGCAAAACAGTGTTAGTTTAGTGTAAGACACTACTTTATATGAGTTTCTTGAATTCTATGGTAATTCAAATCCGATAGCTATGCGCCTATGTATACACCTACTGAATATTGGGAGATATTATCTTAACTATCCAACAAAACTTCATAGGGTTAATTCTATTCATACTTTTCAACTACTTCTGTCAAATCAAATTGATCGCTTGTAAACTTTCTTCTCTGAAACTATTCTTTACCAAATAGAAAATTTTTATTTGAGAACCACAACAAGTTTTTTCTAATATAGATATCCTAAAAGGAAAGGACCATGTGAATGGAACAGAGACAAGAAAATTAGAGAGACATGTAGTTTGCCAACATGCTATGCCAGAAGATCAAAACCCCATCTTGCAAAATTTTGTTCAAACTATGAGAAATAGAACTAGTGAAAAAACTAACTGCAGTAGCTACTATTGAAGTGCCTAGACATTGTCTAAGTCCAAAACTAAAGTCCAAAAATAAAGGTTGACAACAGAAAAAATGCCTTTTTCCTGATAGGAGTTAGGAGGTTTAGAAAACAAGCATGTGAAGATGTACCATCAGGCATATTCAGGCATAAAGATACAACAAACCTGACTAATACACAGAAATATGAAAGTCAAATGAAGGAAACATAGAACGATAAAAGATCTTACTGCTTCATATGTTAAAGTGCCCGATCGAGAAACAATTCCTATGCGACCTGGTTTGTGAATATATGCAGGCATAATTCCAATCTTGCATTCCCCAGGTTTAATGATCCCAGGGCAGTTTGGACCAATCAACCTAGTTTTTGATTGCTGATTAAGGGCAGCCTTCACACGAACCTGCAGTACAAAAATATCAGCTTTGATCTCAAAAAGATAAACAACAATCACTTGGAAGGAAGAACTAAACTGTAATTTGAGTAACAGCGACACAGCCCAAGTGTGCTTATTGCAGTCATTACCTTGGAAATGCACATAATGCAAATAACATTGACTGAAATCACTTCTAAAATGAAAACCACAATACAAATTCATTCCGAGAGATAAGGAAGCAGAATTACAAATTTAAACACACAATTAAACAAACAGCTTTCCTTCTAAGGTGCCTTTGATTCGTTTACCATGTCATGTTGAGGAATCCCTTCCGTGATACAAACAACAAGATCCAATTCAGCTTCCATACCCTCCATGATAGCAGCTGCAGCAAAAGGTGGAGGAACATAAATGACAGAAGCATTAGCCTTGGTTTCAGCCTTTGCTTCGGCAACTGTGTTGAAAACAGGAAGTCCTAAGTGCTCTGTGCCACCCTTCTTTGGTGTAACTCCACCAACCTATCAAAAGAAAAATTAGACAAAACTAAAGGACTAAAAAAGAAAATATGACTAATAAGCAACCTTGAATCAATCCCAGAATTCATGCAGACACAATCGACAATTGTAAACATTATGATATGCAGAAATTCACATAAAATCTTACAAAACTAAAAGAAACCCAGTTCTCTGACATATATAAACAAATCATATAAAGTTCTTACTTTTCCTGGATTTTCTCAATAACCAATCAGGTATTGCAGTCAAGCAAAGAGACCTCATTTAAAAGATTCAGAAAAAAATCCATGAAAAAAAAGAGGTGAAAGTTTAATAGGAATTCGAAGTACCATCTTAGTGCCATATTCGATGGCTTGCTCGGTGTGGAAAGTGCCATTCTTTCCAGTTATGCCTTGGCAAATAACGCGAGTGTTCTTGTCTACGAAAACCGCAGGTGGAGGCGCTGGAGCCGCCGAGAAAGACCGTGACTGAGTCAAAAAATGAGAAGAAGAGGAAGAGGAAGAGGAGGAGAAGAGACTGAGTGGGGATATTTGGAGCTTGTGAGAAGAAATCTTGGAAGACAAAAAATGGATGAGTCGTGAGGCTCGTCTAGTCATGGCTACTGCTGCTACTGATTCAGTATTGGATCTCCTTTGCCTCTTCCGCTGCAAAATACAAAAACATATGCTCCACCAAAATATTGCTGTAGAAAAACCAAAACCTATTCTGGTCAGCTTAGATCTTTACACTTTATTTCCAAAATTTTTCTCTGCATTAATTATTTTTCCATTTCCTTTTTTTTCTTAATGGACCAGATCTTGGGTCTAAATTGGGGCTATCAGCCGAAAGTATCCCCTAGAACCCAAGTTATGATAAAAAATTAAAAATTAAATAAAATATTAGAAACAACTAATGTTGTCTTAAAAAAAAAAACCAATGTTTCAAACAATTAATATATAATAATAATGGTTGATACTTTTTAAGTGAAGAATTACTAAGATTTATAATCCTTGGCATTGTTTAATTCTATTAGTAGAAAATATTGTTTGCTAAATATAGTTCTAGCCAATTGTTATGAACCAAAACAAAAAAAATTGAGATGAAACTGTAATGACAGAGAAATTACTTGCATTTTCTTTCTTTTGGAAAATCTCCAATTTCTCTATCTATTTTTGCGCACTTCAATTTTACTTAAAAGAATAGTTATTGTGACTTTAAAAATGATTAAAATAACAAAAAAGTTTTTAAATTTTAATTTATTTAGATAATTTTTTATGTTTTTGATGTACTTAAATAAGTTATTAATTTTTAATTTACACTTCAAATAATTTTTTAATTTTTAATTTTTATTCAAATAAAATTTTTATCTTTAATTTATACTAAAATAAAATTTTAATATAAATCAATCATTCATTTGAAATAAATATTTATTTGCATACAAATTAAAGGATTATAATTAATTCAAAAAAATAAAATTATAAAAATTTATTTAAGAAAAATAAGTTTATTTAAAATTTTTTAATATTTTAACCTTAAAAAAAATTTAGCACCTTTATTTTCTTGTTTTCTTTTTACTCAAAAACTAGTATTATCCATCAACATTAAAATGCGTCATTTTCTAAAACAAACAAAGCAAGCAAATAGAGTGGAGTGCTTTTTGTAGCCCACTTAAGCCATCTTGAGTTCTTGATCCATATTTTTCCGAAAGAAAGGAGTAGGCCCATGGGTCCAGGTGAATCAAGTCGAAGCAGGTCGAGGTTGAGTGTTAAACAGGCGACTTGGAGAGGATCCCTTGCACGACTCTTCCAGGTCCCAACAAGCTTGGAGACTTTGAAATTTCCAACTTCAACATTTTCATACCAAAAATATCTTATCCATGTCCACTTCTACGCATAAAATATCTTCTTTCACCACACAAACTTCATCTTCCTCTCTTATACTTCTATGGAGGGGAAAACCAATTGAAAAAAAACTTTTAAAAAAATGCCTGTAACATGTTTCCCTTTGTACACACCTGCAACTTCAATCATAACCAAAAGCTCAACCCCAAAACCTTCCTCTTTCAGCACCTCAACTTCTAAGAAGTTGCCAATATATCACCATTCATTTACATGCAAAGCTTCAGCTTCGCCCTCTTCTTCCATCACGGATTTTGATCTCTATGATCTTCTAGGCATTGATAGCTCCTCCAATCAATCACAGATTAAAACAGCTTATCGTGCCTTGCAAAAGCGGTGCCACCCTGACATTGCTGGACCAGCAGGGCATGACATGGCCATCATTCTCAATGAAGCTTATTCAGTTTTATCTGACACTGGTTCTCGTATGGCTTATGACAAGGTTAGTTACCCAATTTCGAGGATTTCTCTTCACATCTTGCCAATCCTAAGACGGCATAATTTTCTTGAGGAAAAATTGATTGGGAATCGATGAAAGTGCAGGAACAAGCAAAGATGGCAGAGCTGAGGGGTTATACAGGGAAACCTCTATATTCAGTGTGGCTTGGATCAGGAACTGAGCAACGAGCAGTTTTTGTAGACGAAGTCAAATGTGTTGGTTGCTTAAAATGTGCCTTGTTTGCGGACAAGACTTTTGCTATCGAATCTGTTTATGGAAGAGCTCGAGTTGTGGCTCAATGGGCTGATTCTGAACACAAAATCCTGGAGGCTATTGAAGCTTGCCCAGTTGATTGCATTTCGTAAGGATCTTGATCCTGATCTTGCTTTTAGCATAGCACTAATCGATTTACTCTTGCTTCAAAATTTTGCAGTTCAGTCTATAAGTCTTAATACTAATAAGAAAGATAATTGACAGGAAAAATGACAATATTGTTACCACAGGGGATGGTATTGATATGGATTATCATGTATTTATTCAGTTTTTGAGAGTTTAGTTCTTTAGTTTTCATTGTTATTTCTGTGGAATATCATTTAACAACAGCATTGTGGAGAGGTCAGACCTCGCGGCGCTGGAATTTTTAATGTCCAAGCAACCTCGAGGCAATGTTAGAGTTGGTGTAGGCAACACGGTGGGAGCACGAGTCTCAAACATATTTGTTGATGTTAAGAAATTTCAAACGAGATTTGTTGATGCCATGGACAAAGAATCCAAGGTATGAGCCTATCAAGACTCTCTTTATAGAAATGAATCTTTTGAATTTCTTTTGCTGTCATATGTCAGGAGGCAGAGCTCCGTAGGGAAGCAAGGATGTCAGCAATTCACGCGATCAAATCTATTTCAAAATGGTGGTATTGGGCGCAATCACCCAATGCAGGAGCACCACTGGGGGAGTCTCAACGAAACTTGACACACATTTCTCGTAAGTCATCAGAACCGAACATTAACAAGCTCCGTGATGCTGCTGCTGCTAGAAAACAGGTAAGAGAGAGTTCAAGAATCACTGGCGCTCGTATCCCATCAAGTTATATGTATGATGATGAGTATTGGATCCCATCAAGACAAGCTCTTCCAGCTTCAAGTAATAACAGCTACAGCTCTAGAGTTGCCTCAAAGCCTTTGCAAACTAATGAGAAGAAGGAAACAGACGACCAAATTTATGAAATATATAGAAGGAAGAGGAACTGGATAGAGTGGGGAATTCCAGTGGTGGCTGCAACAATTGCTGCTGCTATAGTTCGGCTACAAGTTGGAGACAAAGTGGTTGGTGAAATCACAGAACACGTAGGCGGCTCTTTGGCACTAACAATGGTTAATAGCGCTTGGCTACAGGTTATTTTAGCAGGGATTACATGGTACTTAATTGGATCTGCAATGGTGGAGCTAATAGAATTTATTAGGAATAGGTGAGAGAGTTACACAGAAAACAAAGGAAATTTTCATTGATTGATATATAAAATGGGTGAATAGTTTGTTTGTATAATAAAAATTTGATATTGATAAATTTGTATACATTTTTATTCAGCCTGCACGAACCCTATAAATAACTTTTCATTTCTTTTTCACCTTTTTTGTTCTTTAATGCGGATGGGAATTGAAAGATCAGTATTGAACAAGGAGAAATAAATAGAGAGTTGCTCAATCTGATTTTTCTGGTAGTAGAGAAATTAATGGTGTAGTACCCCGGCCCAAATGATAATTGGGTTAGACTAATACTAAAATACATCAGTTTATTAAAAGATTGATTAGTAAAAAGAAAAAAAATGTGAGTTATTAAATGAGAAACAACCTAACATCGAGAAACAAAAAGGAAATGAGAGTTCTTCTTCTTCATATTTATTAAGGTTAGAGAATATAAAAAAATCAAGTTAGCAATTCAAAATCAAAGGCTACAATCAAGTTAATCCCCTAAAATTAAGTATATGCTCTCTTTTTATTTAAGAAGAAATACCAAGTTGATTACTATTATTTGGAGTTGAAGTTTTGAGAGCAAAATCAAGAAAAATTATGAAATTTGTCATTAATCTTCTTGATTTGCTTGGGTAAATTATTGAGCTTTGTTTATTTCATATTTTTAAGATTTATTGATGATTATTGAATGGAGTTTAAAAGCTAAAAGTGGGGATTTGAGTTTTAATTATTAAAAGAGAAATTTTATTTTTAGATGAGATACTATGATCTATAATAATGAATTAAAATAGAATTTTGTATTAATAGATAGATTATTGCTGTGATTATTATTTATCGTTAGAAAGCATGTTGAATCTAGTTTCTAATAAAACAAATGAAAGTTAAATCCGAGTTTTTTATGAAGAGTTGTCTAATTTTTACTTTAAAGATATGCAAGCTGTAAGGCAAAAGCACTAGGGTTAAATTACGAAAATTGTCTTAATTTTTATACAAAAAATTACAGATTAAACCATATATGTTTGGAAAGCTTATTGAGTCTGCTTTCTAACAGAGCAAGCAGAATTGAATTTGGAGTTTCTTATGAATTAATACATAATTTTTAGGAGAAGGTATACAGGCTGTCTGGCAACAACATATAACGTAGATTTCAAAAATTGTTATAATTAATCCACAAGGAATCACAAGATGGACCATATATGGTTAGAAAGCTTGTCGAGTCTAGTTTCTAATGCATTAAAAAGATTTTAATTTCAAGTTTGATATATTGAGATATGGTCATTTTAGTAAAAGTAGTGCAGGCTGTCAAAATTAGTTACTCGAGTTATTTATTGTTTAGCTTAATTGTTTTGGTATAAGCGGTCTCAAATGGGTTGATTAATTACTGTTATATTGAAATTATCTTGAATAAGTCATTAATTATTGAGGGAGAAAAACTAGGTGGTGGAATCGGAATGAGGTAAGTAGAATCTCACACACTTTGCTTATTTTCAAATTTATGTATATATGTATGTTTCTAAATGAATGAATATTTTATTTCATTATTTTCGATGTATGAAAATAGGATTAAGCATATGATTATTTTGTATTTCTCTATATAAATGATGGATCATGCTTATGAATGAAATGAGAAAATGATTTATGTTTAAATAATGATTTTGTGATGGCTACATTTTTACATCCCTGGGAAGTGAGATCATCAACACCAGAACTAGTTCTACGATCCTGGCTAACAGGTTATAGTAGTTAGCAAAGACATGATCATACGACCCTGCTAATAGGTTATATTAGTTAGCGTAAAGCCCTGACTAACGGGTTATAATAGTTAGCAATGATCATGAGGATGAAATTGTCGATATGGCCAATATCACGGGTTATAGCAGTGACCGTAGTTAATGATAAACGAATGATAATGATAATTTATGATAATGATAATTTACGATGATTTTTAATGATTGATCCATGATTTGGTTCGATTACAATATTTGAATAGTAGTATATTTTGCAATGATTTATGAATTGACATGTTTTTATATTGATTTATGAATTTACGAAATGTTTGATAGAAAGATGATCGTTGAAATGTTTTGACATTATGATTTGACGAATGTTTGGAATAATTTATATGATATGTATGAAAATTATGCTTGATCCGGTAAAGTGTGTGAGTCTATACTTATTGAATTGTGGTTTACTCATTCTCCTTTTACTTTTTCTTTATAGATGACTAAGTGATAAGTTTGGTTAGTCTTGTGTGAAGCTAGAAGATGAAATGAGAAAGATTACTTAGTCGTCGAAGAATATGTTGGCCAATGAGATCTTAAGAGACAATTTTATATTTTATATAATTTATATTTGGATATATAAAGATGTATCATCAATTGGATTAAAGATATAAATTTTACTTGACAAATTATATCAGGTTATTGAAGAATTTTAGAATGATTAAGAAAGAAGGCTTCATATTACTTTGGAGTTTTCTTCAAGGTAATATGACCATGTTGCATTCTCGGGACGTGACAAATGAAAAAGGTGTATAGACTCTAAACAAGCTATTATTCAATTCCATAAGCCCATAAAACGTGCATGGACTCTAAACAAGCTATTAATGGAAAATGTAACTTCAAAGATGGATTTTGGGTTCTATATTCATGACTTTTTTCTTTCTGGCTAGAAGTTGTGATTGACTTAATACTTGGCTGCCGCAACAGTCATTTAATGTAAAATACAAAGGCAAAGCAACATGAATTGATATGAAATGAAAAGTGAAAATTGTCGAAACAACATTTCATTATTGAGTATATTTCATCATTGATGACTGACGAGTTACAGACTATAAGTTGAAACAAAATTTGGGGTAAACTAAGGATCTTATCTTGTCAAAAGATATTCAATCCATCCATCTATGGTGGCAAAGTATTTTCTTCGCCAGTTTGCACCGATGCAAAGTGGTGCAATGACACTCCAGAATCCGACAGCATATGATACAAACACAAATGAATAGAAAAACAAGGGTTTATCAACGAGGCCTTCCTCTGCATTTTCTTTTGGATTTTCTTTTCTTCCATCGTCTTCATTGTCATTTCCTGAGCATTTTCTTTGTAATGGTTCTCCGCAAAGTTCTTGGTTGCCTTCGAAGCTACTTTCAGAGAATATTGTTGAAAAGTGTTCATTAGATGGGATCCTCCCTGAGAGGTTGTTGAAAGCAACAAAAAAAGTTGTGAGAAAATCGATCTGGACAATTTCAGGAGGTATCTGTCCTGTTAGGTTGTTGTGGGAGAGATCCAGGCTCTCCAAATTTGTGAGATTTTTGAAAGATTTTGGAATATGACCCGTTAAATGGTTTTGTGACAGGTTCAAAGAACGCAGTTCTGCTAATTCACCAATTTCATCTGGAATGAAACCAGCCAATATGTTAGCTGAAAAATCAATCCCTGTCATGAGAGTAAGGGGGATACCCTGGTACAAATATGAATTCCCCTTGGTGGTGAAATCAACCGGAACCCAAGAGTTTGCTTGAAACTTCTTTCTCCAGACTGAATTGTTATTGAGACAAGAAGGAATGTTCCCTGAAAAATTATTATTTGAGAAATCTAAGAACTGCAACATTTGCATTTGGCATAATTGCTGGGGAGGAGGTCCTCTAAATTGATTTTCTCCTAAAAGAAGGGCTCCTAATTGCATGAAAACAGGTAGACTTAAGATGGTTCCTGACAGGTGGTTATGTCGAACATCTATCAGCTTCAAAGACAAACTTTTGGATAAGCAAGCTGGAATATTCCCCACAAAGATATTATGATGAAGCAGCAACCATGTCAAATTCGGCATACTACAGTTTTCTGGAAGCAGCTCACCATCCAAGCTATTGTTTGACAGATTCAAGTACCATAATGGTGAATTGTAGGTTAGACCAACTGGGACTACCCCAGAGAGGAGATTGCTAGACAAATCCAAGCTTTCTACATATTTCAGTTTAACTACAGAAGGGGGAATGTTACCAGAAAATTGGTTGGAGGAAGCATTGAATCCTTTCAGCTGAGGGAGGAATAGATCAATATTTATGGGTAGATGCCCATCAAAATGATTGTTAGAGATATCTAGCTTAGACAGTGTAGATTTCTTTTGGTGGCCTTGAGGAAATTGACCAACAAAAGAATTGCTTCTCAGGCTCAATACAGAAGAAACATTATGAAGCAACCAAGTTGGGAAGCTGCCAACCAGTAAGTTGCTGGATAAATCCAGGGTTTGCAAGTTATATTGGATAGAAAGGAACCTAGGAATTATTTGACCACTCTGACGGTTGAGGTTGCATCCAGCCAAAAGCAAATGTTGTACTTGGAAACGAGGATGCCAAGTTGGATTTTCAGTTTCAACTTCTAATTGGTAATTGTAGGAAAGATCTAGATGACTGAGCTTTGAATGATTTGCAAAGATAGAAAAAGACAGCAGACCTTCAAAAAGGTTATATGAAACGTCAATAGACTCAATTTTTGATAGATTAGCAAGGAAGGAGGTAAGGTTTCCTTGAAATCTATTCTTTGACAAGTTCAGAGTTCTGAGCGATGGCATATTGCCCCAACAGGGTGGCACAGCATCTTCAATTGAGTTAGCTGAAAGATCCAGCCATTGTAAGTGAACGAGTTTACATATTTCTGCATGACAAGCCAGGACCCTTTTCAGAAATTATCAAATACATACATACATATATATATATATATATATATATAGCCATTAATTCAATGGCAGCAAAGACTTAGATTAAAGTAAAGCAGGACCGAAAATCTCACCTTCGGGATTAGTCAGTTCACCAATATTATTCCCTCGGAGATGCAATTCCTGCAGTTCCTTGAGTTGAGAAAACAAACTCATATCAAGGAAGACAGGAAACCCAGGATCTTCATCTTCCTTGATATAGTCATAGAAAATTCTGATCACATGAGAGGTTGTGGGGCTACAGTAAATCCCATCCCACCTGCAACAGTCATCAGAGCTGCCTGGATAAAAGTATTCATATCCATAGCCCAGAGATTGTCCTATTTGCTGAAGAGCTGTCTTCTCATCATCCAGACAACCTTGGCTGCATCCAAAGTTGCAGCAGATTATCGTGGTTATAAGCAAAAACAGCATGCCGCTATCAGCAGAGAAATTGTTCATATTGATGTGCCCAGTTATTCTAACAACTAAATTCAGTAACTTGTTTTCTCTTTTAGGAAGTTTCAAGTTTCAACTCTGTATTATCTCGCATATGAAACCTAATTGAATTTGCCTAGATGGCAAACTTGTGAGATTTGAAATTGGAAAGCACCCTAATTGTTCAAAACAACGGTCCATGAACTAAAATAAAAACAAAACAAATGGCATCCTGTCCACAGACATATTTTGTCACCAACTTGTAGTCCTACTTACACACAATTTTCCAAGAAAAACTTCCATAGTCAAAGTTAAACTTGTGCTATGGGGTACGATCAGAGAGAACACCCAAGAAATTTCCCTTACCAATTGAAATTCTTTGCCATTAATGTCTCTTTGATTATAATAAAATATATATAACGTCAATTTGCTGGGAAACTTTCCATGTCGAACTTACAAGTTCAGCAATTAGCTACTACTTGGCGGCAGAGTAAGTTGTTCTTTTTCTGGTGCGAAAAACGTTTTCTCACTTTCCTCTCTTGACCAACTGCATCTAACACAGACAACCGAAAGTGCAGTGCTAAAGCAAATAGACCATCCAAATCCTTATTTTCCTTCAACCAATTCAGGCAATCCCGATCTTCGTTGCATCCCTCTTGAAAGCAAATTGGCCTGTATGTCTGCTCAAAAATGGTCATATACGTTGCATATTAGTGATAACATTGAACGAATTATAATTTTGAAATATAATTATACAAATAAATAATTTTCTTAATTTCAGTGAAATAAATTAAAATTTTCTTTTTAAAATTTTTCAATGATATACTAATGATGCATGCAAATATTTGCAATGTACTTTTGATTTATGATTCATTTGAATGGATAGTAAAATTTTTTATGGTGATAATGATGAGATTAATTATCTTAGTAAAATTAAATACTATATTAATGAGAATAAAATTATTAATGAAATATGTATTTGGATGAAAAAAATAGTAAAAAATAGTGATATGGTCGAGAACAATTGAGTGCTCTAAGAAAAAAAATGAGAATAAAAACCCTTGGTTGTTCATTGGAGGGTTCAAGCAGGAACCCAGACGGACACGGTGGGAATAACTCCACCAATCCCTGCGACACGGTTAGACCAAAAAAGTGCTGATTCAAACAGATAAACAAACTAATTCGTCGAATCAATTGATAGCGACCTTTTTCCGTGTTGGAACGGTTATGTTGAGTGTTGACGACAATCCGGTATACACAACTTTCCCTTCTTCTTCCTCCTCTTTTCATGTGGACCACGTTACGGACAACTGAAACTTCAGCGCTCTTGCAAGCATGGTGAAGAAATTTCACTTGTCCCGTGGAAAGCAGCGGTGGCAAATGGCAATTATAAATTCCAAAGGGATTGCAGCTAATTCATTGATAAAATAAAATACAAGGCAGCTAGGCTCACCATGGAGATCACCGCTTTCTATACATATTTCTTACTTTTGCTTATATGCTTTAATTGCCAAGGGTGCTTGGAGGAAGAGAGAGATGCTCTTCTAAAAATCAAAGCTTCATTTAACAGTCCAGATCCAGGTGCTTTCTCAAACTGGTATGTACAAGAGTGTTGCCAGTGGGAGGGAGTTGAATGTGATCCATCTACAAATCGTATTAGTAAGATCTTCTTTCACTACTGGAGGGATCGGAGCTTGCCTGATTTGTGGTATCCAAACGCTACTTTATTTGCTCAGTTTAAGGACTTGCAAGAACTTGAACTGCCTGGGAATCAGATAGGAGGATTCATTTCACCTCATGGTAAACAGTGTTACCTCACTCCTACCAAACCTATTTATTTATTTATTTTTATGTAGAACGTGGTAGTGGAAGATAAGAAAAAAGGTTAAAAATGCTGAAATTTAAATGAGTGTTAATTTTGTAAAAATGATTATATAAATTGAGTTTGATTCACTTAAGAATGCTTTTAAATTTACCTCCATTTTTGTTCTTTACATACTTTCTTTTTTCAAAATTTTTTATAAGTAAAATTATTAAAATATATATTTTTTTACAAACATTCAACATATCCAATAAATTTTATCATTTTTGTAAAATACATTTTCGAAAAGGTATAACACTTCTGAAAATACATATAATCATTTTTTAGAAGTGTTAATACTTTTTAAAAATGTATTTTTGAAAGTGTTAATAATAATGACTCTTAAAAAAATAAATTTTTAAAAAATTATAATACTTTTCATTAAAATTTATTAATTTTTAAATTTATGATTTTTTTAATAATAACTTTTTTATTACACAAATTAATAAAAATTTTAACAAAATTCTTTTTTTTAATTTTTCACAAACCTTCACGCCAAGTATTATAAAAAAATATATTGTCGAAAAGTGTTATTACTTTTTAAAAAAACATTTTTGAAAAGTTTGCATTTTTTGAAAATGAATTTTGGAAAAATCAAAACACTTTTAAAATTTATTTTCGGAAAATTACAAAATTTATTTGATATGAATATTAGAATATTTTTAAAAATAATATTAAAATAATTTCACTTTAAAATAATTAAAAAAAAAAGAAATATAGAGAGAAAAAAGGTGAGGTGGATTTACTCGTTCCCTCCCTGGAAACCTATTTATCATGCACTAGCTTTTTTTTTTTTTCTTTTACAGCTTAACCTACTAATTAATTAATGTAAAAAATCAAATAACTACTTTTTTTTTTTTGGAAAAATCTCCGCAGCATTTATAAAACTCAAGCGTCTTCGGAAATTGAATCTCCATGACAATTCCATACATAATGGCTCTAATCTCTGGTGGGGGAAATTTCCATCCATTTACTCAGTAGATCTGTCCTATAACAAGTTTACTACTGATGGTCTCTGCTCAAGGAAATTTCCTTTTCTTTATTCCTTGGATTTGTCTGGTAACAAGTTAGATGGTAACATTCCAGAATGCCTGTGTGACAACCGTTTTTTCAAAGAATTGATTCTGTCTGATAACAATCTTCATGGCAGCATCGGTTCATGTTTGGGTAATATGGTTTCACTCAAACATCTGGATCTCTCTAGCAATCAATTCAATGATTCTTTTCCTTCTATGCTAATCAGCAACCTGACAAGTATTGATTCACTTATTCTATCAAGAAATGAGTTCAAAGGCATGATTTCACTCTCCATTTTTGCCAATTTGTCGAGGCTGCGTTGCCTTGACATTTCATACAACCACTTGGAAGTTGAAACAGAGTCGCCAAGTTGGTCTCCATCTTTCAACCTAAATGTTCTACATTTAAGTGGTTGTGACCTCAAGAATATTCCGAGCTTCCTCTCAACACAGCACCACCTTCTATCCCTAGATTTATCATACAATTTACTCATTGGGAACATTTCTTGGATGCTGTGCAATGTTACTTCAGAATTACGGCTACGAGGCAATAACTTGTCTGGTTCCTTCCCCAGGACTTTTCAAAACATAAGCTCTCAACTTACTGTTCTTGACATCTCTGACAATTTCTTGCATGGGCCATTACCCAAAGATATCGACCTGAATTTTCCACGATTGCGCTTTTTGAATGTTTCCATGAATAGCTTCAATAGCAACCTCCCCCAATCCCTTGGTAGCCAAATTCTGAGAGAACTGGATTTATCAAACAATCAGTTCCAAGGAGAAATTCCCTATAGTATGACGAGAAATATGACTTCTCTTGAATATTTGAGGTTATCCGGAAACAATCTGAGAGGAGATGCACTTCCCAAAAATTCAAGTTTACCTAAGATAAGATGGCTTTATCTCAACAAAAATTACTTCTCTGGAACATTCCCAGATACCCTCGGGAAGAGCATGGACTTGGAAATTGTTGACATTCGGCGTAACAGCTTGTCAGGTGAGCTTTCATTATACTTGCCTGTGCTCCCTCAGTTAAGAGCACTACTCCTCGGAGGAAACCGTTTCGACGGGCAAATACCACTGCAAGTTTGCCAAATGAGGGATTTGCAACTTTTAGACATTTCGAGAAATAGTCTTTCAGGTGAGATTCCCGACTGTGTTGGCAACATTACTTCTTGGACAGATAGTTCTTACCGTGTTTATCTTCTAAATGATCACCGGAGCTCTTTTGATATCATAATCAACGGTTTCTCCGTTACTCTTCAGGCTCTCAATTTTGATTTTATGGGAATAGATGTATCTTTCAATAGACTAACTGGTAAAATTCCCGTCCAAATGACACGATTGAAGATGATTCATTTTCTGAACATGTCCAACAACCTTCTCACGGGTCAAATACGTTCACCCTTCGGAAACTTGGCAAACCTGGAAAGCCTTGATCTTTCACATAACAATCTCTTCGGTGGTTTACCCCTAGAACTAACTACTCTTGAATTTCTCGCGCTTTTTAACGTCTCTTTCAACAATCTATCAGGCATGATACCAGTAGTAGCCCAATTTGGAACATTTACAAGTGACAGTTATTTAGGAAATCCAGGCCTTTGCGGCCTTCCGGTTGGAAGGCAATGCGCCGAGACAGCACCAGTTTATTTAAGTGCAGAAACATCAGTTTTTCTCTTCACAGATACTGCTACTGGATATACTTTGCTGTTTTGGTGTGTCATTTTTTTTCTTTATTAAGAGTACGATTGAAACTGCATAGGCTTCATTTTTTCCGTTGATTCATGGATCTAAGAACCATGTAAACTTATCAGATGAATAAGCGAATATTCCAGTTTTATTACAAGAATTTAGGCTTCATATTCAGTAAATATACCCATCAACAAATACAGAGTGATTAATAATTATTAACAAGAAGTTTGACTCAGCAGAAAGGGCAATTCGACACCTGATCTAGTTCGGAAGTAGCTGTTCCTTAGTTTGGTTGCTCTTATTTCATGCTCTGCCTCGGTTTCAGGTCCATTCGAAATAAACATTCCCAGCTCACCCAATTGAATTATTTTTACACTTCAAATTTGAAAATTAAAGCTGACTTCCGAATCTAAGGAGAGAAAATAATCCTAGAACAAAGCAGGCATGATCTTATAAATGAAAGCTTGCACACAGACATGATCTCCAAAATATCTTTCACATTGTACTACAACCGGGCCCTATCGGCCTAATATTCACCAGCGACAACAGAACCAACATTTAACCATACCATAGTTTGGTAGCGATGCAGCACTCAAGTGTCTAAAGTGCAAGATGCTTTGGGTAAACACGCATCACAAATACATAAATATATGTTTGAAACTTTCATCTCAAATATTGCTAAAGGTCGAGTATCCTTCACATTCATATAAGCATCAAAATAATTTCTAATGAAATAGTCTGCATCAAATTTGCAGAAGATGTTCAGAAATCTTCCTGATTAAACAATTGCTTGCAAGAATACTCAGTAGCGATACTTGGTAGAGTAATCTTTAGGAGCAATTACCAGACCACGACCCTTCCTTGCCCCACGATATACAGTCTCAACAATGTCTATGAACTCCTGCTTGTCCTTAAGAGCCCAGTTAATCTTGTTGTTATTTCCAGTGCCAAGGTCAATCATGATGTGTTTGTTTCTGAAGAAGAACATGACTGTGGATGGATCGTACAGCTCATACATTGTGTTAAAATCAGGTACTTCCGTTATGTCCACAAGATAAATCACAGCAAAGTTCTTTATTGTTTCAGCAACCGAAGCAAGCACCTCATCCATCTGAAAACATAAATCAAATTAACTAACCAACCATGGATTAAGTATAAGTATAACAACAACACTCTTTTCATTCCAAAGGAAGTAAAAGCAAGTTAATAATAAATCATTCATTTCATATTGAATACAGAATGACAGAAATTGCAGCTTCCAGATATGCAGGACTCCAAAGAAAAAGGAAAAATGCAGAATGCTATCAAAAAGCTATTAAAGTCCAAGTCCATGTACATACATACACACACCCCAAAGGTAACAACCTGAATATTAGCAAAACAAAAACTGTTTTTCTATTATGTGAATAAGCCCAACCTAACAATCCACTTAAAGTCATTCTTAAACAGCCACCAAATATAACTCTCATCCAAGTAAGATAATAATTTCAGTCTTTAAGTTGGAACAAAAAAATATTCGGGCTTTAAGGACTTGACTAGAGGGCATAAAAATAAGGAGAAAGCCCGTATGTTACTAAAAAGTGAAAATAGAACTTCCTGACTACTTCATTATCATTCAAGTTCAATGAACAGGTGGAAACTTTAGTTCAGTAAATGGAACAATACTTCAGAATATAAAACAGTAAGTCATTATCAAAAGCTCTGTCCATCTTTCCTTTTTTTGCTCACTTGGTGAAGATTCTAACCTCCTACTCAGCTAAACCATTGGCTCAACAGGAAGATGACAGAATGAATTTCACAAGCCATGTTCAAACTGAAACACCAAATATAGTATCAAATTTTGTTTTACTTCCAAATATTTTAAATTTGACTCGCAACAATTAAGAATAAATTTATTCAGAAAATAGTTCATCTAGCATTAAAATTTGCGAGTAATTTCATAAGGTATCAAAACTGGGCAAGAATGTCAGAAAAGCAACATAATAAATATTAGACATTCTACTTAAGAAAACACTTAAAAGAAATTAGCTAACTAGCAACCTACGGACTACGGTACACAAAAAACATAAAAGGGGGCTCAAGACATCGTTAAGAACCAAGATCAAAAAGCTTTTCTGAACCAAGTCACCTTTGTAACCAATGATCGCTTCAAAAAAAACAAAGGATGCTCGCTAGCAGCTCAACTGGATTGAAGACCAGGCCCAAGGCAGGGCTTTTGTTAAAAAATTTACAAAGAAGGTATAACAAAGCAAATTAAAGCATTTGAAAACAACCACCCTACTAACAGTAGTATATTAGAAAGACCTATCTCACCTGTGAAAGTCTCGATTCCATTAAAATTTAGTTAAAGAATATCCCAACTGACAAGTTGCTGATTACGAGAAAGAAATAATCAGTTTCACAACAGAATATGTTCTCCTCAAATTTCAATCATGCTCTGTTCTAAATTTGATGAAAATTTTCAAAATCTATAGTGAACATAGGGTCCATTAAATACTGCTCAAAATTTTAGTGATGAAACCTGAAATAAATACTATGAACAGAAGATCCAGGAAGGGTAGGAATTCCACAGGTCAAAGTAAACTTTAAAATATAAGCGATTAAGAGAGAGAGGAGAACGATGTAGTGCACAGCACCTGCATGCAAGTTTCATCCCAGTCGTGGCCGAATCGGATGACCACGAGACGCTCTTCTTCCGCCAGGATGGCCTGATCTACAGCCCATCCCGTGTTCAGGTGTGGTAGCAGATACGACATCGTTAGATCGTTACCCCTCACTTCCCCCTGAAATTTAAATTTCCTTTTTTCGCTAATGAAAATGCTTTAGATCCCTACAAAATTTATTTCTCAAACCCTAATTTATAAACCAAACATCTGGAAATGTTCAGTAAATTGGCCATGCGTTCACCACACGCAACGCCATATAGCTAGCATGAGTAGCAAATTGGATAGGTGCGTGCCAATCAAAACGAAGCGTTCAGTCTCCTGGGTTTGATGGGTCATGGGCCTCATGGCTCATGGGTCCTCCAATAAACTGGACATGCTCAATACCAATACCCTAAACCCTATTGCACGAGATTTCACCGTCGAGACAATTAATTTCGTAGCAAACAAAAAGAATTAAAAAAAAAAAAATCCAACAATCAGTTTTACCACTAACAAAAACATCAGAAAACCTCCCAAAGAAAAAGTTATAAAATTAATAGAACCAAAAAGGAATAAATACATATTTCCCCTTAACCTATATACTTTTTATCAATTTGAAATTTTAGAAAAAAATTGGTACTCTAATTCCCATTTTATTATCCAACTAATTAATTTATTGATGTAATATTAATATCTGACAGACTATTGACACATTTAAAAAAAAAAATTCACTCAACATTACATTATTAATACAACATCGAAATTTTTAAAAAAATTCAAAATTTTAAACAAAATTTTAAAAATTTTATAAATTTTTAGCAATCTAAAATATTTTTTAATTTTAGATTTTTAAGTTCTAGTGAATTTTTTTGAATTTTAACAAAATTTTATTTTTATTCAAATATTCCTTTTTTTAATTCTACCAATTTATTTTGGATTTTTTTTAAAATTTTAGACTTTTTAAATTTTTAAATATTTTATTTTTATTTTTTTTTATTTTTTAAAAATTTTCATTTAATATTAACGTGATTATTGATAATATAATGTTGACTATATTTTTTTGATAAATGTTAACATTTTATGAAATTTTCATGTCACATTAACAAGTGAACTCACGACATTAATACGAAATATTAAAGTGGATGACAAAATAAAAATTAAGAGTATCAAATTAGATTTGATAATAAAAAATATGATATAATGACATCACATAAATATAATACAAAATAAAACACAAAAATAACGTGACTTAAAATTTTAATAACAACTATGTATATGTAATAAAACTAAAAAAAATGTATATTTCATATTTTTGTTTTAACATGAATTATAAGATATAATTTTTATATAAAATATGAAATGAATAAATGAATTTTAATATTCTACATGAAATGAATATACTAATTGCTAGGTCTACATCAAATTGACAATTTTATTGCTTTAAATATTTATCTCATAACAATTTTGAAAATTATTAGACGAAAATTTTAAAAATATCCAAATAAAAAAATCGTCATAAATATTTTTTAATTAGATGTGATTTATCATTTAAAAATTTTATCTTTTCAATAAAACTTTAAAATTAATTACAATCTATTAAAAAGATAATTTTGATCTACAAAAATCAAATTCTATTTCATAAGTATGATTACGAGTAAGGAATGATTAGTACAACTACAACACTCATTTAAAAACAGTACCAATTAACCACATGTTATCTTTTAATTTTGACAAAAATATCTTGATTTTGATATCTAAAAACGATTTTCTTAATTTATTGCAATTAAAACATCTTTTATTTCTTTTGCTTGAAAGATAAATAAGAACTTTACATATTAAAAAATTTTTAAAAATATTTCAATACTTTGATAATATTAAAATGTGCTTTCTCATTTAAAAATTTCTTAAGAATTACTATTAAAATTTTTCAAAATCACATCAACGATTCATATTTATCTTTAAAATCAATATTTATAATGCATATAATAATATAATATGATGCTCAAAATTTAATCATTAATTTATCTTTTTACAATATATATTTTATAAATATTTTATGTTTTTATTTCTTTTAAAAATTATTCAAATTAAGAGAAAAATAAAAATATTTGTATTAAAATTTTTTTTAAACATTTCAATATTTTAAAATTTTTTAAAAGATTTTTTTCACTTAATAAGTACGTTAGAAATCACCATTTGAACTTTCATATTCCCATAATTGAAAAAATCTCTATTTATTTTCAATTACTAATATTTCATAATAGCAATTTTACAATAATAAAAATATTCATAAACAATTGTTTCCTAAAAACATATTTTTAAATAATAAAATTATAATTGCAAACATTAAAACAATTAAATACAAATTGTAACAAATAAATAGCCATACAAGAAAGAGATATATCTAAATGAAGCTTTTGGCTTTGGATCCAAAGTAAAGGCTGCTGATTGGGCTTGATCTAGACAAGGTTGGTACAGAAATGAACCCGTCAACAGATTTGGTTTGAGTAGACAAGTTTACGGGTAAAAGCCTTTTTTTCACCTAAGAAAGCCTTCAAATTTTTTTATTCATTTCATTCCCTTCAAACAAAAAAAAAAAAAAAAACGTCTCTTTGAAGTAAAAAAATGGTAAGTCTTTGTCAACCCAAATTTCGATGTTCCATGATCGTGCCAACCGTTGCACCGTGTCGACCGTCACACCTTGTCATCCGCTACCAAAGCTTTTTTTATTTTTTTCTCCCTTTCTTTTCCTTTTCTCTGTTATCTCTCCCCATCACTACATCTTCTTTCCCCTCCAGTCGAAACTGAGCCTTCTTATGCCACTGTCGCACCCTCTTTTCTCGATCGTCACACCTTGCCATCCGCCACTAAAGCTTTTTTTATTTTTTCTCCCTTTCTTTTTTTTTTCTCTGTCATCTTTTCCCATCACTACATCTTCCTTTCTCCTCTTCAATCGAAACTGAGCCTTCTTATGCCACCGTCGCAGGTGGTTTCGACCCTCTTTTCTCTTTTTTTTTTTTTCTTCCTTTAGTTGAAACCCACTTCAGCAAACTGCCTTTATCATTTTTTTTTACCTTTTTTTATTGCTGGGTTTCTTAAAATCTATGAAAACTGTAACTTTATTTATTGTTATTTTTTTACGTTGTGTTCCCTATACTTAGGAAAAGGCAAAATGGGCTTAGTGTTATGGTGGGTCATTTAATGATGGTTAAGGAAAAAGCTATTTAGGTTCAGTTGGTGGATGGTAGTAGGGGTGGCCAAATAATTATGGCTTAGGCATGAAAGGCAAGTTGAAATAGGGATGATGATGCTGGTTAAGCTGGACATGTAGAAAATGAGAAGGGAAATGGGAGGTAGTTGGTTCGGCTGAAGTAAAAAATGGTAGAAAAAAGGGTTTAGGTTCTCGGCTGGGGTGTCGTTTTGACTCTAGGCAATAATACGGGGCTTTGGTGTTTCATGGGTGGTTGTAATGGTCGCGGTGGGAATGGCAATAGAAGGTGGCTTTGGGCTTTTGGTCCTGTTCTTTTTTTTGGTAATTTTTGGTCAAAGGTTGGAGTAGTGAAGTTTAGGCTTTTGGTGTTGGATTGATGATGGTTGGCGATAACCTTAGGTAGTTTCTATATGGAGCTCCTAAGATCTTAGTTTGTGAAAAAATTGGCTCCCTTTTGCCCCATGGTGATGTCTTTCCTTTTTATCCTCTCGTTCTTCACCTCTATAAAAAGATCCCAATTATTATAGAGCTCTCTTCTTATTAGGAAAGTTTGAAAATTTTTAAATGACTTGATTTTTGGAATTTTGTAACAACAAGGACAACATGGCTTACTGCATTTGGGGTTTAGAACCTTTGATGAATTTGTGTTGAAGGTCAAAAGGTAAAACCAGAACTAAAAAAAAAAATGCTATAAATGGGAAGTATGGAGGGAAAGATCTCGTCATTTAGGGGAAGAAAGCCTGCTATAGCAATCGACTCTTATCTTTTTTGTATTTTAAAAATGGACACGGAATTTAAAATTAAATTTGGACTTTCATTGGATTTCAAGCCCAAATGACTTGATTTTGCCTTTTTAACTGGACTTTCAAATCTTAATTCAAAAATAACTCAATAATTTAATTGAATTAGGCTTAAGTTCAATATAAAATGGTCCAATAATGATTAATCTGAAACGAAATCAAATCAAGCTTAATTAAGTAAATTCAATTAAAATATTTAAGTTAGTATAAATCTAAATGTTTAGATTAAATCTGAAAATTAAATTAATTTAAATTAATTTTGACAAAATTAAATGTTTACATACTAAATTTACAAAAAATATATTTAACAAGGGATGGAGTATTTAATCTAAACCAAAACTAAAAACCAAATTTAGAGAAATTCCAACGCTATAAACACAACTTCCAAAACCTAAGAAAATTAAAAAAAAAAAAAAGAATTCATCTCAAAATAAACCAAGAAAAAAAAACCAAAAACTAGCAAAAAAAAAAAAAACAAAAATATTGGTGAAGATGGGTTTAATTAGGTAAATCAAGATGTTTGGTAAAAGGGAAATTTCAAAGTGTCTTTGATTAGAAAAACTAAGAGAGGGAAACCATCAGTGGAGCAACCTCTAATAGCACGGTTGTGGTTATGAGTTTTGAGTTTTTTTTTTTTTTTGGAGCACAAAAATGTATAGTGGAAGAGTTCTTTAATGTTTAGGAAACAAAGAAACGGAATGAAAATAAGGAGCCGTCACCTAATGTTCTATCGTTGACGAAGTTTATGCCGCGAGACGACAAGAAAATGAGAGTGAGAGTTTAGAGACAGAAGAGAGGCGGTACAAGGGAAAAAAAAAAGGTTTTTAAGGATCAATTTTAGGATTTTATGAAATCCTTGAAAGAAATTAATCGCCTAAATGACTTTTAGATTATAATAAAACATTTGAATTTAAAAAATTTATAACATATCATATGCATTATAAATTTATTAATTAATAAAATATTTAAAAAATTATTTATTTATCATTATTTTAAATTAATTATATCATAATTTAAATATCATATTAAATATTTAATTATAATTTAAAAATTATTACTGATAATTAAAAAAATAAAGACTCAGATTTATACAAAATTTTAAAGTTCAAAATATCCGAGATTAATTCCAATACAAAAGTAAAAGAATATTTTGAGGCATAATTTTTTTAGTACCATTTTTCTTCTTGAATTTATTTATTTATTTCACCATATTAATTTATCTACAACTCTAATAAATCCAAAATTCAAGTGATCCACGATGGAAAAAATGTAAAATCCTTTAGCATTCTATTTTTTTCCTTTTTTTTTTTGCTTTTTGTTATATTCATTTTTTTTAGTATATTCTTTACAAGATCTATAATATGACACATTATGTACAAAAATTATCAATTTATATTCTTTAAAAAATAACAAAAAAAGGAACATACAATAATGTATAACGATTTTAATAAATAAATATCATCAATAAATAATTCTTCAACAATCATAAAATTTTATTTATATTTATTTTATGACATAATTTATATTAAATTTAAAATTCAAATCGAATCGAAAGCTTGTTTGAATAACAAGTTCCTATGCTATTTAACTTCAGCCATCTTACTGAATCTTCAGTGAGTTATTGGAGTTTAAGGGGTCCGGTAAGACTTTTTTCCCCCAATTGTAACTCTTTGTTTCTATTTCAAAGCATGTTTCAAAATTTTTTTTTTAACTCTTTTACCTTACGCATTGCTGTATTATAACATAAATATCTTTATCACATACCTTTTTTTTTTTTAATTTTAAAATATTCAAATCGTTTTATATAAATAAATATAATTATATAATTACATAATAATTTTACAAATTAATAAATAAATTAAATTTTAATTAATTTTATAAGTATTAAATAATTTAAATTTTTTGTTAATAATATATTTTTTATTACAATTCATCTCTATTTTTTATTCAAATACATATTTCATCTATAATTTTAATTTCATCATAACATTTAATTTCATAATTATAATAATTAATTTTAAATTCGTCATTTTTTAATATAACTATAATTAAACTTATTATCCAAGCAAATGTAATTTAAATCTTACTTAAAAATTTTTGAGAAGGAAAAAAGAAAAAGAATAAATCATGAGTAGTTGTGTACCTGCATGCAAGTTTCGTCTCAATCATGGCCGAAACGGATAATGACAACACGTTCTTCTTCTGCGAGGATAGCCTGATCGACGGCCCACCCGGAGTGCAGGTGAGGTAACAGGTAAGACATGTCCTCTTCTCTCTCTCTCTCTCTTGCTTTTAAGTTTTCAGCTTCTCTACCCTTTGCCTTTGCATTGAACTCGCTTTAGTTTTGAAGCCAAAACGAATCAACAGTAGATGGGGAAGGCTGATGTTATTAGTGATATTTAATTATTTAAAAAATGGCGGACGGTGACGAAGGCTCTGGAAAGGCCCCGAGTCTTCTGCTGATTTGGCAAAATGGTTTCCACTCCCCCCCACTACAATAGTGCCACGTGTCTAACTTATTATTCGCATCTTCCAATAAATGTGCTTGACTCAGGAACATTATTAAGTTCCAGTCACTTCTAAGTGCGGCCCCAAGTTTTATTTTGATTAATTAAAATTTAATTTAAAATTACATTCTAAAATATATTAAGTACCATTTTAAAATTAAAAATCGCCGGACAAATATGGATGAGCTGTCTAAGATTAGGGCTTAAGAAGGCTTAACAAGCGTTACTTATATAAGGGTGACTAGAAGTCGATTTTAATATTGAAATTGATTAGATTTCATTAAATTAGCATGATTGACAATGATTTATTAAAGAAAATGATTTAGATGGATAATTCAATTTTAGCGTAGGGCGTTATTATTAATATGAAAGAAAAAGAATTTTTATTTGCATTCAATTTTTATACATTTTTAAAATAAATTTTAAATAAAATTATTTAATTTCCTTCTTTTAAATTAGTTTTCACTTTTAAATTTTCGGATTTACAAAATTGAAAACTTTTAAAAATTTTTTGATATATTCAAAAGTTTTAAAAACTTTTAAAAATTTCTGTGTCATATCATTTAAATAAAAAAAAAAACTATAGATCCACATGCATAATATTTATCTATCAATTTGTAAATGAGCTAATAATTATTGTAATCAAATTTTGCTTTTTCTTTATAATATTGTGCAAATTTTTATGAAATTTTCCCTTTAACTTTTTTTTTTCTCAAAACCCTAAATGTAACTTACCAAATATAAAAATTTGATAAATTATATAAATTATCGAATATTCTTATTCGGTAAATTTTATAACTTAATAGATAATTATAAAATTTATCGGATATGCATATCTAAAGATTTTAAAATTGATATGAAAAAAGATAATTAAATAATTCAATTTAAAGATAATTTAAAAAGATGGAGTTTTCATTTGATTCTCTATTAGTATATAAATTTTATATATTATTAATGAATTAGTAATATTATTTTATTAATGAAGTGAATATTAACTATTAAAATAAATATATAAAAAATTAATATATTTTTTAAAATCTTACTTATTAATAAAATAAAATTATCTTATTTATCTTATTAATTAGATAATATCAACTAACTTATTAATAATATATAAAATTTATATATTAATAATACATTAAATATAAATAAAAAAATAAATATTAAAAAATTGCAAATAGAAGCACCTTAAAAAAAAAAAAAGGATAGCAACAAAAACAGTGTAAATTTTGATAAAATTGTAATAATTCATTGTAAACTTTAACTTTCCCAATTTCCATATATTCACTAGCGTACAACGAACATGCTTGCAATCAAACTTAAAAAATAAAATTAGAGTATTGTTACTTACATTAATTTCCCAAGAGAAAAATAGTAAAATGAAGAAAAGAGCCCCTGGATGAAGTGAAAATTGCAAGCTGCCACAAAATAAGGACATAGCAATCGATATCTTTGAATATGAACAGCCCAGAAGCCAGCCCATACCGTCCATAACTCCACTCCATTTGCTTCTTCTGTTCCACAGATGTAGATATCAGGTTTTCCTCTTTTTAACATCCAACTTTTTGTCTTTTGGATATATAAAATTGTTTCCTCTGAAAAGATAAAGTAAAGGAAACCCTATTTCAGAATCTTTTCTCAGAAACCAAAATCAATGGCTTCCTCGTTAAATTGCTCCTCGTACAAGAAATACGAAATCAGAAAGCGAGACCCAAACCCCAAAACCTCTGCTTTATTAGTAATCGACATGCAAAACAAATTTTCGTCTTTCGCCAAGCCTATTCTCAGCAACACGATCACTACCATCGACCTCTGCCGACGAGCTTCAATCCCTGTCTTCTTTACTCGCCATTGCCACAAGTCCCTCGCCGACAGCGGCATGCTGGGGGAGTGGTGGGACAACGACATCATTTTTGACGGCACCGTTGATTCCGAGTTAATCCCCGAGATCGAACGGCTGGCGGAAGCCGACGAGGTGGTGGAAAAAACGACGTACAGTGCGTTTGAGAAGACGCGCCTGAAGGAGATGTTGGTGGAGAAAGGGGTGGAGGAGGTTATAATTACGGGGGTTATGACGAACCTGTGCTGCGAAACGACGGCGCGTGATGCGTTTGGGAAAGGGTTTAGGGTGTTTTTTTCAACGGATGCTACGGCAACGTTGGATTTGGAGTTGCAGGAGGCTACTTTGAAGAACATGGCTTTCGGGTTTGCTTACCTCGTCGACTGCAAGAGGCTTCAGCAGGGGTTTTTCCCTGACTAGATAAAGTAATTTTGTTTAAGAAATTGCATGTTACTAGTAGTAATCGGTGTCAATATTGCTTGTCTTTTTTTTTTTTTTTTTCTTTTGTTTTTTTATCTATCATCATCTGTAAATATATGTGTTGAGGTTTTGAATGATAATTATTTGGCTTGGTTTATTTTCTCATTTTTCATTTTTTAGATAATATTGGCATTAGAGCGCGTTACTCATAATTCAAGAGAAACATTTTTTTTTTCTTTTTAAAAATAATCATACACACGTAATTAGTGTTTGGCTCATTTTATTACAAGAAAATTATCTATGACAAAAGTAAAACTTAGATGTTTAACTTTCAAAATTTTAGTTTAGATGAAAAAATTATTTGAATTTTTAAATAAACTTATAAATTAAAATTTTTAAAGATATTAATTATAATAATAAATATTTAATGAAATTTTTTAATATTTTCTTTACTCTTTAATAATTCACAAAATTATTACGAGGATTATATTATTTCAAATTACTTTGTTTTTTTTATTGAATTCATTTGTTTTTTATTATAATAAATAAAAATATCTTCTTTTATTTATTTTTATCTAAAATTTTGAGATTTAATTCAATAAAGTTAGTTATTTTTTATTTTTATTTATTAAAAACATATAAAAATACTACCAAATGGTTTTTTCAACATTATACAACACATCTTTATTGAATTTGTCAAATACTACTTTAGATTCTCTTTTTAACACAGCTTTATTCCAACATCCGTTTTTGTAGAAGTTTTAAACCAAACAATTATATTTAGAATTCAATTAAAATTTTGGTATTTATTATAAAATACTTAAGTTTTATATTAATTTAATTAATTTTTTGTTATATTATTTAATAATTTATTTAATTATAATATTATTTAAATATTATTAAACTTGAATATAATTAAATAACAATATTACAATCTAATATAATACTATTTGAACCTAGAAGTCACCGTGTGTTAATTTCATAAATAAATTATTCTCTCAACTTTTGAAAATTTTTTTTGTTAATTGATTGTACAATTTAATAAATTGATTTGACATTTCAACTTAAAAATTAAAACTTGCATTTCAAAGTGCTCTTTCAATAATTATCGATTTTTTTGTCTCATTATCACAATTATCTCGTTCACGAAGAGGAAGTGAAAATTTTAATTTATTAATCCCTAAAATGATGAAATCTTTTGCTTTTCTATATCCAACCATTTTTTTGTCAATTTATTATCAATTTTGTAATTAACCTTTCAAAAGAATGTCCAAATCACAAAGCATTCAATTCTGACAATTATCGGTTTCTTTACCCTATTATCACAATTAATCTGTTCATGACAGTGAAAAGTTTAATTTATTAAACCTAAAAATAATAAAATCTCTTTCTCTTCCATATTTAATAATTTTCCTATCAATCTATTATCCATTTAATGATTAATGTTGTTGATATTCCAAAAGCTTTTGTAAAGAAACCTTAAAATATATTACCCATTTTTAATCCTTCAATTCCCATCCAAAATTTGCTTCTTTTAAAAAACACTCACTGATTTGTAATTTTTTTATCATTTGATTTAAACTCTTATGATTTGTTAATGAATATACTTACTAATTTACGATTTCCTTTTACAAAACTCATCAATTTAAAAACCTAACTTATAAATTCGAAAGGCATTGAAAGAATGTGATCATGGATTTGTTGCTTTGTGCTACAAAATTCTTAATCCATTTCAATTCTTTTTTTTGGTAAAAAATTTCAAAATAACATTGTTTATTTTAAATTTATAATTGTTTAGAAAAAAAAAAAAGAATAAATTCACTAACAATCAAATATTAATGTAGGTTTATGGACAATCCCATATATGACTGGTAAGTTTATAATATGATAACTCATTTTTTACTTGCATTCTTGATAAAATTTATAGAATCTCTGTAATCACAATGCATTTAGCCACAATTTGCCTAAGAAAATAGATAAAATATTATGACTCTATGTTAATTTTTTTAGTAGAAGTTAAAGTTTTAGATTAAAACTTTGAAACAAAGTTATTTTTTTTAATTTTTTACGACAGATTTTTACATTTATTTTTAGATGTATGTCATTACAATAAATATGGTTTCTGTGTTTTTAATTGTTTTTGTTGTTAAACTGCAACAACATGCGAGAAATTACATAGTTAAATACTATTATTAAATAATACTATATTAAATACTAGTTTTTTAATGTTATATATATAATGTCACTTAAAATTTGAATTTTATTTAATAAATGCTATTATTTTTATTTAATTCTTTAATTTAATTTTATTTATTAAAATATTATATTTACTACAATTTAGATATATTTTTTAAAAATATAATAACATTACTTACCAAACATATTTTATAAATTAAAAAATTTTAAAACAAAACAAAAACAAACTTTTGAAATAAAAAATTTTAATAATTTTAAAAAATAAATTAAAATTTAGTAACTTAGTCTAAAATTGCCCAAAGTTCGGTAACCAATTGTGTAATTTACTCCCCCGCAGGACCCCACTCCATTTACTTTCTTCCTTCTGTCCCACAGACTAGACATCTGGTTGCCGTCCTTATCATCCAACTTTATTTTTTGGTTGGATATAATTATTTCTTATGAGAAAGAATAAGGATAAGAAAACCCTCTTTCAAAATCTTTTTCTGAGAAACCGAAATCAATGGCTTCCTCGTTAACTTACTCCTCATACAAGAAATACGAAATCAGAAAGCGAGACCCAAACCCTAAAACCTCTGCTTTATTAGTAATCGACATGCAAAATCAATTTTCGTCTATCGCCAAGCCTATACTCAGCAACGTCATCACTACCATCGACCTCTGCCGACGGGTTTCAATCCCTGTTTTCTTCACTCGCCACTGCCACAAGTCCCCCGCCGACTACGCATGGTGGCGGTGTAGTGGGACAACGACCTCATCTTTGACGGCACCGCTGATTCCGAGTTAATACCCGAGATCGGACTGTTAGAAATATAGTTAAAACAAGAGAAATAATAAAAAAAAAATTTGATTTTGAGGCATGAGAAATATTATTTTAAAAGTAATTATTTTTTTAAAATATAATAAATTTTTTAATTTTTTAATTAGAAGTAATAAAAATAATTATATTGAAATATTCATTTATAATAAATAAATAGATATAAATTTTTATTCAGATAGTTATAATTTTTTGTATTATTATAATTTTTTAATTATATTTTATTAATATTCAATTAATTATGATAATTTGTCATATGATAATTATTTTTATTCAAATATAATTATTTAAAATATGAATAAAATTAATACAAAAATTAATTTTACTTATCAATAATTAAATTTTTCTATTTAATGTAAGATGCATCACATTTTAAACTAGTAACAATCTTTCACTAATTTAAAATATTAGTGCTTAATATTTAACCTTTCACACGAATAAATATTATGAATATAAGAAGATATATTTTCGATTTAAACATTCAATTAGTGTATATATTTTAGAATTTTAATTAAATTGATGGTATCCATAGATTAAACCCAACTTTTAATATTATAATTGAATATATAACACATATAATATTTATTTATTTTTCTATAAGAGATTTATAATTGCTTTTAGTGTTATTATGATCATGTGTTTATTATATTCATAATTTATAAGAGAGACTCCAATCTTTTTTGTTGAAGAGTCATTACTTCTATATTTGCATAAGTAAAGTTTTATTATGTTTCTATTGTTTTAGATATTTAAAACTCTATTAAAAATATAAAACCCATCTACCTTACGAAATAGATCACACTAATTTTTAAAATTTAAATAAATTTTATTAGTACTTAATAAACACATAAAAATAACTTATTTTATTAATTAAACTTAGTATTTAAAGGTTAATAATTCAAAATTGAGTTTTTATTATTAATGTCTAATAATAAGAGTTTAAATTCATTCTACTTGTGGTACTACTAACCAATATCTTGGAATTTAATTTTTTTTTAACTAATCAATTGGTTCTTAGTGTCTAAAATTAATAATTGAATTGATTAAAATAACTAATATTTTTAAATAAAATTTTAAATATATTATATATAATAAAATAAATATTTATATTTTTAAAAATAACAAAATATGACTTTGGGGCAAAATTTTTGGGTGAGTTCTATTAGGCGAAACTTATTGCAAAATTGGTGGTTAAAAAATGGTGTTTTTGATACCAATTGATCTATATCGGTTCATTATTTTTTTATTATTAGGAATAGATTATTAGTTTCAATTATTTTTTAATTTAAAAAATATATCGAATCGACAAACTGCTCATCTTATATATATGTACACCTCTAATCAAGATTACAATTGTTTCATTTTTTTTTTCATTTTCATAATTGTTAGATCAAATCTTTTAGGTTTTTTTTTTTTTCCAGGCCAAATCAAAATTTTTAGGTTAAAGTAGCGCTTACTATCAATCAACAAAAAGAATTATTGAAATTTTAAATCTATTTAAAAAACATATATTTTTAAATGGATAAAAAGTTCAAAATTCAATTTTAGCGTGGGGCGGCGTTATTATTAATATGAAAGAAAAAGAATTTTTATTTGCATTCATTTTTTATACATTTTAAAAATAATTTTTAAATAAAATTATTTAATTTCCTTATTTTAAATTACTTTCCACTTTTGAATTTTTGGATTTACAAAGTCAGAAAACTTTTAAAAATTTCTGTCTCGTATCATTTAAATCACAAAAGAATCTACAGATCCACATGCATAGTTTTTGTTGATCAATTTATAAATAAGCTAATAATTATTGTAATCAAATTTTGCTTTTTCTTTATAATATTGTGAAAATTTTTATGAAATTTTCCCTTTAACTAATTTTTTCTCAAAACCCTAAATGTAACTTATCAAATGAAAAAATTTAATAAATTATATAAATTATTAAATATTCATATTCGATAAATTTTATAACTTATTGAATAGTTATAAATTTTACTGAATATGTATATATAAAGACTTTAAAATTGATATGAAAAAGGATAATTAAATAATTCAATTAAAGATAATTTTAAAAGGTGGAGTTTTCATTTGATTCTTTATTATTATATAAATTTTTTATATTATTAGTAAATTAATCATATCACTTTATTAATGAAGTGAATATTAATTATTAAAATAAATATATAAAAAATTAATTTTTTATAAAAATTTTACTCATTAATAAAGTAAAATTATTTAATTTATCTTATTAATAAGATGTATCAATTAATTTATTGATAATATATAAAATTTATATATTAATAATATATTAAATATAAAAAAATAAATGTAAAAAAAAAATGGCAAACAGAAGCATCTTTAAGAAAAAAAAAGGGATAGCAATAAAAACAGTGTAAATTTTGATAAAATTGTAATAATTCATTTTAAACTTTGACTTTTCCAATTTCCATATATTCGCTAGTGTACAACGAACATGCTTGCAATCAAACCTTAGAAAAAAAAAATTAGAGTATTGTTACTTACATTAATTTCCCAAGAGAAAAATAGTAAAATAAAGAAAAGGGCCCCTGGATCAAGTGAAAATTACAAGCTGCCACAAAATAATTGAACAAGTTTTGAAAGGACATAGCAGTCGATATCTTCGAATATGAACGGCCCAGAAGCCAGCCAATACCGTCCATAACTCTGCTCCATTTGCTTCTTCTGTTACACAGATGTAGACATCTGATTGGCCTCTCCTTAGCATCCAACTTTTTTTCTTTTGGATATATATAGTTGTTTCCTCTGAAAAGATAAAGTGAAGAAACCCCATTTCAAAATCTTTCTCGGAAACCAAAATCAATGGATTCCTCGTTAAATTGCTCCTCATACAAGAAATACGAAATCAGAAAGCGAGAACCAAACCCCAAAACCTCTGCTTTATTAGTAATCGACATGCAAAACAAATTTTCGTCTTACGCCAACCCTATTCTCAGCAACACGATTACTACCATCGACCTCTGCCGACGAGCTTCAATCCCTGTCTTCTTCGCTCGCCTCTGCCTCAAGTCCCCCGCCGACAGCGGCATGCTGGGGGAGTGGTGGGACAACGACATCGTCTTGGACGGCACCGTTGATTCCGAGTTAATCCCCGAGATCGGACGGCTGGCGGAAGCCGACGAGGTGGTGGAAAAAACCACGTACAGTGCGTTTGAGAAGACGCGCCTGCAGGAGATGTTGGTGGAGAAAGGGGTGGAGGAGGTTATAATTACGGGGGTTACGACGAACGTGTGCTGCGAAACGACGGCGCGTGATGCGTTTGGGAAAGGGTTTAGGGTGTTTTTTTCAACGGATGCTACGGCAGCGTTGGATTTGGAGTTGCATGAGGCTACTTTGAAGAACATGGCTTTCGGGTTTGCTTACCTCATCGACTGCAAGAGGCTTCAGCAGGGGTTATTCCCTGACTAGATAAAGTAATTTTGTTTAAGAAATTGCATGTTACTAGTAGTAATCGGTGTCAATATTGCTTGTCTTTTTTTTTTCCTTTTGTTTTTTATCTATCATCTTCTGTAAATATATGTGTGTTGAGGTTTTGAATGATAATTATTTGGTTTGGTTTATTTTCTCATTTTCATTTTTTAAATAATATTGTCATTAGAGCGCGTTACTCATAATTCAAGAGAAACATTCTTTTTCATTTTTAAAAATAATCATACAGACGTAATTAGTGTTTGGCTCATTTTATTACAAGAAAATTATTTATGACAAAAGTAAAACTTAGATGTTTAACTTTCAAAATTTTAAAAATTTTTATTTAGATGAAAAACTTATTTGAATTTTTATATAAAGTTATAAATTAAATTTTTTAAAGATATTAATTATAATAATAAATATTTAATGAATTTTTTAATATTTTACTTTACTCTTTAATAATTCACAAAATTATTAGAAGGATTATATTACTTTGCTTTTTTTTTTATTGAATTCATTTGTTTTTTTTATTATAATAAACAAAAATATATTCTTTTATTTATTTTTTATCTAAAATTTTGAGATTTAATTCGATAAAGTTAGTTATTTTAATTTTTTATTTATTAAAAGCATATTAAAATACTACCAAATGGTTTTTTCAACATATACAGCACATCTTTGTTAAAATTGTCAAACAATGTTTTAGATTCTCTTGATGACACAGCTTTATTCCAACATCACTTTTTATGAAGTTTTAGACCAGACAATTATATTTAGAATTCAATTAAAAATTTGGTATTTATTTTAAAATACTTAAGTTCTATATATGATAATAATTTTTTATATTAATTTAATTAATTTTATATTATTTAATAATTTATTTAATTATAATATTATTTAAATGTTATTAAACTCGATTATGATTGAATAATAATATTACAACCTAACATAATTTTATTTGAACTTACAATTAATTGAGAAGTCACCATGTGTCAATTTCATAAATAAACTATTCTCTCATTTTTTGAGGAAATTTTTTTATTTATTTAATTGTATAACTTCAAAATTTAATTTGACATTTCAACTGACAAATTAAAATTTGCATTTCAAAGTGCTCTTCCAACAATTATTGATTTTTTCACTTCATTATCATAATTACTTCATTCATGAAGAGGAAGTGAAAATTTAATTTATTAAACCCAAAGATAATAAAATCTTTTTCATTTTTCTTTCATTCTATTACCCATTTAGTGATTAATCTTCCGAAAGAATGTCCCAATCACAATGCATTCAATTTCAGCAATTATCAGTTTCTTTACTCCAATATCACAATTAATCTGTTTATGAAAAAAAGGTGAAAAGTTTAATTTATTCAATCCAAAAATGATGAAATATCTTTTTTTCCTTATTTAACCATTTTTCTATTAATCTATTATACATTTAGTGATTAATGTTGTTAATATTCCAAAAGTTTTTATAAGGAAACCTTCAAGAAAATTACCTATTTTTAATTCTTCAATTTTCATCAAGATTTTGCTTCTCTTAAAAAAATTCATCGATTTGTAAATTTTTTTTTATCATTTTGTTTAAACTCTTATGATTTGTTAATGAATATGCTTACTAATTTACGATTCTTTTTTTAGAATCCATCGATTAAAAGATAAAAAATTATTAATAATAATTTAATTAATTTCTTAACATTATTTAAATGTTATTAAACTTGAATATGATTAAATAACAATATTACTATTACATAGTATTATTAAATAATAGTATGTAGATAATGTCACTTAAATAATTGAATTTTATTTAATAAATACTATTATTTTTATTTATTAAAATATTATATTTACAAAAATTTAAATATTTATTTTAAAAATATAATAACATTACGTACCAAAACATATTTTATAAATTTAAAAATTTTAAAACAAAACAAAAACAAAATAAAAAAAAAATGAAACTACCAAACGAGTCCTTACATTTTCTTGATGGACTAACACAACAGTCCTTTTTTTTAATAATTTTTCCAATTCTCAAATTCTCGATTGTAAATTCTCGGTAAAAAGATCGGCGCAGTCAGACAATAAAAAGTCAAAAGAGTGGTAAAGAACTGTAGGGTAGGAAACTGTAGGGGATCAAAACCTTTGTAATCCCAATATCCTATCCAGTATCTGCTCTTTTCTCACCCAATTCTTTTTCTTTTCTAACAGCACAACAATACCTTCAAAGCCAATTCAATCTTTCTGTCTTGCTTTTGACTTCTTCTTCTTCTCTCTCACTCCTTCCTTCCCTCCCGTATCGAATTCTCAAGCTGCCAATGGAGATTCTATCTTCTTCTTTATGCGCAACCCACGGCGGCGGCCTAGTCAATTTTTGTGGCGGTGGCTCCGTCGCTGTTCTTGGCTTCCCTCTCCAACATCTCAAGACTCAACCCCTTCCTGATTCTAAAAAAAGGCAGAGTTTTGGGGTCATAAAGGCTTCTGTTGCCAAGACAGAAGTTGCACTTCTCAGAATTGGCACTAGAGGAAGGTACTTTCTTTTGCCTTCTGTTGTTTGTCCTCTAGCGTGTTTCTGAATTGTTGCTTAGTAATGTGGATCATTGATGCCCTTGTTTGTTGAATTCAGATGGGTTTGGATTTCAATGCTTGAAAGTGGTAATCTTTCTAATTTGTTTGAATCTTGGGTGGTTTTCTCTTGGTTTAATTTGATATGTTAAATCTAGCTTTGATTTTGACAAATTCTTTAAATTACTAATCTAATTTGTAATTTTTTGTAGTATTATACATGCATTCTTCCTCAATGTTCAGTTTGATTGGTAAATATAGCCTGCTTGACTCTGATTCATTCCATCAGTCATTGGCCTTTTTGTTATTTAATATTTGTTAGTTTCAGTTGTTCTTTTAAAATACTTGCTGTCTTTCTTAGGCAGTGTAGTGAATTGATGCTCTTCTTTCATTTGGCTGAAAAAATATCATTTTAAGATTACTGCAATTCATTTCCTGGAAAAATTCAGAACAATTTTAGGGACTTTCTTTGTAGAAGAACTGAAACTTATTTCATTTCTTTAATATTGATGCATAGCCTTCAGTTTATTTTAGCATTTTTGTATCCATCACTTTTAACATGACTTTTTCTTTTTCTTTTTTTCTTGTTTATATTTTGTGAAAGATATCTTGAATCTCTTCTTGCTATTTATGTTCTTTCCATGTGTAGGACAGCCCTTTGGCACTCGCTCAAGCTCACGAGACACGTGACAAACTCATGGCTTCCCACCCAGAATTAGCTGAAGAAGGGGCTATCAAAATTGTTGTAATAAAAACAACTGGTGATAAAATACTGAGTCAGCCCCTTGCAGACATTGGTGGGAAAGGCTTGTTCACAAAAGAAATTGATGAGGCTTTAATAAATGGTGATATTGACATTGCTGTCCACTCAATGAAGGACGTTCCGACTTATTTACCAGAGAAGACGATTCTACCTTGCAACCTTCAACGTGAGGATGTTCGTGATGCATTTATTTCCTTGAGTGTGTCTTCCTTGGCTGAGCTTCCTGCTGGGAGTGTTGTTGGTACTGCATCACTCAGAAGAAAGTCACAAATACTCCACAGATATCCATCGCTCAAGGTAAGTTACTTTGCTATGTTATCTGATTATATTCTTAGAAGAATTAGCAGTGTTATTTAAGATACTCTTTGTTGGAAATATAACTTTCCTTCTGTGCTGATCTTATACAATTGACTTGAGATATGAAAATGACTCTGTTTCTAAAAAGTAGGATCTATTGGTGCATTGCATTTAAAATGTCAATGTCACAGCCATGATCAACAAAGCACATTGTCTTAAAATTCAAACATACAAAATTGTTCATATCTTTTTCTATTCCAAATTAGTTATAATTTTCTATGCCATTTTGTAGGTGGAGGAGAATTTCCGGGGCAATGTACAGACACGATTAAGAAAACTTAATGAAGGGTTGGTCCAGGCTACTTTATTAGCATTAGCTGGACTCAGACGCTTGAGCATGACAGAAAACGTTACTTCCGTTCTTTCAATTGATGAAATGCTTCCAGCAGTTGCACAGGGGGCTATTGGAATTGCATGTCGACGCAATGATGAAAAAATGGTATGTTTTTATTTTTATTCTGATTTTGCTATTGGAATTGCATGTTGAAGCAATGATGAAAAAATGGTATGTTTTATTTTTATTCTGATTTATGTCCGACCTCAAATTTCTATCACACCCTGGAGTTATTTTTGTGACCTGCGGCCTCAAAGAGCTTAATGACAGAGAAAATATGGTTGATCATCAGATTAACAAATGATGGCATTAAAAATAAACAACAAAATTTATGGGAAACAAAAAAAAAAAAATGCCATTGGCTCAAGAAGTTTTACAGTCCGTTGATGTTAGTGCTGGCCAAATTAATTTTTCCTCCCATTTTTGGGTTGGACGGATTAAATTGAATCTTGCAACCTGGTAATTGGTATTAGAAATGCTTAAAAACCCAAAAGTCAGAAACTTGAGGTATATAGTGTTGCAGGACAGAAAATACTGATGCAAGGATCTCTTATTTAATTGAAGATTAGAACACCATGCTGTTAATTTTAAGACAGCCTATTTGGGCCTTGGTTCAGATGCTCATCTAAAGCGTCTCTTGGACAATTGAATATGTTCTGGATATGTCTGCGAATTAAAGTTTCTCCAATGATTTATGTCTTCTATGTCAGATATAATCTTGAAAATTTTATTAGTATCTGAACAATCACTTTAAGTTGTGGTTCTGCAAATCACTTTTGATCTCCAATTGTTCTTCATCCTTTGATTTGGTTGGTTCTAATTTATATAGGCCAATTACCTAGCTTCTTTAAATCATGAGGAAACACGACTGGCAGTTGCGTGTGAGAGGGCCTTTCTGGAGAAATTGAATGGGTCGTGCCGTACTCCTATTGCTGGCTATGCTTACAAAGACGAGGATGGTAATTGCATATTTAAAGGATTAGTGGCGTCTCCTGATGGAACACGCGGTATGACCATTGCTCTCAAACATTTCCTAAATTTCTGTTTATCTTCTTTCTGCTATGAGAATCACATTGTTTGCTTTCCCTCCTAACGCTGTCATTTCTTCCCTATCTATACATATTCCAGTGCTTGAAACATCTAGAAAAGGCCTATACGTTTTTGAAGATATGGTTATGATGGGGAAGGATGCTGGCAAGGAACTTCTGTCTAGGGCAGGTCCAAGCTTCTTTGATTCTTGAGTAATTTGACAACAATGCGGGGTAAAAAGAGGAAAGCTCGAGGCTTCTGGTTTAACCTTTAGGATTTGTCTTCATCAACTTCATTCATTCTTCCGAGTCTTTGTTTGTTGTATTTCTAGGAATAGCTATTATTTGGTAATTTTTGGCGAATGATGTGAGAAGGTTGGATTTTTTACGTGTAATTTTAATTATTCGAGTCTTTGTTGTGCGTGCTTTGCATGCGGACGAAAAAGTAATAATAGTAAATAACTTTTAATGGGATGGCAAAAAAATAACTTTTAATGTAAAACATAAGCTGTATAGATAATTATTTACATTACTTAAAAAATAAAATTAAGTTAAATTAATGTTATATATAATATATTTCAGCAAGTGGAACATTTAATCTATGTTTAAAAGGTTTTTTTTTTTATTATTTTGTAAATATTTCCCTTTGCTTTGAGTTGTAGTGATATGTAATTGATATTAACAAAAAATAAAAAATTATCAAAACTAATTTATAATTGAACAAATAATTACGAGTAATTAAACTATTGTATTTAATTAAAATTAATAAGAGATGATATTTGGGCATCAGGATTGTCAATATTCTTATTCAATCTTCATGTGAAAGTAAAACACTAATTAAATTTTTATAAATCTACAATCTATTTTTTTACTATAAAAATCAATAAATTATCCATTAAAATTTGGTAAATAAGTGATGAGATTGATAAATAACTTAAGCATCACTTAAAATTAAAATTAAAATTATGTGTAAGGAAAGACGAGGTAACGACAAAGATGAATAATTGTTGCATAGATCACAACAATCAACAATCAAACAAGAAGGTCTAAAACATTTAAGTCTTAATTTCAAGTCACATTATGTGTCAATTTGATCTAATTTTGAGCTAAACTTAGTTCAGTTATATTCTAATTTATTTAGTCATTAATTATATAGTTTACTTCATCTTAGTTTTTCATACAAAATGTAATAGTAATTATGTCTTACATGTTAAGAGTTATTTGGTTGTGATGGTGAATCTAATTGTACATGTAACTTCAAAAATAAAAATATAATAATATTCATAAAATTACATGTCAAAATACTCTCATGTAGAATATATACACTAAATTATTTTTTAAAGTAAGCTCAATTAATTAATAATGATTTTTTTTTTTTCTTTTTAAAACTCTTTGTGATAGATTCATATATAAACTAGTGTGATCAAAATGATCTTTTTAGAATATTGACCAAATTGAATAACATTAGAAATGCAGTCCAAATTAAAAACTTAAAAGACATGGTTTATTATGTAAAGATGATGGTGCAGTGTCTGATATGTTTGTAAAAGCATTTGGTCCAATCATAACCAAATTTCATTAATCTATTTATTTACTAAATCAATAAAATAAATGCCACAACATTAAAGTCAAAATCACATAGATTAACTGACGAGTTGAAATTAAACTAACGTTATCAAATTCAAACAATATGAAAATTAAACTATTATAAATTATATTTGGAGAGAGAATTTCACAATTTTAATAATTAGTGGATAATGGAATTAATGCCCTAGTCTTGATGGTTGAAATGAATAGTTATTTTTGCTTTTGTTTTATGACAAACCGAGCTCGTAGCTTCCTCAACCATTAAACATTAAAATAGTAAACATAAAAGAGTTTTGTAATCAAATCAAATAAACCTTAATTTTAAATGAAGAAAATTTATTTTTATATCAATAAAAGCTTGAATAATAAGTTAAAAATGTGTTAGATTTTTGTATTATTATTACTTGGAGTAAATTTTGTTTGTGTTGGATTGGTATTGTTCACTATTTGATATCAAATGATCGATATTTGTTAGATTATTAGATGAATTGAATGTTTGTTAGTATAGTAATTCAATTGTTGGTGAATTGAAATAGTTGGTTATATTATTAAATGAATTAAATTGTTAAGTATTTGTTTGGATGAGGTAAATTTGGAAAGCCATTGAAGAGGTGTTCAAAGGTTGCTGGGAATGGATTATTTATCATGTTCTTAGAGAAAATAATTTTGTTGCAGATTGGATGGTCAAATGGAGTCTCGATCAACCTACTGATTTGAATGTCTTTTATGATCCACCTCCTGCAGTTAAAATTGTCCTCAATAAAGGTGCTAATGTATTCACGCCATATCCTTTACTAGTTGGGTCTTTATCCCAGGGATGTCAATTTTATATAAATTCAATGAAAAATTTAATTTTTTATTCTAATGAAAATGAAGATGGAAATAGATATTAAATTTTGAAAACAAAGATGAGAATAGATATGATTTAAAATTTTTTATTGAATATGAATATGAAAATGAATAATATAGCATTCATTCTGTACTTGTACCTTATATACTTTTATATATTTAACAAATTATTTTTTATTTAATAATAACAATATTATTTTAGATTTATTATAGTTAGTATATTTGTATTTAAAAATATATATTTTAAAAAATTACTTAAATGTGAAAGATAAAAATAAAAAAAAATAAAAACTAAAAAACTAAAATTTATTTTTTATTTTAGATTTATTATAATTAATATATTCATATTTAAAAATATATATACATATTTATAAAAAAAATTACTTAAATATCTAAGATAAAAATAAAATTTTAAAAATTTTAAAAATAAATTTTATTTTTTATTTTTTATAAAGCCATAAGTATAGGGATTACTAATACTTATTAAATATCCATAGAGATGAGAATGAAATACTCGTTGAATATAAGTATAAGGATGGATGTAATATTAAAAACTAAAGATGAGGATGGAAAATATTCTACTCAATCTATAACCTATTTATTGACATCCCTAATTATAAAAAAAAAAAAAAAAGGTTTTGGGTAGCGGTGAGATAAAAAATCGAGAAAATTGAAACTAATTTAAAACCATAAAATCAATTCTTTTCTTATTATTCAATTCGGCTCAAGGTTGGATATTAAATATATTTATTAAGTTTGAATCAGAATTTAATTTGGAATAAAAAAAAAAATTGAACTAAATCAAATTATTTATTTTTATTAGGTTTTAGATATATTTTAAATTTTTATAAAATAAGAATAATTATTTTATATATAAATATATTAAAAATTATACTAAAATAATATATAAAAAAATAAATTTTAAAAATTAATGAATTGAAGTGATAAAATTTGTTTGGATGATTTTAGAAGATCGATTTGATTTTAAAAATTTATAATACTATATGTTATTAAAAAAACCAAATTGAATTCAATTTGAATGAACAATAAAAATCTATTTCGCAATTCTCAATTTCCGTTGTAGTCTAGGTGGTTAGGATATTCGGCTCTCACCCGAAAGACCCGGGTTCAAGTCCCGGCAACGGAAGCCGGCTTTAGGCCTTTTTTGTTTTCTTTTTTTTACTTGGACTTTTTTCATTGATAGATCTTTTTAGGTCTTTGGAGCTTGGGCTGTGCCTTTTTATTGATAGGCCTTTAGCTCTTGGGCTGTGTCTGCTTTGTTTGTTGATGTATACAATTTTTTTTACAATTTTCTTTTTAAAGAACTGAAAAATTGGCAGAAATTTCTTTTCGAGCATCGCCAATACGAAGGTGAACAATTAGAATTATATTTTAATTATTTATATATAAACCTTATAGTATTACTACGAATTGCAATTTGCAAACACCCTCATTGTGATCAATCGATCAACTTCTGGATTGTTGACATATATCATGCAAATGATGTGGCATCTGAACATAGCATTAATTCGTTCTAAAAGGTGCTGCGATAAATGAAACAATGCTGTACAAATTTCCTGTCAAGAATCCTGACAGATGCTTTAGCTATTGTTTATTACAAAAGAACTGATAAAAAAAGTTTCTTCCAATTAATTTGCCTGTGAAAAGAACAAAGAAAAATGCATCTAACAATAACTAAAATGGTTTAGGTGGCAATTTCTTATTGGCCAGGAAATGCCTAACAAGCTGAAGAGCCTGCCTTGGTTTAAAAGTTGGAACTTCATGACCAGCTCCTCTAATGGTGACAAACATAAGCCCATCATACTCTATGGTCCACCCACCAACCTGTAAACAAAAAAAAAAAAAAAATCTTAAAGAAGGGTACTGAAACTATATATTTTCATGTTAAATAACTGGAGCGTGAAGAAAGACAAAGGCGAAAGCATCACCTGTTTGTTGTTGGTGTACCAAGGTGTCCATTCTTCAATTGTTTTTAATCCAAGCTTTTTGAGGGTAAGTCTAGTTGCAGTAACCGGAATTCTCCCATCAGTATCTCCACTGCAAATAGAAAAAATAATAATAATAAATTGACAAATGAAACGTCTATATTCAAAAGTTCAACCAGAAAGTTAATTTTTAAAATAATGTTTGTAAGAGTTTTACCTGAAAACCCATATGCGAATGCCTCCAGCTATAAGCTTTTTAATTGTTGGAAGCATAGATGCTGGTGAATCCTTCCAAATTGAGATAGTGTCACTGGAGAACAAAAAAACAACCTCATACGCACGTATTTTCACATGGTTGTTGATTATGTCCAAAACAGTCATATTTTACTAGGGCTTAAAATTCGTATTTTTGGCAAATGGTAATGAATTCAAGACCTGCAATGAGTCCATGGATAGGACATTTTGGTAACATTGGCATGAAGTGCGTTTTGAACATCGGGCCTATTAAGATAAACCTCAGTGTAGTCTGATGCACAAGGGTCGTATCCTGCTGGTCTCTTGAGCCATCCATCCTGTAGAAAATCAGATAGCGGTTTAGGCCGGATTCAATTTGAATTAAAACGCATTAAAAGCAATTAATCCTGATTTAGTTGCTGAAATCCAGAGTCTGCAAAGAACTTACAAATTTGGACAATATCTGAGGAGCAATGCCTTGAATCGCCAGGCGTTGTCTGCTACTGCTGGAGTTACTAATACAGCTGGGAGTATACAAACTGTACATGTCAATGATTCTGTACACAGCAAAGTAAGCTCTGAGGGCTATGTTGCAATCCTTAGTTGGCTGTGGACTGCTGAAGTTACATTTGATTTTAATATCGTTGTAAACTCGATCAGATATCACTGCATGATCCCATGCATAATCGACCATTCCTGTTTGATCCATTTCATCGTCCAACAATGCATTCCCAATCTACATAAAGTTCATTAGCAGAGGAGCTATGTTGTTAATTATAATTTTATGTATTCTTTGTTAAACAGAATTGCCAGATTAATCAACAATCAAACACTTCATTTCCATCTAAACTGTTTTGTGCAAGCTTTTTTGGGTACACAAATGATTTTTCAAAGCATTTAAAAAGGCTTTGTTGATCAAGCAAAAGCTGGCAAACTCCAAGTTCTGTTGATTAAGGTTTAAGCTAAAAAATATATATATAGCTGCCGTATACTATTAAAAGTCAAATCCTCTCATTTTAAAAATGTAAGGCACGATAAACTGAGAGTTTAGCTCTTTTTGTTAATGCAACTAACTTTAAAAGGTGATATTCTACAAATCTGAAATTCAAATACATGCAATTTTTACGCTTATTCCTTAAAGGGCGGCCTTCTTTGTAAATAGAAAATAAGGGACCGGGCAAGCTAATAAATGACAGGTGCATTGTGAAAATGAAGTAATAAAAAAACAGACTGAATGTATCCAAATTAAAAAAAAAAAAAGGTCTAATTACAGAAAATAATGTTAGTGCAATTAAATCCTTACCATAAATCCCTTTAGATTTATGTAATCTGACTTGGGAACATGCTTGTTGCTGTCAAAGATGGCCTCGGCTAGCTGTGGAACATAGTGGCCTGAAAAATTCATTAAAAACCGAATAAACATGTATAATCAAGAGAGTACTATTAGAACTGCTGGATCAAATCACAAAAGTGATAGGCAGAAGAATAAAAGGAAACCCAAGAAAATAAATGATAAGACAGACAGAAGGTTTGAGGAGGAAAATATGGAAGTGTAAGGGAAATTTTGTTATACCAGCATAGCTTTCTCCAGCAATGTAGAAGTCATGGGACTTGAACTGTGGGAATCTTTTGAACCAGTTGACAAGAAATGAGTAGGAATCCTTAGCTAATCATTCAAGAAAACAAGGAATGATCAGGAAAGGAGATGAATTATCTTTGAAGTTTTGTTGCATTAGAAGGATTTTTTTTTTTACCTGTAATCTCATCACCGAGTTGATGGATATCACTACTATTATTGGTGTATGAAAACCCAACACCAACGGGAGATTCAACAAACAACAAGTTGGCAGCTGGAAGAGAAAACAAAACAACGGAAAACTCTCATATTACTTGGTCAAAGAAGAAATACAATCCCCGAATCCAAACATAAAACTATTGAAACCACAAAGTCAAACAGGTTACTTGTTTATATATACCTCTGTTCCATCTGTGTGGGTTAAGCTTTAGCGTTGTTTTGTCTTTCTGAGGGAAAAAAGGCCCCAGCTCCTCTGCTGCTCCATATCCGATTGATGAACACCCAGGACCTGCAATTTTTATTAATTTAAGATTAGATAAAAATAAACTGGTCATGCTTTACATATCTAGTTATTATATTATGTCATCGAATTTACAGTTTCCAATTAATGCACGTGCATGCACCAAATTTTGTGCATTAAGATATTATTTTTTTACTTGAAAAATCGTATTTGGTAATTATTTTTTTTGCATTCCATATACGTCGGAATTAATTATTTACCTTATTTGTGTTTTAAATGGTAAAAAATGGCATATATCAACATATTAAATGGGTAGCAATAATAATCTTGACTATAATATAAAGATACTGCTTTTCAAAATTATAAACTATTGAATTTAAAATTTAATTTAATTTAATTTAATTGATTCATTCAATTTCTTAATATGAAATCCAAATTTAAGATTTAAATTCCAATCCATTTCCTTAATTTTGGATGGTGACTATATAAAAAAATTTATAAAATTAACAAATTATGTGTGATAGAAGACGAAAAAGTAAATCAATGGTGGATCCAAAATTGGTAGAAGTCATCATGGTTATTATAGGGGTTGTTGAATCTAATTAATATTCAAGAAATCCATGATAATTTGGTTTGACAGCTTGTAAGGCAGTTACACCTACATATTCTTCCCATTATTATATTGCATTTTTGAACTTACCCAACCAGGCATGCATCTTTATAATTCATTCTAGAATCTGTTTCTGTTGAAATTCGAAGTATAAAAAAAAAAAAAATACAATAAAATATTATGTTATGATTTATTGACAAAGGTTGTGACGGTGGTGATTATTATTAATTAAAAGTAATCATCATAAGAGATTTAATTAAGATGATCCATGTAATTAGAGGAGACACTTAAGATCAGCCAAAAACGTTAGAAGAAAATTTGACAAATTTGAAAGAAAAAAAAAAATACAAATAGATGAATGTGATGTACTTAGATTGGTTATTATTGAAAAAGAAAAGGAAAAGACAACTTTCTTCAAAACAAAAGAAGTGACAAAGCTGTAGGAGGAAAAGGTGAGGATGACAATTCGGAACAATGTGAATATGGCCAAAAGCAATAAAATCTCCATATATATATTTCATATAGTAATGTTGTGAAAGAAAGTTATGGGCCAGGCGTGGCCAAGTTCGTAGACATGAAAAGGAGTGGTGATGAATGCGAAAACCAAGTAAACCGACGATAACGCGTTGTCTCACTCTCAAGTCTGAAATTGACTTTGTTTCTCCCTACTAGCCACTTGGAATTGGATAAATGATTGAAGATAAAAGGGAAAAAAAAAATCCAAAACAGCTCTACAGCAACTGGCAATCAGAGGGTAAACAGAAAAGACAAGAATTGAAAGAGAAAACTCTGGGATTTAAGAGTTAATTACCTCCGTTGAGCCAGAGGAGGAGAGGTTGTTTCTCAGGCTTGCTTGTGGCTTCGAAAAACCAATAGAACAGGGCTCTTCCATGACTCTCATTCACTGTAACATACCCTGCATATTGCTTGAAATCCACCGGAGGCTGACCTGGAAGCTTGATGACCCTGTCAGCTTCTTGTCGAGCCAAAACATCGCGGCTCAGCTGACCACCATGGCCGGTACTGAAACTTACTCTAGCCATAGCTACGCTTATACTAAGCAAAAGAAAATGAAAACTCAAAGAAAGAGCTGCATTGGATGCCATTGGAGACTCTCCTGTCTTCCTTCCTGTCTTGATATGTATCCTGTGTGGTGTTAAGATGTGTATATATATATAGGACGAATGATATTCAGATAATCAAGGACTGATAAGAATAATCTGTAACTAGTTAAAAGATTTTTAATGAAAATAAAAAAAGATGTGAATAATCTTATAATTTAGATATGATTTTATTTTTCCACTTCTCAGGAACTTCAATAGTATATTTGTTGCTTTGACGAGAATTTTGGGGTTAAAATGAAAATGGATAGGATATAATTGGCAGTGAAGGAAAGAGGGCCGATTTTTGGTCAATTGCGTTGGATAGGAACATTTGACAGCCTTTTGCCACTGTATATTATAACCCTTCCTTATTAGGATCTGTGATTTCCGTAGAAGCTAAACTAATATGCTAATAAAATATATTGCCGTTGAACCTACCATTTAATTTTCTGCAATAAATTTTTTGCCATTTTTATAACTTGAGAAATTTTTTTTTTTTTTGGTTTTGCTATACAAATATAAAAGAGAAAGAGTTTCAATAAATTTTTTTACAAAAATTTGGGAGAGGAGGGCTCAAAATTTGTTCATCTTCCCATATCTCAGGTGCTCTAATAACCTTTTGTTATAGAAAAGCAATTTTTTTTTGACAAACAAAACTTTGATTTGAATTATATATGATAATCTAAAATATGACATGAAAAAAAATACGAAAGTGATGCGATTTAAAATTTTAATATAAATCATATATAGATTTAACAAAATAAAAAATATTTTATATTTTCGTATTGACATAAATTATAACATAATTTTTATATAAAATATAATATAAATACATAAATTATCAATATTTTACATAAACGAACACAAAAATTATCAACTCTAATTTGAATAGACAAAAAAATATTATTATTTACTATATTTTTAAATTGTGATTGTAAATATTTTTTATTATTAATATAATTTATTCCGTTTATAAATAAGAATTCTAATTTTATTAAAAGACTCTTGTTAAATAGATTTTTTTTATAATTAATACAAAAGACTTAAAGTTTACTTTGAATTTCTTTATCGTCAAAGTTGTAATTTTTTTTTATTAATCTTAAAATGTAAATGGATTTATTTGATAATAAAAAAGTTAAAGTTTATATTGAATTATCTTTTAAAGTTTTTATTTTCACCATTAACCTTAAAAAGTTATAAAGTTTATGTTAATTTAATATATTTTATATAAAACAATTTTCACATGCTAATGTAAAATTTGATTAATATGCACTTTATTAATTAGTTTTATTTATTTATATGATATGTAACTTTTTACTCAATATATAATATTTTTATAAATAAAAAAGTTTCACGTAATTAAGATGCATGTGACAACAAATATTAATATAAATAGATCATGCATATAAATTTTAAATTAAAATTAAAATGCATATTTATTTTAAATAATAACGAGATAACTTAAACAACCTAGCTAGAGATAAGATAATTTTTAGCGATAGGCTCTTTTGTTTTGTTTTTTTTTTTCTTGCCACCGCCGCCGATTGCATGCACGTAACAGACACTGTTACAACAGAAAATTTATCATCTCACTTAGAGTGCATATGAGATTTTTTTTTAGAGATTATTCAGATTTTTTTGAATTCAAATTTATTAAATATTATTTTTTAAAAATGATTGTATGAATTAATTAAATCAAATTTCAAGTTCTTTTAAGAAAAAAACGAGATAAATTTCACAATAAGTCACTTAACTTCTACTAAAATCCCATGTGTTACTAAATTTTAATTTGTTCCATTTAAGTCAACAAAGTTTGTCATGTATACAAAATAAATTCCATTTGACAGAAAAAAATATGATCACTGTCTCAATCACACCAGTTAACAAATCCACATAATTTCATAAAAAAATCATTAAATTTTCACTCAATTTTTAAATAGGTTATTGAACTTTAATTTGTCATTACATCACCACTAAAGTTTGTTAAGTATATCAAATTTGATCATTTTAATATATAAATTTCATCTAAAATAAAAGTTAGATAAAATCTAAATATTGAACTCAACCAAATAGCATCCAGATTTTCTATGTAACCGAAAATTCTCTCATATCCTATAAAAAAATCAAAAGAAAAAAAAAGTAAATCCAAATAGATAGACCTTTAATAAATATTTGTTTATCCTGTAGTGTTATTGCTTTTATTTAAATTAAAGAGCATAAATATTTAAATAAAAGAAAAAGTGTAAATAATAGTTTTATTAATAAAGAATTAAAATTTATTTATTAGTTTATTATATAATAATACTTATTTAAATATTAATTTATTATATATAATATTTATTCATACATTAAATTAAGAAAATTACTTAATAATTTTTAAATAAAAAATCAAAATGAATAAAAAAAATGACATGGAGTTGTTAACTTGAAGAAAAAAAAAGGAAGAATAAAAAAAAAAATAAAGGAAATGCGATGGTGGACTGGAATCTTCAACCTTCAATGATTAATCGACAAAAAATCACACCGCAACATAACCTTATTTTGGATTTTAAAGCTACAACTGGCACAATTTTTTGCAGCAATTGTACCTCTTAGGGTGCGTTACGGTTGATACACAGCCTTAACGTAGTTTCATTCATAGGCGTCGTATTAATGATAGATTGTTAGGGAATTTCTAAATGCATCCCATTGAAACTCTTTACACTTTTTTCTTTTTTTTTTTTACAAAAATGCCTTAAGTGAAATTATTTAATTATTTTTAAAAAATTTTCTTTTTTGCCTTTTATATATCATTTCTATTCTCTTACCCCAAAACATCCAAATAAACATATTCAGAAATAATAATGCATTATCGGATATGCACATTCAATAAGTTCTTTATATTATCTAATATGTATATTCGAAAATATAAAGTGACTTTTAGATGTACATATTTGATAAATTATTTAATTTATTAAAAATACATATATGATAAGTATTTTAATTTACTAAAAATGTATATTCAAAAATAATTATATATTATCAGATTAGCATATTCGATAATATAAAAAATTTATTGAAAACGTATATCCAAAAATATACAAAACCTACTGAATATACATATATAGTAATGTGATCATTTTAATCACGTTTTATACTATATGTTAATTGGCATGTGAACAATTTTGAAATAACATGTGTTATTTAGTAAGTTCTTAAATATGCATAAGCAATTTATGCAAATATATGCATAAGACTATGAATTTTTATATTCAACATAAAATTCAAAATATTTTAAATTATAAAATCAATATCTTTGTACATATATGCAAAAAAAAAAAAAAAAAACTTAGAAATAAAGTCGTAATCCCTTATCCTCTTGTTTCACAAATAAATGCGTTTAGATTAAACGGGATGATTGTTGATAAGATGATTGTTAATACAAACATTTGTCACCCTACCGAATTTAATTTTTATCTCAAATAGCATTCTTCTTCGGGCAACAAGCATCCGAAGGAACGGTGGCGTCCGGTGAAGGAGCAGCACGGAAGCTGGATATGGAAGAAGAGTGGATAATTATCACATGCAAGATTCTCGAGATAAGGGGAGTAACAGGCACGGATTAGCAAGCAAACTATATGCAAAGCAACGTGATTGTCAGGGACCAAATTTGAGAACGTACACACAAGAAAAATCGTGTAAAGGAGCGGTCTGCATGACTGGAGCTGTCGCTAATAAGAATAGACTTGGGCCCATAGTGAGGTTGATATGTACTGTAGGGGAAAATGATTGGGCCAAAAGGGATGGATTGGAATAAAGGGGCAGCTGCAGATGTTATAGATTGGGGGGCCCAGGTCCAAGGATGGACCAAGAAGTTAAAAAAAGAAAAAGTTAACTTAGAGAAAGTAAAGGGTGGGTACGAAAATGTGGGAGGCTTGCATAAGAATAAAGCAACACCATTTGGAATCAGAACTCCACATCACCTTGTAAAACATTTATCTAGTGGCAATTGAGGAATGGTGCGAGTTATTTCCATATCACCCTTGTAAAACATTTATCTAGTCTAGTGTTAGATCACATCCCCCATAATGGTGGACACAAGAGGGATAAAACCAAAAGGCAACAGTTGCATAAGAAGACAAGAAGTTTTTGGAGGCCTCGTGGTTAGCAAAACCCATTTGTACAAAAACTATTGAAGAAAGATAGATAATAGGGGATGACAATACATCGTTGCAAGGATGAACACGTGCTGGACAATTTTAAAAAGTGGAGTAAAGGTAAGGCCACAAACTTAGCATGAGGATTGGGAAACTTTATGATGACCTGACTATGGTACAAAAGTGGGTCACAAGTGAGGTGGTGATGAGAAAAGAATTACAGCTAAAGGAGGCATTAAATGGCCTCTTACATCAGAAGGCAGTCTACTGGAAGCAACGGGCACGTACAAATTGGCTTAGGGAGGGCGATAAAAATACAAGGTTTTTCCATAGTCGGGCTTTTGAAAGAAGGAGAAAAGAATAGAATATATGGGATCGAAAGGTAAGTAGTTTGAAAGTGACTTACAGATTTCAAGACATGCAGTGGATTACTTCAAAGAATTGTTGAAAACCTAAGGTGCTTCAAATTTGGGCAGGATAATAAAGTCAATTTCTCCATGCATTCAGGTTATCTCTCATTTTACAGTGGAAGAAATCCACAGTACCATGAACAGATTCATCCTACAAAGCCGCTGGTCCGACGGTATGCCGACTTTTATTTTTCCATAAATTTTGGGATATTGTAGCAATGGATATTACTGAGCTCTGTCTTCAGGTTCTAAATGGAAGGGAAAGTCTGGAGGGAATTAATGATACTTATATTGTTCTCATCCCAAAAGTCAAGGCACCTGGGAAAATTATTTAGTACAAGCCTATTAGCTTATGCAATGTTTTGTACAAAATTATTGCGAAGACCATAGCTAATAGACTGAAACGGGTCTTACCAAAGTATATAAGCGAAAATCAGAGTGCCTTTGTTCCAGGACGCTTGATATATGATAATGTGATTATAGCTTATGACCCGTTGTATACAATGAAACACAAGAACACGGGGAAAGATGGGTGGTGTGCTTTAAAGCTGGATATGAGCAAGGCCTATGATAAAGTGGAGTGGCCTTTCATAAGTGCTGTAATGGAGCGAATGGGTTTTGATAAAAGGTGGATTTCACTTATTATGAAATGCATTCAGTCTGTTACATACAACGTAGTTACTAATGGTTTGATTGCAGATACTATTCATCCGGAGAGGGGGTTGAGACAGGGGGATCCTCTATCCCCATATCTATTTCTGATGTGTATTGAAGGTTTATCGACACTATTAACTAAAATGCAAATAGAGGGCTTGCTAAAAGGAGTAAGGGCAAGTGTTCAGGGTCCTAGAATCGCTCACTTATTTTTAGTTGATGATAGTCTGCTTTTCTTCAAAGCAAACCAACAGAAAAGCAAAAAAAGTGAGGTACTTGCTTAATTGGTATGAGGAAGATTCTAGGTAGAAAAATAAATTACGACAAGTCTGACTTATTCTTCAGTACAAATACTAAACTAGAGGCTAAAGAGATGGTAAAAAGCAAATTCGGGATACAAGTAACCACAAGTTCGGAGAAGTACCTAAGACTCTCAATGTTTATTGGGAAGAGGAAAAAACAGGCTTTTTGACAAATACTAGAAAACATAGAAAGGAGAATAAAGAAATGGAATCACAGATGGTTGTTCCTAGGAGGGAAGGAGGTGTTTGTAAAATCAATATTGTAGGCGGTTTCTTCATATGCTATGTATTGTTTTCTGTTTCCGAAAGGCCTATGCCATAACATTGACATGATTATTAGCAAGTTCTGGTGGAGAAGGATTGAAAGAGAAGCAATACATTGAAAATCCTGGAATTTTATGTGCAAGGCTAAAAAGGCTGGAGGCATGGGTTTCAGGGAAATAGAGTGTTTTAACAAAACATTGCTTGCAAAACAAGGACGGAGACTCCTACACAACCGGACTTCTCTTATGCATAGAGTTATCCAGGCCAAGAATTTTTCAAATACCTTTTTTCTAGAAGCAAAGCTGGGGAAGGCACCTTCATTTACATGGATAAGTATTTGGATGGTAAAGGAAGTGTTGCAGCTAGGCACCAGGTGGCGGGTAGGCAATGGACTAAGTATCAACACGTGGTTAGAAAACTGGATCCCAAAGGAGGGCTGTTTCAAACCGAAGCCAAGGGAAAACTAAAACCCAAGGCTTGAATATGTTGCTGACCTACTATAGCTAAACTATTGGGATGAGGAAAATTTGAGGGAACATTTTGATGCAGAAACAGTTATGGATATTTTAGCAATCCTAGTGAGCTACAGTGGTCTCCCAGACATCCTGGTATGGCATCACACAAAAACAGGTCAATATAGTGTCCGAAGTGCTTGCCATTTAATGGGCTCTTTAGAGGGAACGAGGGTCGAGACAATAGGAAACAACAGTACAAACTGGAAGAGATTATGGCAGCTTTCACTTCTAAGAAAGAGAAAAATTTTCGCTTGGAGAATGGAAAATAAGGCTTTACCCGCATACGAAAGACTGGAGCGAAGGAGGATGAATAATCTATCATACACAAAACAAAAAGACTGCCATTCATCGAAGGAGATATGGATACAGGCTGGATATGGAACAGAGTGGCTGGAATCCCAATGACTAAATTTGACTGAGTGGTTTGCAATGCTGGTCAATAACACAGGGATGGAAAAGCAAAGCCATGTTATGGTTATGTGCTGGGCTATATGGTTCAACCGAGACAAGGTCATTAAAAATGGGAAGAGTAGGGAGAGCCAAGAAACTATCTATTTTATTGATAGATATCTGCAAGAAATTGATTCTTCTCATACAAAAATCTTAGACAAAGCTATACAAGTTGAAGCCAAATAGAGTGCACAAGGGGAGAATGAAGTGAAAATCAATTTTGATGGAGCATTAAACCTGGAGAGAAGAGTTGGCGACGTGGGATTGATTTCAAGAAACAACTAGGGAAGGGTTTTGGGAGCTGCATCCATACTAATTACAGGAATCAAGGATGCAACAATAATTGAGGGGATTGCCGCATTAAAAGCAGCTGAATATGCTTCAGAAAAAGGGTGGAATGAGATTATTTTACAGGGGGACGCAAAAGGAATCATAACTCAGATTACAAAATCGGTCGACAAGCTTTCCTTGATGGGAAATCAGTTAATGGAGATGGAAGTTAATCTACCCACTATTTAAAGATGGAAAGCTATGTATGTCCAGAGAGAGGCAAATGAGGCTGCACATAAGCTGGCCAAAATGGCAATGGAAAAAAAACGATGTCGAGACATTGGTTCAATTTATGCCCAGAGGAACTATTATGCGTTGTAACTCGAGATACGGCTTCACTATTTTAAATGGAAATGATGCTATTTTGTCTTAAACAAAACAAATTTAGGCAACAAGTTAACCCACTCATTACCACTTATTGAATGATTAAAAGAATATCAAATTCTTGAATGTTAATGTCTGCAATGAAATTGTTTTCAGCATACAACATATGATAATGAGTTGGCTTACTTTTTTCCTTAATAAGAATGCTATTGAGATAAAAATGAAATTCAGTGTGGTGGCAGATGCTAGTATTAATAACCATCTAATCATTATTTTCTCTCATTCATGCCATATCTATTGTGAGATAAAATAATATCAAGCACTCAACCCATTCATTCAAAAAAATTCAATACTTTAACAATTTTACATATAGCAAAATATTTTAGAGTTTATGGATTAAGGTTTATGTTTTGGGTTTAGGTTATTGTATTTAAAATTATGGGTTTAGTGTTTATTTTGGTTATGATGTAGTTTTAAAGTTTTGAGTTTGAGATTTTAAACTTTGGGATTTACATTTTTAAATATTTTTCAAACTAGCATTTTTAAAAAGTTGTAAAAATTTTTGAATTTGTTAATTTGATAGCTTGTAAAAACTTTCAAGAATGCAAATCTAAAAGCTTTTAAAGGTACCTCGATTTGCATTTCTAGACAGTTTTAAAACTTTTCAAATTTGGAATTTTAAAAGTTTATAATTTTTTTTAAATTTATAAAATCGAAATTTTTTTCAAACTTTAAAAAATTCAAATCTAGAATTGATAATGAAAAAATACTCTACCAAATTTTAATTTAACTAGCATTTAACCAAAATCACACAAAATCAAATATAATTTATTTCTTGGTGGCTTGATTAGTTTTGAAACTTAGTGATTTTAATGTGATTGATTTTAAGATGAATCAAAGATTTTTAAAAAAGGGTAAGAGTTTAGGGTTTGGGTGAGTAATTTTAGGGTTTGAAATGGGTGAGGAGTAAAGTGTGAGAGGTGTTTGCGGAAAATGTGTTTTTTTGGTTTGAATGAGTGTAATGAATAAAAATTAAATTTTAAGTTTTAAATGTGGGGTGTACTTAGTGATGAGACTTGTATCAGTATTTTTTGGATGGAAACAGAAAGATCCATATTGATATCGTTGAGGAAGATGTACATTCTTTTAGGAACGAGAGTGGTAGGATTGGCAAACAAGTGGACGCATAAAAGGACTATGACGGAATTAATCGAGACTTCCGTCGCTGGGTTTTAATGAATCTTGGGTTGGCTTCTGTAAACGTCAAATTTTACACTGTTCAAATTGAATTGTATTAAACCGATTTTAACTGCACTAGCAATAACACATCTTCAATGATCTTCATAAGAAAATCATGTTTGAAACAAAGTCATCAATTAGAGAAAATTTGATGTCCGTAATGCAAGAAATGGAGACAGTAAGAAATTGACTAGGATTGAGATACGAGTTTCTGTAAGTTTTTCTTTTCCCAGTGTGGTAACTAAATTGGACATACAACATATATATTTTCTTGCTTTGTTTTTTTCGTTTTTTTTGGGAAAAGAGGTTTGAGCAATATATATAATCCTGCCAATGTAATTTTAGAGCAAATGTATACTATCTCCTGTCAGTTAGTCAAGTCTCATGAATCGGAAGCAAGCAAGATGAAGAAAACGAAGGCTTTCTTCCAATAATCCTGTCTGTTCTTGGAAGGCTCTGAAATATTGGACTTGTCCATTTTTTTTCCTTCTTCCTACATAAGCAAGCATGCATTAGCAATTATAATATGCATTTTTGGAAACAACAGATTATGTAAGGCTATAATATTAGATCATATTTTAAGATTATGTTTGGTACATAAGATAATAGATAGGATAAGATAATGATCATCTTAAACCTTATCATTACTAGTGATTCAAAAATATAGATAATAACAAAAGTTTTTGAGTATGTTGTATATATGCTACCAAAGAAGCAGGTAAAATTTGTTTTCAAATTTGACTGTAATACTGGATAGAATCCATTTGGCTTTTTAAAAGCTGGACAAAGGGAAACTATAGCAGCTACGGACATTGTAATCCATTTGGCTTTTAAAAGCAGGGTTATTGCATATGCAACCTCAACCAAGGATAACAGAAAATGGGAACGAGAAAATTTTGCTTGAGGACTTGCTATTAATATTGGTTTGTTTTCACGTCAGTCCTTGAATACTTTCTTTTGTTTAATGTCATGTTATCAATATTTATTTAAAGATAGCAGCGGAGATTGGATGAGTTGCTAAAATTCGAATATTGAGATTGTAAGACCAAGTTTGATTCACGTCCAAGACGGCTAAAGGGTTTAATATATGATCTCCTCTTCGAAATTAACTTCTACAATTTCTGAAGATTAATGCATTGTGCTTGACCAATCAGGTTGTAGAAAACGTAAAACAACAACCTTCATGGGACGAGAAATATAGCACTCCTTCAATGTCTGAACAAACTCATTTTCAGTCTGAACGTCTGATACCCAAAAAAAATGGAACATTTCCCTGTCTTCCTTATTTTCCCTCATTTTTTTTCATGACTCAAAAAATCGTCAACTCCATTACACTTTTATCCTCCCTAAAAATAATGACCAAAGTATAGCACATTCTAGTGCTTTACATTGTAGGGACCTTAACTTCGGTCAAGGCATTCGGTTTTTAAAAGCGTTGTAATAAAAATAGAAGAAAATTCCTTTCCAAGAGAATGCATTGAACATGTGTTGAAAATTAGCTGCATGGTTCAAAACAATTTTCACCATCCAATCTACACTGACTGGTCTTCCATTTAGGTGTCTGACCTTCAATACCTCAGCTATCAGAATTTAGCTCCATCTCCTTCTATCTTCCTCTTCGTCTACAGGAGTATACCATGATGGTCTTCGCTTTGAGTTGCTTAACCTGTAGTTCAAAAGCACTTCTTCATCACAAAGTGCTGTAGTAGCCACCAGAACAAGAGTCTTTAAAACTGGAACATCTGTCCCACTATTTCTTGAACCCCATCTGAACCAAAAGCTGCCAAATCTCCTCATGTTTACTTCTGCATTTCCAAATGATACATTTGGAATGTAAGCTCTCATGTCTTTTTCAGTCAGTGGGAAGTCGTAAGGGCAAACCATCACATTTGGCACCATTTCTTTACCAGGGTGATTAGCGAAATGTGCCAAAGCTAAAGGGTTTCTACGCTCCAAAATCTCCCCACCACTCCCCACTCGTGAGCTTTCCAAAGGCTTACTAAGCATTTTCCAGAGCCGATCTGAACCTTTCTCAGTCACATCTGTGTTGGGCCTCATATCTTCCATTGTGGAGCCATCCCACAATTCACGTGTTTCACCCCCATAACCCCAAGGCTGGGCATTGATGACAGTCCCATCATATCTTGTGATCAGATATGTGTTTTGAGCATCAACTCTTGGGTATCCAGGAATGTATCGGTAATAAGCTGGGAAGTATATAACACCAGGGTATATGGCAATTACAGCACCAACATTAGCTTCACCATTCAAAAATAAGCCTTGTCCAGCTTCACTGTGGGGTATTTGAGATGGTTTGACATCAAGGGTGTAGCCAATGGAATCCTTCAACCTCTGTGAGAGTTCAGAGCGCTTTAATGGCCTTGTCTTGGGAACAGCTGCACTGAAAAATCATAGATACTTAGAACTGAGAAGGAGATTATCAGTGGCCTTCCATTTATATCTACTATTACGGGCACAAAATAGAAATTAGGGAGCAAAGGCATATGCCATCAAAGTCAAATAAAGGATCAAAAGATTCACGGTCCAAACACTTGTTGCTTTTGTACAGATTCATCACAAATTTAGCATCAATAATAATGTTCAGTTAAATTGTCTGTATTTCATTATAATAAAAATATATATTAGCAATTACCTATTTATCTTTTCATAATATTTATAAAAAGATCAATGCTTAATGTATTTATTTTGTAACTACCGCAATTTTCTTAAACAAAAACAAACAAACAAAGCCATATAAAAAAAGTAATACAGAAAAAAAAATTGGTCCCTCTGTGAGCATCGACTCCATTCTCCTACCTAAGTAAAGGTTGCCAAGCAAAAAAAATTGTATTGCAACTGAAACTAGCAGTGAAAGTATAAAACTAATTCACATTTTTATTTCCAAAACCAAAAATCATTAAATTACAGTCGCAATACAGTTAGATGTAGAGCAAAGCAAACTCCTATAAAAACAGTGAAAGCCCAATTTCCTTGACAATGTAGGCTGTTTACTCACAAAACTCAGTAATTTAAACCAGATAGTGAAAAAGCTCAAGAGATAAAAATTTAAAGATACCAAACATCCCATAGATGATACATAACACGCAGTCCTCAATTATACTGAAAACAAAATAAACTAGAAATCTCCTTACCAGGACGGTTAGTACTTGGGCCATTCATTCCAACGGCAAAACTAAGACCACTTCGGGAAGGATTAGCATTCGATTGCAATTCCTGTGGCTCATTGATATCAGGAAGAAGAATTCCATCCATAGAAGTGCAGAGGTTTTTAATTTGATAATGAATGTTTTCTTGCACTTGATTCTGTTGGTCAGCAACAGAGGCTTTACTAGCCATGTCAATGATCTCCTCCGCATCAGCTTCGTCAGCATTCTTTCCCAAGCGATTGTAACTGAACATTGCACAAAAAATCAAATTATTGGACTAAAACAATGATGATGAATGAGAAAAAGGGTACGGGTATCGGAGACCACCAACCTGGTATACAGGAAAAGCCGGTTGATATCAGCTTCAAATTGGAGTTTCCTTGGGTCCCTAGCAAAAGTGGGGCTTTTTGCAAGGGTTCTGACAGCCTGGAATATCAATAAAAAACATTTATTTTATGCATAAAATGGCCTGAGTCAAGCTCCACCTTTGATTCATCATTACCCAATTTCACAAATGACTTGACATAAATCCTGGTTTTATATCATCTTCCATTTGCAAAAATAATTGTTTAAAATGTAATATATTCAGTAACTTGATGTGCTAAAATGAAGAAAAATGAAAGAACACTGAAATGGAGAAGGTATATTTAGAGGGAAAAATGGAAATAAAAAATGGATAGTAGGAGAGAAAAGGTACTTACATCTTGGAATTTGTTGAAAAGAAAAGCCATTGAGAAAGCAGCTGCCAACAAATCTCCCCCCGAGTCTCTCTCTCTCTCTATGCTTTGCTCAGCTTGGCTATGCCCTGTTTTCCGATTAGAGACGCGAAAGCGGAAGGAAGTCGAAATGGGAAAGTCTTTCGGCCAATTTTGGGGCATTTAGGTTTGTGCTTTGTTTGGGTTGGGTTAAGTTTGATTGGGCTGTCAGGGATAATAAGCTTTCAACTTAGGTTTCAATGCCATGACATTTCAGCTCCATTAAAGCGGATTGGGCTCGGGGCAGGCCCAGAGCTTCATTTATAAGATAAGATAGCATAACAATTAAGGCTCAGTTTGGTAACCGGAAATGAGCTTCCGAATAGAAAATATTTTTAATGGAAATGAACTTTTAGACAAAAAAAAATCTATAGTTTTGTAACTTCATTAAAAGTTGTTTTTCTGTGTTTGCTATCTAATGAAAAATATAAAAAAAATTTGTACCTTCAAATCTAAAATTTTACAATCCTGATTATACTTTTTTAACTCAGAAGATCTGAAACTAATCCAAAAAAATGCGAGGTAAAGCAGATTTTTTTGGCTCTGGGTGCGTTAAAAACTGCCGAGATCTTGTTCTTCACTATTCTCCTTTGGTTCTAGGTTTGCCACATCAACCTAATTTTCAATGGATTTGACTTGACACCCAAGCAAGAGACTTACGAATTCAGCGTCAACAACCCATCAAAACCCATATACTTTGCAATCAATGAGCGTCAACTACCCATCAAAACCCATATACTTTGCAATCAATGGCCCCATCTACAAAGTCATCTCCAACACAGCTCTTACAAAGGTGAGCAAAAAAGATTACTGTCTCAATCTCGATGGTCTCTTCGTCAAGGAGATTGGTGTCAAGAAATTTGGGGGAGGCCGTCTTTGTCGAAGGGGGAGGAGGGTGTATGTGGGAGCAACCCCAAATACCTGACATTGATACATAAAGTGGTGAGATTTTTTGATATTTTGTCTTCTAGAAAGAGCATCTTACAATTAATTACCTTAGCTGATAAAGAAAGTAACACTTCCTTAGAAGCACTGATGCAAGTCACAAGAAAAATGGAATTACGAAACCAATGAAATACCATAAAAACTAAACAGTAAACATCTGAAATATACTTTGGAATTATTCCAAGAAAAACCCCTTACCCCAAGAAAACTTCAACTATATAAACCAAGCCTGTTAGAAACATCATTATATACCTCAAATTGTTCCAGTGTAGAATATATCCCATTGCCCGACTTCCTCATTGTGGCAAAGTCCATTGGATGCTGAATTACATCATGGTAATCAGGAAGCTGCAAAACCCTTCAAAACTTACTAAGATAAATGAAATCAAACTCCAAAAGCACTTCCTCAATAAATGCTGTTTAGCTTCTCAAGATCAACCGATTCAGCAAACACACCATAAGTGTCTTTCCTGCAGCAATTTACACCCAACTCAGAATAACCAACACTAAGTTGAGAAGAAAAAAAAAACAAACAGAGAGGAGAGAAAAGAAGGTTCAAGAGTCACTTTTGAAGTTTATCAAGAATCAATTTCAATGCCTTCTAAACACAATCCCAAATCACAGAATGAAGAAATCCAACAAACCCAGAGATGAAATATCCAATCATACAAACAATACACAGAAAATGAATTTTATATTAAATTGATATTAAATAAATAGATTCAGATATACTTGTAGATTAGAAGATTACAAATTTAACTATTATATAAGAAGTTAGTATATAAATTTATTAAAGTCAAATTCGGCTTCTATGCTTTAAATTTCAACTCTCACAATTCTACGAAAGACTTCCACTTTATATATTAAGCCAAGTTTCCATATATAATTGGCTACCGTTAATGAGATCTTGCAAGCTTGACAATTACATCAAAACAATGATATAGCTAACATTAGACATGAAATTAGTACAAATAGTTAAAGAGTCTAAGATGAACAAAGTAATTAGAACTTGTAAAACATAAAATGGTTAAGAAACTAACTCGAAAATAAAACAGACATACTAAAAAGGAAGGAAATACTTGTAATCTAATGCACCAACACAATTTACACATCTTCAACACACACCACCGCACCTGAAAAGGTGAAATTGCTATGGAACTAATCATCCCAAATAACAATATTATTAGAGACCCCTTGGAAAAGGTGAAAATGCTACTAGAACTGGTCATCACAAATAACAATATATTAACAAATACAAATTGAGAATTTAGGTGTACGAAGAATGACAAACAGAATAAATCAAAGTTTGTAGATCTTTTAAAGATGTTGGAACGTAAATCCTTCAAAGATCTTAAGAGATTTTTAGTTTTTAGCTTACCAATGATGAAGGTATGTCACTGGCTTGGTAATGCCAAAAGAACCCTCACCCTAGTTAAAATAATTTTCAGTTATTGAAATACAAAATAACAACCCAAATAACGAAAAGTAGGATAAACCACAACAAAGCACATGCTAAAGTTGTAAACTACTGTTATCAAAATAGTTATTCATCATTCGATCTTTGGCAATTATGTTTCATAATCAAACCAATTGAAGATAATTTACGAAAATACATATTGTTGGAAATGTCCAATCCTAAACAAAACAATAGGAACTTAATCCAACTCTCTAATAATGTTTAGATTTGATTTAGGCTCTTAATTGATTGAATCTTAATTATTTGATCTCTTGGCTTGATTTCCATCATGTAAGAAATGATAATAAGGATAGACTTAAGGTAATGTCCTATGTAATGTCATATCATGCAATTATCAATGCTATAATATTTTAAAAGCAATTGTAGACATTTAATTTTGGCTGAAAATTTTTTCAAAATAAAAAATGAGCCTTCGATGGGCTTGATTGAGAAACTTTAGTCCTAATAAGATAAAAGCCTAAAATTTTAATTTTGATCTTATTTTGTTTTTGATACAATTGGGTCAAAAGTCAAAAAAACAAAAAAAAAAGGAAAAGAAAAACGTGTTAGAAATTTGGGAAATCATTAGCATAAATTTTGCAGATTAATGGATTTTATGATGGAATGATTTTAGGAATCTTAATCTTCACGAAAAAGAAAAGATACAAAAAATAAAATTTCCAAAAATCATATGAAATTAACTGGTTGAATTTTTTCAAATTGAAGCAGATTAAATCCCTATATAAACCAACAACAAGCACACGCAAGGGGAAGGAGAATCACAGCAATCAATTTGAGCATTAAAAAAGATTTTGAGTTTTTATGGATATTGGTTCGGGTTTGTGTTGTTGGTATTATTGAAATCAGTTTCTAGCTAGAATTTGTTTCTGGGCTTGATTATAGGTGTCTTTTAGAATTTGTTTTTCTTTTATTTGATTTGTTTTGAGTTTTTTTTTTTTTTTTTTGGGTTTTGGGTAAGTTGTTTAATCCTGGGATTGTTAGAGTTTTCTATTTGAATTTTTGGATTCTTTTAGAAATTTTTGGGTTTTAGTTTGAATGTTTGAATTTCTAGGTTTTACAAAATTTTTCGGTTAAATGCTTGGTTTTTCCAGTGGTTCTCACGATAGCCAAAGGATTGGACGGCATGCTAAATTTGGGATTTTAGGCTATTTTTGAAGAAGTTTGGTTTTTTCAATGCCGGTTGGATATCCTGATGCTAGAACTTAGGTTTCTTGATCGAATTCTGTATTTGGATGATTTTTCTGGTGAACTTCTAGAGAGAAGTTAGAGAAAAACTAAGTTAGAGAAAGAGAGAACCAAAGCCATATGAGGAAATTGAAATTTTTTTTACTTTATAGTAAGTACCAAAACGGCAACCATTTGGAGAGGACGGGTTGACCTATTTGACCTTCATGGATCCATGCCTTGACTCGATTGGTGACCCCACCCGATTAGCAAGTTAATTCTTTTTTTCATTTTCATTTTTATTTTTATTTTTGATTTTTTCTCCTATTATTTTTCCTATTTTTGAATTCTTTATGTATGTCATTATTTATTATTATATTATTATATTATTATTTTGCTTAATTAAATTAAGGAATGAGGAAAAAATAAAATTTGGTAATATTATTTATGATGTTTTGTTTATTTATTTATTTTTGAATATTTTTAATTTATTTATAAATAATATTATTATTATTATTGTTTTTTGCATGATTATTAATTAATGGCATGATAATTTATAACTAATTTACTATGTTATTGCATGATAATTTATAATTGATATACTATATTATTGCATAATATTATTTGCATGATAATTTTAGTTTATTTTAATTTTTTCTTTTCTCTCAAATTTAAAAAGGGTTTTAAAAAATAATTTTTAATCTTGTCAAACTATTGGAAGATTTAAATATTGAATTAAGTCTTATCAAACTCTTAGAGGACTTAATGAATTTTGTTGAAAAAATAAAATTTCAAATCCTACTAACATATTACAAGATAATTTTTGATAGAAAATCTTACCAACATATTAAAATATATTTATGGAAATAAATTATTTTCACAAAAAAATAAAATTTCAAATCCTACCAACATATTGGAGGATAATTTTTAACTAAAATCTTATCAATATATTAGAGATATTTCTAAGAATAAATTGTTTTCGCAAATAAAAGTTTTTTTTAACAACAAAAAAGATTAAATAAATCCGATAATAGAGCCTCTTTAGAGTGAGCCACTAGCCTTTATGAATACTTTTGAGGTGAAAAAATTATTTTAAATTGCTACCAAACTATTGGAGTAATTTTAAGATCAATTTTCAATAATTAAATTATTTGATAAAATTACAAAAAGATTTATAGCTTTGATAATTTGAAATTGAATTGGTACCATCTTTTGGATAGGCACTGTGAGGGTGTCATAACCTTCGATATGTGTAACCACACTCTCGAACATAAAATTTGATTTCGTAAACTAAAATATACTTTTTAAAGATACTCAAATCAAGTTTGAGATTTCTCTTTAGAATGGGATAGAATTAGTTAGGTGACTAATCGTATCTAAACAAAAAAAGATTGGTGATAATTTTTAAAGTTTATGTCCAGGGGTAGATCCATAGATTTATACATTATGACAGTTTGGTGACTCCATTGGAGAGATCAAGAGATAGGCTGGTAAATGATTTTTTGTTATCAAAG